ATCAACTAAGATTTGGTTATAGTTAATAAATCTCATACTTGAATACGGCGAAATAAATATTTATTTACTGAAAATAAATTATATGTTTGAGCCTTCTGGTTCAGGCAAATTTATATTTGGTTATAGTTACTAAATCACTAAACTAAATACTTGGTTGCATGAAAAAGATTATTAGTTTGATTAAATAATTTTTCATTCTAAGGACCATAATATAAATTCATTATAATATGAGCAAGATTTGATTGAAGTAAATTTTCAATTGAGAAAATGCATTGTTCAGTTGAAATAATTATTAATGAAAAAGAATGAAATAAATTTCCAGTTGAAACAAGTTTATAGTTAGTTCCTTCAACTTGCTGAAAAATTAATTCAAACAATAATTGATTATCGTCTAATCAATGATAATTTGGGAGAAATACTAAAATTAGTTTATTTGAATTAATTGTCAATTTGGATTAATTTATGTATTAATTGTACGAATTTATTAAAATAAAGGCATAATTAGAAAATCTGTTGATTAAAATAGATTATGTTTTTTTTTTAACTAAGAAAATAATGTTCATAAAAGTCTAGAATAGTATACATACATAAATACACAATTTATTATAACAAACCCAATTGTTGAACAGTTTTTATATATAAAAAAACATCATTTTTGCTAATTATACTTGTAATGACTCCAAAACAAGGATCACTTAAACGATCATTACTAAGATAGCTTACATAACTAAGCTTGAAGTAAGACCTATTAATTTTAACCCATGAAACAGCGCAAGTATCATCATCGAAGTAAGATGAAAATTGTAATTTATTATTATTTGTTATGTTTAAAGATCTATCATACCCGACTGTTGTTCGTACGCTTCTTTGGCTTAAAAATATATCACTAAGGTATAACTAGTAATACTTCGTTCAAATCACTCGAACCAATGTTATTTAAAAAATCTTCAATTTTTTGTATTTTTTATTACAATTTCTGCACTTCAATGAACTTTTGATGCACTTTAACAAAACAGAATGAGTTCTCTCGCAATGCCGGTTGGAAATGACGCCTCGTGCGTTATCTGACCGACTTTTAATCAATTAAATCAATATGTGGTTAGGCAAACTAAGATTTAGTAACTATAACCAAATAATATGTTATAGCAATACTTTTATTTCTATCAACTGTATATTATTTACAATTATCTAAATCTATAATTACTACAACTAAAAAATTTATTTAATGACTATGAATTACATATTGTTGGTGGGATTGTAATAATTAATTATGTGAACTAAATACACCCAAATAAATCAATTGGTTCATTCAATTGATAATACTTATACTTTTTAACTATGCGTTTATTATTTTTTATTTTATTTTTTATTACTAATTATAAACTATTTTTTATTTAATTTAATATTAATTATTTATTAATAACATTTATTAATAATTACCAAATACTTGGATAAATCTTTCAACTAAATCCGTTTAGCTATTATAACTAAACTCTTCTCTCAGTGTACTCCAAAAGTATATACATCAAAATATTTTAATACATCATACTTTTTCATTTTACATAATACGGAATTTTTGCTTACACAAAAGTTTGGCAAATTTCTGCCCAGTTGAAAAAATTAGTTTTTTTATCGTTTGGCAAACGCAAACCACATTTATTCGGGCTTTGGATTACTTGCACATAGAGTATTTATGCCGTTTGATAAATATTCCGGGTTTTTAACAAAATCTTGGCTTCATAAACTGACAATCGTACCAGCTGAGATTTCTATCACTTTTGGAAATTGATGCATAAAATGATGATGATGTATGATTAATTCTCTAAAGCAGTCTATCTTAACAAGTTTCACTTTACAGCATCAAATAATGCAATTCATTAAGCATGAAACTTGCCTATCACTTTGACAATTCATCAAGCTTTTGGAGAATGCCTACCATCGATCTATTTACTCTGAGCTACCCTTCATTGTGATATTTAGCAATGACATTAAATAATGCTACGGCATTCTAGTCTCTGAATGACATACCCTGAAGGAGCTGTTTATAAGACTATGACTTGTTTAATGTAACGTACAAACACGTCTTTCAAAGCTGTCTTCAGTAGGAGACAATGCTTCAAAATCACCTGGTACATTTTATTAATATATAACAGCTTCTCTAGTGTTGCTTGCTTGCAAAGAGACTTTTTTAAGTCACTTTATGCCATTTAACTAGACGTGTGTAAAGCAGATGCTTTGTCAAACCATTACTAGAAAATTATAATTATAATTAAATGCAAAACGACTGAAGCCAGCTAATGAACAAGTTATTAGATAATTTTTGAAATGCTGAAACTTACTTCAAAGTAAGCTACATTAATGTAATTATAAATTCCATAACATAGTGTTTATTAAATTTCTGAAATGGAAATAATATTATGTTTTTTTATTAAGATTATTCTCATGGACAAAGTTATTTTCTCATCTTCAATAATTTGATATGGAAGCTGAAAGCTAAGTACATCATTGAATTCAGAATGCGGTAGTGCAGCCTATTAGAGAAAATCGATCAAAAATTTCCTAGAGCTTCTCAGAGATGATTGAAACAATGTCCAAAGGTCGTCAATCGAGTTTTGGACATTGTTTCAGACAATTCCAAACGAAAAAAGAAAATTATCATTTTAGCTCAATAAATAATTGACTTCCTCAAACTTGACATTGTTTCTCCAAAAACTATTCTCAACATTTTTGAGTTATTATATAAAAACACACAGATAGCAATAAATTTTCAGTCAGTTCAACAAAATAAAAATAAATGAGTAAAAATTTTCCTCTGAATAGAACTAGAATAAAAAAGAAAAAAATCTATCGCAATTTAACTTACGACAGTTTTAACTCTCACCATCTAACAAGCAATTTTTTTAATTCTACCAAACTATTTTGAAATTTGTCCAAGCCTAAACTTTTATTCTAGGTTTCAGAGTTAAGATACTAATATGTCAAAGTTTTGTAAGATATTTTTATATACAGTAATCTCGGAATCACACAAATTATTCTCCAGGAAGTTCATTGTAAACACTCTGCAATAAACTTAAGCCATAAGCACAAATCCCATCCAACTTGTATAGTCCTAAAATCCAAACTTTGAAGGATTCTTAAGTACTGAGAAATGCTTGCAGAATTATACTACCACTATTTTAAATGTTTCCAGTAACAATAAGCCATCCTTAGAATTGGAACAATATATCAATTGTTAACCTGAGAAAAGTATGTAACTGCCAGGTAGAAATACATCTGTCGTGAGTCTTTTTCATTGTCTTGGTCAGTAATATGTATATTCTTTGTAATGACGATGATTCATGATATTTGCAATTTATTATTTATAACATACGAAATAGTTAAATGAAATTTTATTTATGACATTTAATGTCAAAAGTAATTAGAATAAAATTTTCCCAAAGTTCAAGGGAATTTTTGGACAAAAAATGTTCCCACCAGATTATGAATAATTATTGTTTCATTAATCGAATATTGTAAACGTAATAAATTATCGATATTAATTTAACCTTTGGTGCTATAATAGTCGATAAATTCCATAGACTAATCAAATTGCTCATTAAAACTTACTCAATAATCATATTGCATAATAACAATGTAATAATATGGTATGATAAATTTATGAATTTATTCAATAATCAGATTGATGTTAATAAAATAGAACTGCAATATGAAAATGTGGTATGTTTGAGGCATTTTAACTATGTAAAAGTACGTTAAAAATTTCAAAACCAACGGTGCGATTGATTTCATAATTTCGATTGCTTTTAGATATTAGAAATAAACTTGGCGTTTTTATCAAATTTTTATATGAAGCAACTTGAAATTCAATATGAGGAGATATTCTATATGAAAAAATATTCATTCTCTGTCCGAAGACTTAGCATTGTCTCCACAGAGAGGAAAAAGACGATCAAATTAAACTTTCAAAGAGGATTGAATGACCGAAGAGTTATATAGAATTACCTATGTTAGACAAGTCTTCATTAACATTAAAAATAAAATACATATATTTTATCAGCGTATTTACTGGCTGTTTAAAATAAAAAGTGAATTCTTAAAAAAGGCACATGGACAGTATAGAATCTTTAGAAGCTAAATTCCTATACATACGTGTCAAGCAAAGTGAAATTTATGCTTACTACCAACTGGATAGGTCAAGTATTTTTCAGATAAGAGTTTTAAAAGCACCTCCAAGAGTCAACTTTCCCATTCCAGTGGTGCATCGCCACTGGCGAAGCACACGCTGTCATTGTACATTTCAGCATCAAAGGAAAATTAAAATACCTTTAGTTTTTCTTTGTACGCTTCAAATGAGAACTGCTGCATTATGTAGAATGCAGCTGCCGATTTTCACTTTATGGTCGTTTTTTTCCTTATAAAGAAACCAGAAAAAAACATCAGTTACGAACAAAAATTTAAATTCCCGCGATTGTTAATGCACTCAAGTGGAAAAAAAAATGCCTAAACAAAATTCATTTGTTACAAAGTAGCACTGAATTTTCTCAACTATCTGTAAATTCAACATCGATGTAAAGGAAAAAATTTTAATTTAGCAATGTACATGTAAGTACTTTTTAAAAGTTAGCAGTCCGTAAGTAATTTTGCTGTTGAATACCCCTTTACTTCTGAGATTTATCGAGCCTGTTATCGCGCAGTCGCACTCCTTCATAGCTTGTTAGTTTCAATCTAAATATAAAAAATTTATTTATTCTCTTGTTTATCGATAAGCAGTAATATGAAATGTATGAATGAATGAAATTATCTTGAAGGGAAGTAGTACCATGTAAATGAGTAAGTCTGAACAATCTAGATAATTTCTATGGTGTTTGAGTCTCTTCTATTCCTGGTTATCTTCTTGGACGTTGATTTCTATCCCTTGCATTATGTCTCTCGAGATCTGTAGAGTGGTGGTAAAGACTCAGTAGTGGGAGAGCACACCAACTATTGCACAGCGCTCGAGTGCATCACCAGTGTCAAAATGGCCGTGGACTCGACAGTTCAGAGTTTAGTTCTCGCTTGGACGCGCACTTGATGTCCTTTCAAGATTCAGTTTTTCATTTGGTTTTTGTTTTTTCTTAACACATTACTACTTTAAAACTAGAAATTCATTTTGTGAGGTTATATTTTATTTAACAATGATTTCCACAACAATGGATTGTAATGTGAATCTCACTCACATGGATCGAAGTCATTTAAATTGTACTACTGGTAAGTACAATAGTTTTCCTTCATTTTCCAGCCATTTTCTATTTGTTGTTTCGTTTGTTTACATTTGCTGAACTTTTACACCTATCCATCAACTTTTTTTTCTCCTACGTTTTAGTCAACAATTATTTTTTATTAAAAGGTTTAAAAGTTTTTTTTCCTTCATAATAGTGATTTTGGAGTATTTTTATAGAATACTTTGTTTGTTGTAAAAATTGGAAAAACATTTTTAGGGAGGGCTTATGTGGCTACTACGCGTCAGAAATGTTTCAGAAGGCGTCTGACGCCACTAGGCTTTGACTATCCCTAAACATAATCAATAGTATTATTGAATTATAATATTACATTCTAGAGTTGCATCTTTGACATATTGTATGGCCATTAAAATTGAAATTATTTAATAATTTTATTCATTTGCTTTTGATGATTAAAATATCCACTGAATATTATATGGAAAAAATTACACTTTTCAAGTCTAAAAACTGAATGTCTTGAATTAAAACGTTTTTTTTAGTGAAAAGTTTTTAAATTTTCATTAAAAATAATGCCCAACTTATCTCAGGAAATGAGAGAAAGTTTTTTCTTTTTGCTTATGAAAATGCTAAATATGAATTCCACTCTACTATGAACTGCAAAGAATTTTTTACTTGATCATAAATACACTCATAGAGCTATTTTTTCTTTCAGATGAAGGCAAGTCTTCGAATAATTTCAAAACAATGATATCATCAGTAGACGGGGTGGCTTGGATAGCAAAATTTAAATCCATGTGTTTGACGAACATGGACAATTCATCAACTCTAATTAATTTGATGACATACTTCATTAGGTAAATAGAGCAATGTTAATTAATGAGAAAATCTGTCGTGTAACCAGTAATTTGAAACGATGAGTACTGGTATTTTTTTTTGATAGAAAGAAGAGGCCAATTAATTATGATTACAATTATAATAGCTTTAATTTTTAAGTTGATGATAGCAGACGAACACTCTTTTTGTGATAATGAGCAAATAATTCTTCATGGTGCATATGTAGAACAAAAGTTTCATTTTAAGAACTGAAACAATACTATTTTATTTCATGACACCAATGGTAATTTGCATATAGATAACAGTTGCACCTAAATGAAAATATTTTGATTATTATGTTATCACAAGCTCTAACAAATATTTTGCCTGCTTAAATTTAATGAGTTATTTTTTGAATAAAATTATTGCTTGGAAATGATGAAATTTTTTCTTGTAATTACAGAAATGTTCGGCCCACGGTAGCCGAATGCCAAACAAAACCGTTGAGAGCTGATAAATTAAAAGGTTTTATTGGTGAAACTCTGCTTTTCTTCATGTATTACTATAAATCGCACGAAGGGGTGAGCAATTCACGATTTTCATTTCGATTCTATTGTCTGTAACAGTTTTACTGAAATTTATCTATCTTTCTTTCAGAGTCACGACCGCACAATCTACATGGATTTAATGTCTGATTTGCTAGCAATGTATATAGATTTAGAACTGAAGGCTTCCAAGAAGAGCTGTGAATACCATGAAAGGATTTCAGGTCGATTGGCATCTTATTTATACGTTTATTTAGGTAAATACTTCAGATATAAATATCCATTGTAGATTCTTAAAGCCATATATTTTCTTTAATTTATTCCAAACATAATTAATAACGTACATTAAAAATTTTCAGAAAATTCCGCTGAATATCTCATGGATACTATTCTCAAAATTCGGTTCATGAGTTCTACGTATTATCAAATAATAAACCCTTTACTAACGTGAGTATACATTTTTTAACTTGATTCAATAAACTGAGTGTGTCATGTTTATTTTCTGAATGGTTTTTTTTATTGCAATGTTTTTATGATAAAAAATTAATATCTTACCTAAGAGTTTATGATTAATACTTAACTAGGTAAGTTCCTTGAGGCACACTCACTTGAACTTTGAAAAATTTACATATTCCATAACTTCATTTTTCCGGTTACATAGAAAAAAACTCATGTTATACTTTATTCTCATATGATTTTTATCAGATATAATGTAAATTTAATTTTAACTATTTTTATCTAATTAACTGATTTACAATATATCTATATAGAGGTAGTAGTCAGTGCTTCGTTACAGAACAGTGATTACCATTATTAACATTTTTTTTGTTTTCAAGATTGGTGTTTGATATCAAATCTGATGAAAATTAATTTTCTATAACAATCCAAGTGATGTTTTACACGATACATTTATAAATTTTAATTAATTTTACTAAAAAGTATTTCGAAAATTTCTTTAAGGAAATAATTCCTTTTGAATCATTGAAGTATCTTCATTGTTAAACTTTTCTTCTGTCTGTCATTTCAATAAAACTAATGTTTGTTTCATAAAGAAAGAAAACTTGATCTCAAGGACTAAAAAGTTTGATAAACTGCAATTGTGTGTTTTTTAGTTTCCGGTCAAGCAAAAAATCAAGTAGCACAAAATTATATAAATAAGAGTATTTTTATCTTTAATCGAATAAGACTTGAACAATAATTTAATAAAAATTCCTTTATTATATTACAGAAAAATATTCAGGGTAGTTCCTGAGCATCCAACTTCGAATTTAATGTATGTAAGATATTTTCTTGTATATCGGATATGGAAGAGAATAACCAAAGATTCAAATAGTAAAAATGACGTAAATTCAAGAGCTTTATCATCTCTAGCATCGTATCCTACCTCTTTACCACAGTACGTAACAGATCACGTATTACCAAAAGTGCCAAATAACCAAAAAGTCTCCACGAGACTGTTGCTTACTCAACATATTGAACTAGAAAAGTCCTGCGAAGCATTTATTAAGTTCTGTAAAAAGTCAAGAATATTTAAGGACCCTGAAGAAGTTGAGCAAACTCGATCAGATGATACCATCGAGCTTTTAGAGGTATTAAAAATTTTTTTTTCATAACTATTTTATATTCTTTACTAATTAAGTTAGTTTTTAATTTATACTTTGTCTTTAATGAAAAAAATTTTGAATTACTTGTATTAATTCGTTAATTAATACATTTTTTTTTCCATCGGTCTCTGTACAAAATCAGCTTGAAGATAATTTGTCTTGCAAATTAAATGTATCATCTCGCGAAAATACCGCTAAAAAAGTCTTGTTGAATAATAATAGTTGTAATAATCAAACAAAAGATAGTATTAATAGTTCTAACTTTAAATTAAATTCAGATAAAAGTGTCAATAGTAAATTCATACCACGTAAAGTTCAGAAAAACAATGGAGATATTGTTCTAATTGATCTCACCTCAGAAGATTCGAGCGGAAAAATTTCCAAACAGAAAAAGAGCAAGAAGTTGTCATGGATACAAAAAATTTTTAAACGACCATCCAATACTCCTGACATCACTGAAGATAATAAAAACATCAATCAAAATTCGCAACTTGAAGATACATTCAACTTAGAATCTCTTCTGATTACCTCCAATAAAGATAAAATTGTAGATGACCAAATGGAAATTCAGAGCTCACTATTAAATGTCGATGAAATCACCCAAGGAAATCTAACGGAAAATGAGATCATCGAAGAAGAAAGTCGATTAATACTCACTGAAACATGTATGCAAGTGTTAGAAACTAGTGAAGAATATAAAGAGAACATTGAAAGCCATTCGTGTAAAAACGGGCAGGTTTCTAAAGTAGAATATGAAGAATCCTCCGAGAATGTTGAACAAAAGATCAAAGTACAAAAGTTTCCGGTTGTCAATGATAAAGCTAAAGTAACGCCGTTAGAATTGAATTTTTGCAAGGAAAAAAATGTAAATAGAACTAATGTATCGGAAAGTGAGGATCTGGTTGACGTAAACTCAAGTAAAGTGATGGAAAAAATAAATAGTAACATAAATTCACAAGCTGTCTTGAATACCATCAAAACCAATGTGGATGCAAATTCGTTCTCACAAAATATTGAAAAAAATTTAAACCAGCAGCCTGAAGCAATGGAATCTTTTAAAAAAAATAATTTATCGAAAATCCATGATGTTGATTTTAATGATCATATTGATGGGCTTTCTCTACTTGCAAGTGTATCTCAAAGGGTATCTCATTTAAATACGGAAGCACCTGAAACCAATCAGACTAAAGAATTCATTAAAGTGAAGGATTACAACAGTTTGATGACTTATAATGAGATGACTGAAGATCAAAGAAATGAAGATTTTAATAACCAATCAGCAGAAGATGCCAACAGGTTTATTGACGTCTATCCTGATGGTATAGACAGAGTAGCACTTAATGTTGAAGTATCATCTTCAGAAGATTTATCAAATCATTGTTTAAATAGTGTCCAAGAGCAACAAAATAATTCATGCATGCTAAATGAACTTCCAATTGAGTTAACGAGCACATCAGTCCAGGTTGAAAGTTCAATATCTTCTGACAAAGACGAAACGAATGTAATTTTAAATGGTGAAACAATCGTATTACTGCAAAAATCACCGAACAGTAACTTGTATATAATAAATAAAGCTGTCGAAAATAGAGATCACAGTAATGAAGAGGAAGCAATGAATTTGAGTGAAAAAAATTTGATGCTTGAAAAAGTAAAAGATGAGAGTTTTTCTCGTGAAATACATGATCCAGTATACAGAATATCTCAATCTTTTCCGCCTACGACACAGTATGAACTTGCGCAAGAAAGCCGGAAAGTTAATAAAATAAAAATAGATCCGACAGCGGAAAACATTACCTGTCTAGACAGTAAAAAACCGACAAAAAATAATTCCGATGCTAATAACTCTGGACGGTGTAGAATAAAACAAGAATTTAGTGATTGTACAAATAACTTATCAAATCATATGGGTAATCCAGCTTACGTAAATCAAGTTCGCCCGAAGGATCTCGTTGACCCTCATGGTCTTCATATTTCAGCATCAAATTCACGAAGTGGAATCTATCATCCAACTTACTCGACAGGTGATTTATATATTTCTTGCAGGAAAAACTACAGTTCAGTTGCTTGTGGATTACCAGTTAATCATCCTGGACCTCCGCTTCATTCTCGTGCCAAATCGCAACAGTGCTCTTGTTTTAACTGTGCCTACGGTATTATTACGCATTGCAATCAATATATCATACCGCCAAACGAAACTAAAGCTACTTCCAAAATTGATGGTGGCTTTTATATTCCAATATCCGATAAACCGGTTATTCCAGAATGTCCTCTTCAAACCACTCATCAAAGTAATGAACTGGGAATGTATGAAAACAAATTATTGTGCAAAATTGAAGCTAATCTTGATGATCGAATACAAGAAAAAATTTACCAAAAGGATGTTAATTATAAATTACCGTTGAAAAAACGTTTCAAATCAATGACACCAATAGATTATGTTACTCCAATTAAAAAAGAAAATGTAGTTAATAATTTTATCGGCTCGCCAATGATTTCAATAGCAGCTTTAGAAGGTAGAGAGTCTATAGATTCATCATCAACCTTAATGACGAATATTCATTCATCTTCAATGATCCGTGGGGAATATGAAAAAGATGTAATTAGTAATTATGATAATTTTTCTGACAGAAAAAGGAAAAAAGTTGATGGTATTTATTCAACGGATGATTCAACTAGTTTGAAGAGAATAAATGAGGAAATGGTAAGGTCATCAAAGAAAGTAAAACAGCCAAAATCACCAAAAAAAAATCCCACTAAGAAAACGAGAAGCTCGCAGAGAAAGATACCCAAAATAAATTATTCTTACATGGACGATGAAACAGAATGCACTCCGTCCAGTGAGATAAAACTTCGTAAAAAGAAAAAGACGAGTCGATAATTCTATGTTTTTCGTAAAACAATATTTAAATTTCCAGAAGATGGAATATGAATGAAAAAATAAGAAAAAAACTATAATACCTGACCGTTCGAGAGGCTGTGGTATTTTTATTCTGTACATAAAAAAATATGTTATCAACAAAGAAGCTCCGCGTGTATATAGTTAAATAATATTTCATAGCTATTGTAGTTAAATTATTAATAATATAATAATGATAATTAAATTAATTAATATTGTTTTTAAATGACAGAATCGAGCTAAAAATTTAATTATCACTTAAAATCAACGTTTGAAGATTTCATCAAGAATTGCCAATAATAGGACTCTTCAACATTACTTTCTACCTGAATAGAAGTTTCTATCCAATTTTTAACGACTATCTGTGGTAATTGCTTTTAAATTCATTCTTTACAATTCTGTTTTGAAGCGAGAAAATGTAATTAGGCTTAAATAATGTCTATAAGAAACATTGATTATCATCCCCGGCAACATTATGTTTATTTATAAGCTTGCATATTACGAGTATTTTTCTTTTCCTTCATTATTTTCTAAATGCCATCATTTGGTGTTTATTCAATTTCAATTTCTATGAAAATTTATTTCCACTAGAATTTAAATATTAGATTAATCTCAATTATTGTCTCTCTTCCGTAGTGAATTTTTTTTTAAATCAAGTTAAATTTATTTAATTAAGAGAGAATTTTCACAAAAAAAATTTGGATTGGGAAATTTTTTTTACAAGCTAGTTATGTTTTTTTTGTTCCTCTAAAATTTTACGGATCTATGGTTTTTCTTTTTCTGCTTCAATACAGAATCTTAATAAAATTGTAAAAGGAAAAGAGTTCGTTTGATAAATAAAAAAAATTTTTTTTAGGTCAATGGTTTCACCTGGAAATGTTGAAACGAAACCGAGCCGAATCAATAGAAATACATCGATATTTTCCTGTTTTATGTAATACTAATACTTCCAGACTGAATAATCAGTATCAATTAATAGATCTGTAGTTACCACTAGAATATCTTTTTTTTTATAGGACATTATTAATTACTTTAAGAAATTACCGAAAAAAATAATCAAAGGTAAATAAAGTCCACTAGTCAACGACGTCTTTTGCTTGAAACTGAACATATTCAATATTGATCTATGGATGTTAATTTGAATTTTAAAATATCATTTAATACTGCTTACTATAAATAAATCAAACAGAAATAGATACGTTAAAAGGCAATGTATTTGTTGTAACCTTGTCTTAACGATGAATATTTAATGCAAAATACTATGGTTGCATTGTAAAAATTCAAAAGTGTATTTTAAATTATTTTAATTTGTATTTTTAAAACAGAAAAAGACTGAACAGTATAATCTGCTTGCACATTATCGTAAATTAATAAATATTTAGAAATTTTAGATGATGTTTTAATGATATTTAAAATAAGTATATGACTGAAGCAGTTTTCCCCTTATACGAATACAATCATCTTACAATAGATGATTTTCATCATGTAACAGATCTTCATTTTTTTACTTGATACCTGATCTTGAAACTGTGATTGTTCGGCAGTTTAATAAATACTAGCTATATTTGAATAAATATGCCTCTATAGGCATCGCAAATGCCAAATGTCATGAAAAGCCAACAATTGTAAAAATGAAAAAAAAAATTATGTACCATATGTTGAAAAAATATGACATTTATATTAGAAAACTCATGACTTCAGTATTTGTTAGCAAGCAGTTTATTTGGCATATCTAATTGTAAAATCAACCTTTGATTGTTATTCTCTATTATTGTGTTGAGGTCGATAATTAGTTTTGAGTCTGATAAAGTCTGATAAGGATCAAAGTATTAAGTATTTCTTTTTTATAAATTCTGAGCATAGATAATTTTATAAATGCTATTCTATAAAATATTTAATCTGTAATTTGGAAATATCGATATTCTGATGAATTTTATCCTAGTTTAAATAATATATAATGTATTTCTATTGAAATTAAGTAATTTCAATTTCAATCCATATTATATCTTATTTTTTTAAATGTGAAATGAATTCTTCTAAAATACTTTTCGAAAAGAAAGTATTAAAAATACAATCGATAAACGTCAAGAATATCCATGTTACCGATTCGATTTTTTATAGAATGATAAAAGTTATTGCATTTAAAAAAGAGAATACTGTTTCGAGTGTTTCAGAGTGTTTATGACAATTGTAATTTAATTTCAGTTTTTTTGCTGAAAATAGGATTTTTTAAAATTATTTATTAAATGAGCCTTGAACGGCAAATCAGGATAAATTTTCTTTGTTTATTGTTATTTTATCCCATTCAATTTGATATTATTAATAAGGGAGGGTTTCTAATATAGAATAAAGGCTCCATTAGCCTCTGAAAGATGAGCATATCTATAAAATACAAATTTTCTGTATTAAGTAACCTTCTCTTATCTACCGCCATAGGGCATGGTAAGTTATATTCACACAAATACATCTTGAGTGATAACTTTTTAATATTTACGAAGTACAATAAAATTATATTTATAACTGCCTCTAGTAAATCACATAAACTCTATTAAATTTTATTAATCATATTTTATAAATAAATAAATTGTAAACGACATTTTTAAAATTGCAATGAAATATTCAGAAAGTATAGAGAAAAGTATTTCAATTAACGATAAATGAAAAGAAAAATTATCAAAGCTAATATAATAAATAAACAATATAAACTTTCATGCTACGTATAACATTGTTTAATCAATAACTGGTATCCATTTTATCAAACAGAGAAGAATAAGTGTAATACTCTCATAACATGCTTATTTTCATTTTTAAATTAATATTTCGAGAAAAATCATTCATGAATTCCACTTTATTCACATAATTATTTGATAAAAAAAAAATCATAGAATAAAAATAAAAAATTGAAAGTAAATGTCTATGAGTAGAATATTTTTCTAGTGTACTTGAGACGTTATAACTGACTTGTTTTTTTGAAATATACGTTTTTCTGTAAAATGTAAATAGCAATATGTAATCAACACCAATTACTCTTTCGATTAGAATAACAGCCTAATTATTTACCGATTGAAAGTGGAATCATCATTCATATCAGATGAATACTAATTGAATTGGGAAAAAGAATTTAACCATTTTTTTTTGTATTCATTGCGATACATGAAAGTTGTACTTTTTATTAGGAAAGTTATTGAAATGAAATAATAAAGAATTGTCAGATTAAAAGGTGGATGGTATGATTCTCGAATGAATAAAAATCGTTTCAAACTCAGTTCTGAACTACTTTAGTGTTATAAAAAATCTTATGAGTGTATCATCACGATACAAATTTTATTATTTTATTTAGGCTAATAAAAAATTAAAGATTGAAAATATAACTTTCTTACAAATCATGAAAAAGAGTCAGCTATGTTGAATTTTTTTCAACTTACAAATTTTATATTTGGATGAAATGAAATGTTTTATTATTGTTATTATTATCATCGTTATTAGTAAAGAGAAAAATTAAATTAAATACCTTTGAAAGAAATTTTTCAATTTATTGTACAAATATTCATCTATACCTAATTTATAATGAAAAAAATTTTTTCTTTATAATAGTAATGGATAGAAAAATTTTTAAAATAAAAAGAAATTATTTAATTAAAACAGCGTGTGAATATATTAACATAGTAGATATAAAACAGAAAAAATTTCTCTTTTGATTTTTTTTGCGTTCTCATTGTTCATTAAAATGTTGTCAAGAATTCAAATAATTTCAAATGAAAAGTTAATGCCGCTGTATAATAGAACCATATGGTTAACATTGTACCTTATGCACTTTGCATATTATATGTATATATATAATATATATATATATATATATATGAAAAAGGTGATTTCCATTAAAATTTCCACATTTAAATTGTTTCAAAGATGAATATAAAAAAATTCTTCATTACTTTACTTTAATCTAGATATTCTTTAAAATATCTACTAAAATCTTCCTCACATTTTTGCTTTACATAATAGCCTTCTTGAGGGTAGTAACAATTACAATGGATGGGATATGAGAAGAAAGAAGAGTAGAAAGCACTCTTGAAAATTGTTTTGCAGCTCTAGAAGAAATTGTAGGAAGACAGAGTGGATGTACTAATTGAGCGAGCGCATTCGTGAAGTCCAGAAAAAAATGCGTTCTCAAGTTCTAGATGAGAAAAGAAGAAGGTAGAAGAGCGCTTGCGCCTCGAATGAGCGTTTTAGCAGTGGATTGGGAAATTGGAAAGCTCCCCGCCATAGGGATGTAGCGACGGGGTTTATCGTGCTTGTGGGGGATGAAGAGGTAGCAATAGAGGCGGAACAGAGCTTGCGAATATTACTGTACAAGAGAAAACCGTGCTATGGACCAAGTGAGGGCTTAGTTTTGCTACAGACTTGAACCAACTCAGATGAGTGGCATTTAAATCAACGATACCATGTAGTTGCTTACATTGTCATCTAATTGAGTCAACAACGCGGCTCAAAAACTCAAATCTCTTGTGCCAAATAAGTGTAGTCGTTTTGTCATCATCTTTACTTGTACTGACAGCTCATCTTGTGACGTTGTATGTTGGCAAAAAAAAAAAATTCAACTATCATGACAGTGAACTTCAACGCTCTCTGGTTTTTTTTTCTCTTCATTCCCAGACTCATCAGTCTCTCTCATGCATCAGAAGGTAAGAAGATTATTTCTTTCACTATCAAAAACACTAATAGTTAAGCTAAACCTTCTTTCCTCAATTATCATCCTATTTTAATAAATTGAAATAATAAAATAATTTAAAGTGTTATAAACTTTATTGAAATAAATAATATCACCGGTATACATTATTTATTATACTTTTTTTACTAACGAGTGCAGTATTATTGTGTAGAAGACAATGACATTAATGTTCTCTACTTTGAGCACGAATATGTTTATTGGAGAGTGAATTATTGAGAGGCATAGAGCAGCAGCAGCTGATCTAATTATTACGGAACAGCGTAGACGTGCATGAAATATTTTCGAAGCTATGAAAATAATTGAAATATTGTCTTTATATTCTATACCAGTTGTACAATAAAGATATAAAAAGAATGGTTTTTTCGAGTCAATAAATTTTCAAATGTGTGATGATGTTCTTGATAATATAAATTACAACAAAATCCCTGAAAGCAGTATAAAAGAAAAATCCTTATCTCTTAAGAGAAAAAACAATATATGGATAAGCTTTAAGAACCCCAAGGACTTAGAGAAGAGTTAGAAACCTCGTGAGACAGAGAAAAATAGTAGAAAAAAGGAGGAAACATCAGCTTATAACCCACGTTGTCGACGAAAGCAACTCCCGAGTATAATTGGATTCAAACTTTGTCTTTAGCCGCTATCTCACGTATTTCTAGAATTACTTTTACCTATACCTTACATATAAATTACATCAAAACATTTCTAACTTTTATTACAGAGGAGATTTCAAGCAAACGTGACTGCAAGCTGGAGGGGTTGCATCCTTTCCTTATCATTACTTATAAAAACATCACAATATCAGTAAGTTTGATTGCGATATATATTTTTATAGTTGGCAAATTACGTTGATCCTCATGCATATGAATTAAGCGACATCAGCATTTCATTTAAGATAATATCGATTTTAAAATATATTCATACATTTTGTGCATGAAAAGACAAAGCTGTTGCGAAAATTACCAAGTTATCCTTTGCATGACATTTCTATGATGCGATATGTCTTTCAGGCGGACAAGATTACTATTCCACATAGTGAGAGAGTCACAATGAGATGTCGAGAATTAGGAAAATACAAACTTGTTGGTGATCCATTTCTACAGTGTAGAAATGGTGAATGGAGTTCCAAACAACCTTATTGTTTACCCACCACTTCCATTTCTAATTACACTGGTAAGCCTTTTATCGATTGATTTTTTAATCAATTTTTTTCTTTTCATTTTTCAGTAAAATTATTCTTTTTTTTAGAAAATACATTTTTTTTTTCACCAACTTTTGATGTTTCTGAATTTTTACGTCTCGTTTGTATTTTTTTTTTATTACATTTGAGGGATTGTTTCTCCCTTTTGTTAAATTATTTTTTTATGGAATAATAAAAGATAATAGCAAAAAATGAATAAAATATTTCAAATATGGAAATTACAAGTTTTCCAATGCACCCTCTTTCACTAAAAATTCAATCATTTTTTTACTCAAATACTGTCTGTTATAAATCGAACAAATATTTTTATCTTTAGAAAAATATTTTAATTATTCAAATAAATGATATATCATTTTTGTTTTCTGGATAGAAAATTTTTTTCATCAATAAACGTGTAGGAGAATGTCAAAAAAGTTTCCGTTTCTGTCGTATTTGCTGGAACACAGTGATATTGGGTTGCTATAAAAATTATTCAGTCCGACACAATATATGCTTTTTTTACGACAAAATTGATCTTTAGATAAGTAAAAAAAGTAAATATTATTATAAAACATAGACTAGTACATGAATAATTTTTTTCATGTCTAATAAATTATTCAAAATAGCAATGTCTTTATTACTATTCAGAGATGCAGGCAAAAAGTAGATTTAACCGATTACTCATATCAAAAATATTGCAGCAAGTATTTAGGTAAATGCCTGAATTCTACGTGTAAAATAATATCATGTAAAGAGCTGAAACTTTGCTTGTTTTGTGGGTTTCAAAAATTCATCAAAATATACATTTTAGAGGATATATTTTCCTACACATTTTGAGCATTGAAGCAATTTTCTCGCATATTTTTTAATGCTTTTTTCAAGCTATTTGAAGTTATAAGATTTTTTTTATAACAAATTACCTTCTAAATTATTCTTTGAAAAGAGTGTGTTTTAAATATTAACTGATGTCTGAAATATCGATAAACTCTTTAGCTAAAAAAAGAATCCCTCTTTTTTAACTGTCTCTGCGAAACTTTACCTGACCTAATATTATATTCACCTATTTCGGTTATGAGTATCATGAGGATCATAAAATACTTTGTTTCATTTTTAAGTAAAGCTAAAATATTTATTTTACTATTCTACGTGATAATAAATTCATCTCTTTCAAATGATTCCTGTTTTTTTCTTTACGCAATTACTTTAACTCAACAACTAAAAGTTGTGAACATGAATGAAAAGTTAAGTTATGAAGCTGCTTAATAATTAAAATAGTTTAACGCGCTTTTTATAGTAAGAAATAAATTCAATGATACTCTTTTCAACGGAAGTTAGATACATTTTTGTGGAACGAAAAAACTTATAACTACCTACTTATATGATAATAACAGTAACTATTACCCCTGCTGGATATTATTGTACTATTTTTTGGTTTGCTTAAAATATTTTTATCATAAAACTTTTGAATTTTAAATAATTTAATTAGTATTATTACGAGAAAGTTCATATTGAGGGAATTTTAAATTCGCTCAGATAAAGTTATTAAAAATTTCGTTAATTAGATTATATCTCTAATACTTTTGACGTCAATTGATGTTATTTTATGCATACATATGCATCTATATGCATTTAGATTTTTCATAGTTTAAATTTTTACAAACTTATGATAAAATTAAAAATTTTTCTCGTAGATAAATCTCTGGGGTATTAACAAATTATTAGTTTTTTTTTTCTAGTTTGATAACTTGATTATAAATATAAAATGAACATGTATTCGACACTGGTGGATGTTATCATTTCCATCTGAAAATTTCACTAACTTTTTCAATGTCTTTTTGTTAAATGTCTCGCTTCCTTCTGACAAAAATGAGCGAATACATTTTTTATCGAGTGAAAGTAAGGTGCGAAAAAGTAGTAAAAAAGAGAAGGAATGAGGGAAAGAGTATAACCACTCCCCTTGTCTCTTGATACTCGAGGGAATTGCGGGCAAACGTCTGCACCAAGGGGACCGATCCAACAGCTTCTTAGATTTACTTTCAGTTCACGTACATGTTTCGCATCCCTATTCGCTCTTTTACTTGTTCTTTCTCATCTTTACTATAAAATGCAGATTGTTAGTTTGGTACTGCACATTACATCGCACTTTTCAATACACTCTTGAAAATTGTTGTTACAGAAAAAGACTTTTTCAAATATTACTCGTCATTTTTTTTTGTCATGACTTAATTATAAATTATATAATGGGGACTAATACATTAGCACTGTTGAAATATTAAAAAGTAATAAATAAAATGTTGATTCAAAAATGCAGATTAAAAATTTTGTGCACAATTAATAATGTAAATGAAAAGATGTCCTTTTGGAATTAAAATATAAAATATTATAATAATGGTACAGATTCGAATCCTATATTACTCTAAATGATATTTAAGTATTGTTTTTAATCTTTATAAAATACTCAGAAATTTTGATTTTTATTTATAAGAATACTTTGTTTCCAGCTTCTACTTTTAATTAATTAAAAATTTAATAAAAGTGAATTCATTTTCCCTGCACAAAGTTTCATTAAAAATTTGTTGTATTTAACATTTTACTGAAACTTAAACATTAAACAAAAGTTTTTCGATATCTAAGATAATCATCCAAAGAGAGATCTACATGCACACGAAACGAAAGGATTTTTAATTTTTCGTCTATAAAGAGAATGAGAATGAGGTAAAATAAAAAAGCTGTGACAAAAAGCGAAAAAAGGGTGTGCGAATAGTAGTGAAAAGAATTGCGAAATAACGTCCAGGGAGAAACAGCTGCTATAGCCGGTCCGAGGCAACAAAATTGCGTGCGTGAGCTGGAACAAAGCGTTTTGTCGCTTTGTCATGAAAAATGTGTGAGAGCTACCAACATTGTTATGTGTGTATAGCATGTGGTCGCCGTCGGCTAGTTTACTAGTCAAGACAACGATTTAACCCATAAAAAACATGTAATAGAAAAGATGTCCGAATTAATCCTGAAATTACTTTTTATTTATCTTATGTGTAGTTAAAATAATAGATGATAAAAAATTTTCAATAATATTTATATATAAGATATTTCCATATTTTTCAAATTATGCGGAAACTAAAAAATAAACAAAAAACTAGCTTGCGTATCAATTTCCAATATCGTATTCATTATTGTTCCATTTTCTTTCTTCTAATGAGATTTTCAAGAGCTGCACTCGATGCATGAAAATCTTTATTTGTTGAAAATTTATATCAACACCATTTTGTATTCATATTTAGTACTTTTTTTATTATTATTAAAAGCCGTATAGTTTATTTTTTATCTTTACTAAACTTGTATTTTTCCCGTATTAAATGTTATGAATAGAGATTTTTATATTAAAAAACATTTTTTTAGTAGTACTTTTTATACAATTGAACATATTTTTCAATTGAATTTTTCATTACTTACCATAGTTTGTTATTCATTAAAATAAAATTTTTATGCTTTAAAAATAGACGATAAAATTAAGTATACTGTGATGTTTATTTAATAAAATTTTTTTATTTCGTCTCTGAAATATTTGTTTATTAATTAAAAAAATTTCAATGTGATTAAATATCCTAGTACTACTCTTTTATTTATTCAACTAGAAACTTGAACAATACCTTATTAACTAATCGCTGAATAAAATAATAAAAATTTTATGTAATTACTTAACCGATATTATAATTATGGTTTAGACATGACAGAGCGTATTGCTAATTATCTAACTAGATGAACAATACTAATACCTAGACCACTGCAAACATCAACCAAACAGCCATTAATTAATATTGATTCTAATACAGTCAAAGGAAACATTTAATATCAATAACAATTAATAGGATTTGAATGAGAATTAGGTCTACCAATGTTAAATGAAACATTAGTAAATTCAATAATTTTCTAACTCGGTCATAAATCATCTTTTTCAATTTTCCATCAAATCGTGCACCAATTGTTATCAACCATAAAAAAGTTCCACATTGCTTTTTGAATGTTTATTTTATCTTTTGATCAAAATCGTCAATGCATTGTTCTATTTATTTAGCAGGAGAAATAAACAACAAGGAAAATAATAACTACTTTCTTTTTTCCAGATAACGTACCTCCAACGATTTTGTTTGGATTACCAACAGGATCAGCAGCAATTGAGCCTTCAGGAGCTTTGGCAGTGTTTCCTGGAAGTATTCTACACCTCGAGTGTTTATTTGCTAGACGAATGGGTAATCCTGAATGGACATGGACTTCAAGCTTTCGTCAATACCTTACAGGTCATTATTAAACAATGATTGTTGAGTGAACAAAGGTGAAAAAGACCGTGTAATTTCCCTTTTCATGCATTCAGAATTGCAGTTTAATTGTCGGGATGAAAAGTTTAGTAACGAGTGCTCTCCTAACACTTTAATTTTCTCGTATTTCTTTGTTCCAATCTAGCAGTTGGTTGAAAAGTAAAGACCAGAGTTATTTATCGAAACTTTCAACGCAACTGTACTGCAGAAAAGTCTGTAAATGTGGGTTAAATTGTCCTATCTCAAAAGCTCCTCAATATATCTCGTTTCTCTTTTAGACAGAATGTCATTGAACGATTATAAGCCGCTTTAGTTCACTCAATTATTCTTTATGAACGTCCTAAATCTATCTCTAATCGGTTTATAGAAATGGCACATAATAGATCTCGTTAATTAAAAATTGAAATTATCATTGATAATGTAACATCTTAGAAAATTACCAAAAAATTAGACTTTATTTCATAAAAAAAACCAATTTAATTTTTAAATAGTTCATATGAAATAATATAATTCAAATAAAATTTAATTTTACTCACAAAACTTTTTCAACACAAAATTTTTAATTCTTTTTCCGCTTATATTCTATTTAAATTGAACTCAGTTGATGTTTATAAAAAATGTAATTAGAATTAAAAAAATATACGTTTTTCAAAACTAATTATAAATGTGAAAGTAATTAATTGGTAGTCACAATCGGATTTGATATTTGATTTGTTTCAATATTTAAAGCACAATGCATAAAATATTTCAACAAATAAATAAAACAAAAGAGCGAAAAGTCTATTAAATAATATAAAACTTTCGTCTATATTTAAATTTTACTGAGTGATATAAAATATGATAATGGAAAATTCATTTTATTTACAAAAATTGCCATTGAAATTCATTACTACATACTTTTAGAAAACATGTTACATTATTTGATTTGTTTTATCGACGATTTTTTTAAATTCATGTTGATTGTTTCGTTGTTCTACTTTAATACTTCTATCAACGTTTTATAAAAAATTATTACTTAAAAACTAGAAACAAAGTATATTAAAAGTTTTGATTGCGGTTGAATAGAAAATAAATTTATTTTTATTTAAACTCAATTTTTATTCCATTCTCATTTTATTTAATTAATTTTTTCAGGCTGGGCTATCGCTGCATCTGAGAAAGATTGGAAATACAGATTATCGATATATTACGTGAAAAACCAAGATTCTGGTACCTACACTTGTTCAACACCAAAAGGTCTAACGAATTCGATTCGTATCAACGTCGTGGGTAGGTTTAATCTTTTTAACAGCATTGAAGTCTTTAATTCTACCTTCCATATAGCAATCTCTGATGGCAATTTTTTTTTCAATCACTGTGACCAGACATCCACTGTCCTACGTTGAGTTCTATCACCTCACCTATGACCGCTAAGATTCAAGGTACAAGAATGGGACACAAGGCTGAGTTTAGATGTCCTGATGGTTATAGACTGGAAGGCTCAAGAGTCTTGAGTTGCCAATACAACGGTTAGTGTTTTTTTCTTTTGTTCTCACCAATTTCTACGACACAGAAAATAAAATACTCTAGTCTCTGGGCTATTTTGTCCACCCGTTGGCTTTAAATTACTGATCCGTATTTTTTTCTCTTTTTTTTAGCAGCTCCAATTTTTATTTTCTCTCTGTTACTCGTATATTTAATCTCATTTTATAAATCTTGAAAAAATTTGTTCAACAAATATTTCCATTGAATTATTTTTCTCACTGTTTTTTCAGCTTTCATTTTTAATTGAGGAAAAATATGTTCACTTGGTTATGAAATTTTCACTTTTCTATTACTTTAGTTATGAGAATTTATTTAAAATCATTCATCTTTATTAAATATTTCAGTACATTTTCTGTGTTATTATAATTTGATAAAAAAAAAGTTGGTATTTTATTAAAGTTAATATTTTTTAATTATAATCAATCAATTAAAATTATTCATAATAGTAATGCAAAAATTTCTGAATCTTAGCAATGTCTAAAATAATTTAGATCAAACAGTTAATTGCAAATCAGACTCGTTAGCCATCAAATTACAGGATGAAACGAATTGTGATAATTGAATGGCTGGGGAATAAAAGTTTGTCTAATGGAAAATTGATTGCGCATTGCAGGAAGATGGTCGAACGAGGTACCACGATGTGAACGGATACTTTGTCCTGAGATAGTTGCGTCAAATGCTCGACTCCAAATTTTAGAGCATAACAATACTGTTGGTGGTAGAGCTTCATTTACATGCATGTGGGGGAATAACCTCGAAGGACCTCCAACAATCACCTGTAAAGAAGACGGCACGTGGAACGCATCAATTCCAATTTGTTCACGTAAGATTTAAGTTAATCTTTTATCGAAAAAAATCATAAAGCTTTCAACATGAAGTTTATTAATTGAAAAATTTTTTCGCTTTAGAAATAATTTGTCGTCCACCTCCTGCTCCAAAGAATGGAAAGATAATTGAGCAAGGAAAAACACATTCCGGAAAACAAAGAAGAACGCGCGTCAAGAAAGTTGGATCTCTTTTGAGGTTCGCGTGTCTGCCTAGTCATCAACTACTTGGGGAGGCATCGATTATCTGTACGGAAAATGGAACTTGGTCTCACAACCCTCCTACATGTACGTACAAGTATCATTTATGATGTAACAGAAAAAAGCTCAAAACCCTTAATGGAAAGTACTTTATTTCCATGCTTTATTATCATTTTTATACACATTTTATGTCCAATGCAATGAACATGAAGACTTATGGATAAATTTAATTTCATGTTGTTCAAGGTTTTGTTCTACTTTATTTGTATCTTACTATTTGCCAGCTCTATGACTGACAAAAAACATTAGATACTCAGAGGGAGAGTTGAAATATTACCTCTTTTATGTTCAACAATAAAAATCAAATTTAAAGCTGGAATAAAATATTAATCTGCTATCGTTATAGGTGAAAATATTTGAAATGTTTGCATTTGATGTATCAACTGTTAAAAAAACAAATTAAAATACTTATCCACATTGCTTATCCATTGAAGCAAAAAAAACCTGAATTCTTGATTTCCTGAATCAAGACTTCAACAGAACTTGTACAAAAAAAGTACTAAGTAAAATGATAGAATTCTTGCTTTGCAATGCAACTTCTTTGCAACATCCTTATTTGGAAATATTTCAATTCTAGAATGTTTGTATTGTTTTGATGAAAACGATGCTCAAACAGAAAAAGAGATCTTAAGTTAAAATATTTTTTTTAATTATTTCAAGGCAAAGCTTTATGATAATTACAATAACGAATTAATTAGTTAATTGAACAATATTAATTAAATCAATATAAAATTGACTATATTCAATATAGTTCTGACATAAACAAATAACCAACAGCTTTTTAATTATTCCATAGCAATATTAATAATTAAACTGACAGATTTAATAATGAGAAACAAAACAAGCTGATATAACATAAAAAAAATAATAACAAAAAATACAGATATACATTTTATATGTGACCGACTTTCAGTGCATCTACCCTATTATTACTTGAATTATTTTTAAGGTCAAGTAATTGTATGCTTTCTTTTAAATTATTTTATTTTCACCTAGCTAGTCAGCATACACTGCAATATATATATATTTTTTTTAAAATTCCAAGTTGAAAGCACATAGCGTAATTAAAATAGAGCATTTTTTGTTGAATTTAAATTTCATTTTTTATTTGATGTTTTAGGTGAAGTGAGGTGTCCTTATCCAGGCGATCCGCCGCATGGAAAAATAGCTCCTTTGAAATTTTGGTACAAACCTGGCGATACGATTCAAGTAACGTGTTCTCCAGGCTATGTTACACCCCTACAACCAGTGAAAAGGCCTACATGTCGAGAGAATGGAGTGTGGAGTGGTCCACCACCACCATGCAGATCTTACAGAGATGTTTGAAAGTTAAAAGCATTTTAAAGAAAATGAAGCGAGATAATGTCACACAAAAAAAGAGTTTATCGTTAATTAAAACTCACTACGCCGATACGGCATAAATTATACATGAAAAAACAAAAATTGAATGAAAAAAAATGATGTTTTCCACAAAAACGAAAATAACAAGCGACTTGGACGCTTAATCTAGTTTTATTTCTACATTTTCTATCCCTTGATTCATTTATTTTTTGTTATAAAACTCTTTTCTACGCTGCGGATGAGACGACAACCTCTTTGCCCAACGTATATTTACACTGTGAGATTAATTAAAGCCATCTCATCCCTTAAATTCTCTCTCTCTCTCTCTCTCTCTCTCTCTCTCTCTCTCTCTTTCTACAGCTATATAAAGTGTATCAAGTCAATTCACAACGTGTAAATACAACTGGAGATTGCTTTACCGACGTTTGAACTGTTAAAATATCACTTAGCATTGTTCATCAGAGGTTGAATATTTCCAAAGCAAAGCGGAAAGTAGCGCAAATTCAATTTTCAAGATTGAAAACAGTTACGTCAATAATTAATTACTCAAGTTACTTACAAAATTACTTTTTACAATTTAACTGAAAATTTTTGTCGTTTTATTATTATTATTATTTTTCATTCAATCAGTAAATTTGCCAGAAATTATGTAATAATGAAGCAGGTAAAGTAAAGTATATGAATGTTTCTATATTTCGTATTTTTTTACTTGAGTTATCAAAAATCGATCGTTCTCTTTAGTGAAAAGTTTTAATAGTGCCCGGAGATAAAGTTTAAAAAAAAAAAGAAAAAGGAGATTCGAGAAATAAAAGAATTTGAATATGATCGAAGAGAAATGTCTTCAGGCGACACTTGAATAAGAAAGAAATCTTTCCACATTTTTTTCCTCACGTTTCATAAGTTGTCTGACAAAAGAGACAAGAAGAAACAGAGATTGATGACCGAAAGGAAAACTTCCGTGTAGTTAGATTTGGCTTGATGCAAAAACTTTTTTTTTATTTATCTTGAAGACAAAAGTGCGAAGTTGAAAGGGATTAAAAAAGACAAGAGTCTAATGTTTTGGAGATAACTTGCATAAGACTTTGTTGCGTAAGTATTTAAAGCTCTTAATGTCTAAATGTAGTTTTTTTATTTTTTTGGTCTAAAACTTATTGCCAGAAGTTAAGTCTCATGGGGTCTTTCCTAGATCAACTGACTTGATTGCTTGCTTTCCCTTTCTCGAGACAGATAAACCTTTCTTATTTTCCCATTATTATTTTTCCTTATCTCTTAACACTTCCTGTCACACATTTTATGCTATAAAATAGTATAATCATTGCCTTTCTCCTTAATTAAGAAAATAATAGAAGTAATGGGAAAATAACAGTTAGGTAAGGAAAAGAGGAGGATAGAAGGAATTAAATAGAAGGAAATTTTATGAACGATTTTGATCAACTACTGAAAGATATGAGTAGGAGGAGGGTGGGAGAGGTTGAAATGCAATTAAACAGACCTTGCTCATCTATAGCTGGCTACCAAGTGAATTAGTCTATTTAATCGTGACGATACTAAATTTCATCTGAGTTTCACGATATATTGAGATCAATATGTGTACCAACACGTGTCTACATGTGGCAAGATAAACGAAAATCTAAACACATTACAATATAGTTTACCGCTTATTGCGTTCACCCTGGGGCTATCAGATAGATAAATTTACTCGAGGATGAAATGATTTTTCAATCGTATCTCTGCCCCTCAGGAATGACAACAATTTAGGAAAAATCGCTTTATTTTATCCACATTTTAATTGAATAATATTTTTTATGAAAACTGGCATGATTTATTCATTATTTTGTTCATTAATTTTTGTTTTTTTTTGTAATTATTTATTTATCTCATTTTTAGTTATCTAAAATGTTTGGAAAGAATTTTGGAATAAATGAAACACTGGATCGTAAATCAACAGATAAATTACTCGTTATTTTTATTATTATTTATTTATGGTGAAATGAGAAAAGGGTTGGATTGGCAGATTTATCTTGATTCTTCTAATGGATATTTATTTCAAAACAAGACCAGATGGGAAAATAGTAATCAAGAGGTGGAATAAAAAAATCCCGCTATCATAATCTAAATAAACTTCAATTGCAATACTGCGTTTCTTTAATGTCTACTGGGGAGAGAAAAAAAATATTATGAAGTGTAGTAAATGAAGTCACATAAAAAGAAATCATTAAAAAAGTACAATCTGTCATTAAATGGAATGAATTTTTTGTATTATTATGATTATGTTTTCTTTCATTGAAAAAACTTGTGATGAGTTATAGGACAAAGTCTCTCGTGGGTCCATCGGGGGAGAAACTTGTCTGAGGGATATAATGTCTGAAGAGAGAAACACATATAAAGGATGACAATATTTAATGGGGGAGGGAAATAAAAAAATTTTTTTTTTATTTGTCAGGACAAGAAACACATAAAAAAATGTAAATTAATGGAATTATTTATTTAAGTGATATAAATGGATGAGAACTGGGTTAAGTTAATAATAATTAATGACACTATAAATTTTTTGCGAGTGTCTAGAGTTTAGACAAAGCTGAATGTATTTCAATGAATAGCTTGCAGTAGAATCAATATCAGTTAGATCAGACGAATTTCAGAGTAACGAGGGCAGTAACGAGAATAACGGCAGCACGACCCCAATTAAACTCGCATTTCAATTGAGCCATCCAATCAAGCTGTTTCTCTCCTCTTTCCTTTGCACCCTATCGTAATGCATCGCCTCAAGGATCTTGAAGGGTACATGGTCGAGAATACCTTATCGATCCACTCACTCTTGTTTCAACCCTTACGATTTTTCAAGCACTCTTAGATATCTTGCTATCGAAAAAAAAATAATGATAGCGCTAAGAACAGCAGAATACTAATACTTGACAGTTATCTTGTTTGGCTGAGGTTATGATTTTTTGATAAATTCCAAGCAGAACGATGGATACTAAATTCAAGACTTTAGGCAAGAAAAAAGCTCTAAATAATTGGTTAAAAGATCCAAGGTGGACAGTTAGAGACAAAATTTTTCAATATAAAGGAATTTTGAGGCTTCAGGGTAAAAACATTATCTAATTTTAATAAATAAATTAATTATTATTGGCGGCAAACATTGACACTAACTTTGTTTGATGGGCTTAAAATTAGATTGAAAATCTGATTTAATGATAAATTTAACTCGCCTCCAGTGATAATATTAATTATTTTATTAAACGTCAACTTTCCTCTGACTAATAATCTGAATTAAAGGTTTTTGAATATTGATGATGCAAAGTCTAGACTACAACAAAACTATTCCATTATTTATAATTCATACCAATCGTCTTGTAAAATTGATTTAGTATTTTTAGTAATAACTTTAATAAATAATTTTAAAAATGAATTTTTATGTTATATATATATATACAAAATTGAATTTTATCGACGAATAAGAGAATAAATTCAATCAAGGTTCAAAGATTTTTCTTTTTCTCTTTCTTTTCACTAAAAGTACAATAAAATGGTAAATTGTGATGAAAGAAAGATTGTAATTTGCTTTTCTTTGTACAGGGCGACAGAAAAAAATAAAAAGCGGGGAAGCTGTAAGATTACGAAAAAAAATATGTAAAGAGTTGAGAACTCTTAAAGCTGAAGTTAAAGAATTTCGAGAGGTGTTGAAAGAAGTTCAATGTGGTGATAAAAGAAGATTGCATACAATTTTGGCAGATCATAAGGATCTTCAGTTGGCTTATGGGAATCGAGATCCAGACGTAGGACTATGTTGTAGGACAAGATTATATTTAAATTTATTAATAATAAAATTTAATTTTATTTGTAACATTCATTCTTTAGACTGTCTATCGTGCGGTTGTGGATGATTGCGATTTTAAACGAAAGCAGTTAAATGAGTTGTACTACTTGAAGACTTCAAAAATCAAAGAATTCTTTGATCTCAAAGTATTTTTTTCCGACAATCTTTTCTTTCTATTTATTCAAATAGTTCCAAATAATTAATAAATTGAATTAACAGCTGGAATGGACGTCTTTAATGAATGAATATGAAGACCAAAATACTTTAAAAGATCCCGACCCTCACAAACGAAAAATACTTCATTGTTATGATAAAGCTATTGCGAATAAACAAGCTGCTGAGTCTTTGCGCTTGACTTATTTGCTTATGATAGATGGTTTAGAGAAGGTTCACTATTACAGCAGTACTGATGAATAAACTAACAAAAAGAAAAAATAAATAAATCTTTCATTTGCTTATTTAGGATAGATATCATTTTGATGCAATTATTGATGCTTTAGGAGATGATAGAAAAGAGCAACATCACCTAGTAATGAAAGCGAAAAAAGTTGGCCAATTAGCAGCTCATGATTTGAAAGAAACGCGAAAAGTTTATAAGAAAATGGTAGTTAAAGTTTGGAAAAATATCAGAGAAAGAGAGAGAACTCTAAAAATTATTCGAGAACGTGTGGAAAATTTATGGTCTGATGTTCGATTACTAGTGAGAGTCGAGGTGAATAGAAAGATTTATAGCCGGAAAAAAATCCAATTATTTTAAATGAATTAAATTAGTAATTGCTTCTATTTAATAGAGTGATACAAGATACATAGAAAAATTAAGTGAAAAATCACCTAGCATTGACAAAAGCCTTGAAAATGATGTCCAGTCATTAGAGAGAATGTTTGAACGAGTCAAGAATACTTTACAAACTCGATCATATGATGAGTTTCTTACCAGGTGAGTAGGCTTACCACCTGTAAACATCATTACATAGTAATTGTACAATTAAATAACATTTGTCATGGTTCGTTGGAATAGATTTAAAAACCAGGCGAGGCAGAAGACGCGCCTACTTAAACTATTGGAAAAGAGCCTTGAAGAGCGTGATTCATTATTGAACAAGAAGAATAACGCTATATTGATTTTAAACAATTTAAAAGACTCAATATCAACTAATGGAGACTATGATGAGTAAATTGAGTTTGATATTTATATTAATAAGGAAATTATGTGAAAAATATGAATAAAGAAATAAAATAGATTTATTGATTCCTTTAGGTTTAAAGCAAATAAAAAAGAAATGCTCCGTCAACTAGAAATAGAAGTAAAAAGAGAAGCTGATTTTACAAAATTGAGAAAATCTCGAGGAGCACTGCTGATAAATATTAAAACAGCATTGCAAAATATGCTTGTCATGATGGTTTGTATTAAACCTGGCATGGGTGGAAAACAAAAGTCACCTAGAGATAAAAAATTAAGAGATAAAAAAGGTAGACGTTCTGAAACCAAAATTGATAAGGTTCAGTTAAGGACAAAATTTCGATCTCTATCAACTGATGAATGTGAATTAGAAAAAGTTGATACCGATGGTAAAATAAAATCGATAAATTCATCTAATTTATCAAAAGTTATTAGACCACTAAATAATTTTTATTAACGACATTCCTTGTAGCTATTAATTTACTTATTCAAGTTACGAAAAAAGCAACAATTCTATTTGGAATGAGTAGTTTCGATTTGAGTCCTGAGGAAGAAGAGGAAGCTAGAAATTCATATCAGTCGTATGTAGCAGAATGCAAATCAAAAGCATTGTTTGAAAAACAAGATTCAGAATTCAAAGCATTGACAGTAGAACATGAGGTTTTGGATGCATCAGTTATAACAAGAGCTGACGTTAAATATCGCAGTAGACATCTAGTTGAAGCTAATACAAAAACTGATTAATACAGTAAAAAATACTTTATAAATTAATAATAGTAATAATAATTTATTTTTTATTTTGATAGCGATTTTATCAAATATCATTAGTATAAATTGTTTTCATTTATAGCTTACATCTAACGTTATTAATAAGTAACTTATTCGATTTCATTAATATTACCATAACCTAAATAATCTTTTCTCATTTGATCTTTCAACCATGTAGGCATATCATGAGGGAATGGATGGGCAAGGGGATACTTGTATTTTTTATAAGGAGCTCTAAAAGGATGAGTATTTTTAAATTTCCTTAACAAGTAATCCTGATTTACATCCTTGGGGTTACGATACCTATCAAGATACAAATTGAATGCCTTTGCTTTAGGGAACCACTCCTGACGACGAACATAAGGTGGTGGAAAGTCGTATTCGAATTTCGGTGATTTCATTTCTAAAACATTTTTTTTTATAGTGGAAATTTCTTTAATCTTATGCTACCATTCAAATAATAATACTTCAAACTACTCACGTAATGTCTGATGATAAAAATCCTGAAGACTTGGATCCCAATCTGCTTGGAAGAATGCCAGACCTGCTGGCGTAATTAGGTCTTGATATTTACGATAAAAATCCAGTGTACGCCAATTACGTTGAAGCAAATCCATACTATAAAAAAAACAACAAAATTACTTCTCTATGCTAAATAAACTTTATGGTTATTTTATTAGATTAAAACAATAAAATATTTAGGTAAAGTTTTACCATGGCTGTTCTTTTTTGTACTCTGAAAAATCAATTTTTTCTTTCTGTTTATACAAAACAAATATATATCTACAATAACCAATGCCATAGCAAGGAATAGGTCTCATATAATCGACTAAAACATCGCCTTTTTTCAAATCATTTCCTGGTATATTTCCACTGTAAAATAAAGTGTTAGTTTTTCAAGATCTATTCAATGATGATGTAAAGAAACTTTCGTAACATTCATAATATTTCTACTCTCTACTCACATAAACCAATGGCAATATTCTAAATCCTGACTCGTAAAGTTTCCATCAGGAGTAGTGAGTAAAAGTGTCCATAAAGAATCAGGACTAGCATTGTAGTACACTGAAGGAGCTTTCGTCGTTTCACTAGGTTTCAAAATATTTCCTCTGTGAACTACAGGAATTAACTCTAAATCTTCTGATTCATATTTTACATTCAAAGGGAAGGCAGGATAAAAATATGCATCTCCAAAAAGATCTTGAAATACTCCATAATGATTAGCAATATTTTTTATATTTTTAGAAGCATTTGAATTAAACCACTCTTCCTCAGTAAATTCCTGATCAAACAATACTGAAAACAAAAATAAAATAGTTTTATTTTTTGATTATTCACAGATTTGCTAATACATTTAATCATCTTACATTCTTTTTTTCTTGCTTTTTTTTCGAATTCTGGATTTTTTTTTACTTCTTTTACATATTGCATATACTCCTTAGACAACATAGCCCTTGATAATTTTTTGGGCTTAAATCCAATATCGACTTTCAAGTCTACTTCTGGATCAACTACCTTTAATTCTAAAACATACAAATATATCATTTATTATTTACTGATCAAGCAATGGAATATGTATTACTGATTGCAAAGAACTCATATGATCAAATAAATTTATCCAAGAGTATAGTCGAGTAAATTCGTGAAACTAAAATAACTGAGTAAATTGACAAGATGATAATTTAATCTCTGAAAAATGTGTGTATTAATATTTGTTTTAAAGCTATTAGAAAAAATTATTATTAATAATTGAAATAAATATAAATGTGATAGATTCAAGGTTGAAGTTTTTTAACTTGCGAACATTTACTTTCTAATCTTTGTTGAAGAGTTAAAGCTATTCCAGGAGGTTTTCCCCTTATTTTATGTCCATGTCGAACTTGTTGGAGATTACAAAATAATGAATTATTCTTAAAAACTCGAAAAAGTTGGCTGGTCATTTTGAAAAAAGACCGGCCTACTCTAAAATTTCAGAAAGCAACAACTAATTTGAGGTTATAACATCTGATTGTTGTGATGAAAAAAAAAATGTGGATAAGCTCTATCTAGCGTTCAACTATTGAAACAATTTCCATCTTCTCTCTCTTTTTGAGCAATTGTTATGATCCTTTACTCCAGTCATGCCTCCAGATGGCAGTTAGTTTCAGATTTTGGAGCAAAATACCTGGGGATACCCTTCCCCCAGATGCATGATGGCTCTTTCCAGGCCATAGAGATGTAGTAGGAATATGTCTATTCAGTAACGGTCACATAAATTGCCTCAGCCGGCGCGCGTCAGTGATTCATTCGAGGTCCTTCTTTTCAATTGTGTCTTTCTTCAGTTTACATTTTGGAGTGGCGCCAGTCAATTGTCTCCTGAACAATCGCAGTGTTTCTTGATGTGATTTGAAAATAATTTGATGTTAGAAATACTGAAAATAATTGAAGTTTTTAAGTGAATTAGTTGACAAAGTTTATATAAAAAAATTGAAGAATTCTGCTCTCATCACATGAGTGTCCTCATTGTATACAAGTGAAGTGTAAATAATCAAAAACCATTGAACTGTAGCTAATTCCTATGAATATAATATTTCTTGCAGATAACACGAGTTATATCTAGATGTTACTCGATACAACATATCATTTTCATGTTGTAAGATTATTTATCTAAGAAGGAAGAATTATTATTTCTTTAACATTACGTGATGATTGCGCAGATTGTTTTGACCTGACGCTTTTGCCCGGCTGCAGGCGCGCACGAGTCAGGACAGTCAATAGATACAATATAAAAAGAGATTCTTTTTATACTATAAGCAGCATATGTGAAAAAGATTAATACTGCTAAAGTGTTCATTTAATTTATAATCAAACGTGTGAGAGACCTTGTTTTTCGGACTGTCTCGATAATGAAATATACGACGGCGATAAGAGGAAAGATAATAATATTGATGCGGACGTAGTTTACAATTAGTTTTAGTGAAATACGATGTTATTACTTGTGTCTATAGACTTAATAATAATAAAAGAAAATTTGTTAAGTCTCTTCAGTGACTTCACACTCGAGTACTCACAATGGTGCTAGAAATGTTCAAAGAGAAAGAGCAGAGTTGATGAGCCACAGCGTGAGAAGGGAATAAAATAAGGAAAGAATAACATTTCTCACGCGAGATAAAAGATGACTGATCTATTGATCGGCATTGCCGGAAGTGGCTTTCACGGTGGTAACAATTCCAACGGAGATGTTGTTTATAGAACAAGGAATTCAGGAATTTTTCGCAACTCAGAAATGAGACATTCCAGAAGTGAGGATATTTTAGGAGCTTCAGGAGCTGATGCACCAACTAGAACACCAAGTTCCTATCTTCATGAACAGGCTTGTGCATCTGAAGATGACCTAGTTGCCTCTAGTGCCCTGAGGGATGCTTCGTCATCGACCAACCTACTTCAAGATTCGATTTATCCTTATGGAAACAGAAGGTCTGCTGCATCGCCTCCACCAACGTTCGATAGAGCTGATCCTGAAGATTCTATTCGAGATATTGTGACTGAGAATGATCTTTATAGGTTCTTTTTTTTTTTTCTTTTGATAATCAAATACATTGAGAAAACAAATTAATTGATTATTATGCAATGTCGTAAATTAATTTATTTCTGAGTAAATTACGATAAATAGTGTTTTAATTGATTTGCTAATCACACGGATCTCCAGTATTGGAAATTCTTGAAAAATGTGTGAGTACTGTTATTGAATGAGTATAACAGTAAACATGGCAATAAAATAAAACATTTTCTTGTGATTTAAATAAACCAACAATGTTTGAGTACAAAGAATAATAAATAATCCAAGTAATATTAGCCTTGTTATTGAAGCAAAAAAAGTTTGATATGTCTAATCAACTTTTTTTTTCTCAATGTAGTATGTTATATAATGTTTATTTCTGAACATATGCGTCATGAAAATATTTTGCATTGCAGATTTGTCCTGTTCAAAAGACATTATGACAAATATGTGGCTCTAGCTGAGAAATATGAAGAATCAAGAGGGATAGCATATTACCTTGAAGAACGCTACCATGAGGTCAAGGTGGGATTTTTTTGGCTTTAAATTTGCAATTGTCACCTTTAATGACTAGAAAAGTTTAGATCAGAAGATAATGTGTTTGTCTTTAACGAGGCGTCTCGTATTGTTATTTCAGACAGACCTTTCGGCTATAGAGGAATGTATAATTTATTATAGGCATTTATACCTGAGTAGCATTTACCTCCTACCTATGTGTAATTACAGGTATAAAGTTGTAGCAGTAGTCTGGATTGTGAATCGCTTTCTTCCTGCTATTTGTAAAAGATGTTTTATACATTTACCCACACAATTGTAATAGCCGGAACAATATATTACATTACTTCAGAATGTCTAACTTCCTTTTCAGTGATTTCTTCATATCACGAAAAAATTATGATAAAAAACAGTAGAAGTAAAAGAAGAATTTCTGTTGTAATCGCATGATTCTCAATGTGTTGTTGACGGTACAGACTTTGAATTATTGAACTATGGAGGAAAAGAGAATTACGAGAGACGCAAGTAGAAGGGAAGCTCGGCTTTCGCATTTGCCGTTCACCGGACCGTGAGAGCGGGTGACCTCACCACTAACTTCAGCTAGACACAGAGCTCGACGAGGCCGTGCCGTTAACAGCACAAAATTCTACTGCTCGATTGTCGCCCACTAGTATGATTATTAATCGCTTTCCTCCTTGGGAGACCCCGGAAAACTGTAATTCACTAATGCTAATTTTGTTAAATTATTATTCCAGTACATGAAAAAAAAAATCCCAGTCACGAGTGTGTGTACTGTAAACTCTAGTGAATGCATGCGTGAGAATAACACATTCACCACTCCCTAAAACCGTTTCGGTTCGTTGAAGATCCTCAGTAGAATCTTGAATGTAAAAAAATATTTAAACTCAATAGTTTTGTTAATCGACTGTAGAAAGTTAAATTTCAGGTTAGGAATGTTTTTTTGATCAATTTTTTGAAATTATTAAACATGCTTTTTGTTGACTATTTCAGGCTGAAAAAGACAGATTGGAAGAAACATGTAAGGAATTAGAGAGACAACTAGAAAATCGTGAGACACAAGTAAGAGAAAAGGAGGAAGAATTGTTTTTACATTTAGAACGAAGTTTACGGCTTGATGATGAGATTGAAAGACTAAAGGCCGAACGTGACTCTTGTATCGCTGTTCGAGAACGTCTAGAACGTGAGCAAACTTCTGCACTAAGGCAGTTACAGTTGCAAGCAACGCAGAGCGAAGTAACAAGAAGAAACCTCGAACAAGCGAGGCTTGACATCGTCAGACAAGCAACAGTCATTCGAGCTGAACGCGATGCACTCGAAAGAGAGGTAAATAAGATTAATATGTACTTTCATCGCTCTTTTATTATTTCTTTAATAGAGTCATTCTGAGTCAATAAAATATTAGAATTATTCTAGTGAAAAGGCTATGGCCATATGAGATATCTAGAAAATGTACTTTCAAAATAAATTACTACTTATTCCAGCGTAAAGACATGATGATTATAATCATAACTTTGTATTACAGAATGTTGTTCTCAAAGAAAAATTACGGGTAGAACAAGTAGAATTGGGTGAAGAAAGACGTCGACGAGAGGAAGGAATTGCATTACTCACACATGAAGCTGTTACTCTAAGACATGCTGCTCGTCATTTAAGAGCTGCTGCACTTCACGCTACGTCCTGTAAACGGAGAAGAAGGTGTTCAGTTTGTCTTTATGCCAAACGCACTTTTGCCGAGGTTGATGACTGCCGTGACGAGTCAGTAATTTTTTTAATTAGAAAGATGTTAGTTAGCTAGTTATACTTTAAAAATTCAATCTAAGGTTCATTAATTTTTGTCAGTTCGCTCATGTATCTCAGCAAAAATTAGTGACACTAATTATGAACTTGAATTTAATTACGTTGATAATTTTGAATAATGAATGAATTATTTATTTTAGTTCTTCTTTTAGTGGCAAGCTGTTTAAATGTCTTCAAACTCCTCTCCAAGACCTGAGAACGTGGTTTCGACCAAATCCAATAACAGCGCCACCGCCACACACACAGGAACTGAGGACGAGTTCACCTGTCGCTTCTCGCATCGGTTACATTGATGACTCATCCAGCAGCTCTGAGGACGAGGAATTTGGTGATACTCCCCTAGCTGAGGTCTCTTTGTCTTCAACTAACTCTGGAGCACCACCAGCATCCCGTGCTTTCTCCTCAGACTCTGGGTATGTTGTCGATGCGTTGACGCAACCTGTGACAACACCGATAACTCCCACAACCACTCCAATCGATGCTGATTTTTCTTCGTGCAGTTTCTCATCAGAGATTGGCGACCGCAGATCCCGCAGATCATACGAGGTTGGCGGTAGCAGCCGAAAGATCAGCGAGTCTAGCAGCGATGCAGATGTAATGGGTCAAAGAGCAATACCAAGCACTTTCACTCGTTCCAAATGGACTTCATCGTTTCGTAAACTACTTGGACGGAAATCTAAAGCCAAAATTGCCAACAATCGACCTTCTGCATAAGGATCAAATTATTTTATTTGAATTAACTATTAATTTTTCTATCTTCTCAGTGTTTCTACACATTTTTTATTTCTTAACCTTTACATTTCTCTAATCGTATTTATTAGAAGTTCTTTCAATGTTTAAACATTTATGCACACTCAATTTCTCAGGGTCTTGGTACTCGAGATTAAATTAACTGCCAGAGTGTGGGAACTTGTTCATCCCTGGGACCGTAAAAACAAAAGAAGAATAATTGTTATTAAAAAAATGCAGATTATCTTGCCACATACCTGTATTGGTAATTATTGAACATAAAGAATCACATTTTACATGAATTCTTTCAATTTTAGGTATTTGGAAAAATTCAATAATTTACAAGACTGTTTATGATAGTTAGAGTAATTAATCAGTACTTAAATTGGCATCGTTTAAACTTTTTAAACATTGAACTCAACGTACAATAAATAACATGGATGTTTTAGTGATAGATTCAGTGTTTAAAAACGTAAAAAGGTCAGTGAGCTGCGTGATAAATAAAACGTATATTAAACGGTGCAGTAATTAAAAAAATTAATAGAACAATAATTGCGAAATAATTAAATTATAATTGATCAATTAGTTCGATTGCAAGAGGAATTGCTATTCAAATGATGTATTTTGAATTTTATTAGATTGAAATTTTATCAACTTTTTCTGAAAATTGGCAATTATTATGAGATGTAAAATATTTAATTACAACTGTTATTGATATTTAAAAACTCTATTTGTTAAATACGCAGCTAAACATTAATATTATGTACATATTATTTATGTAAATGTTACTTTTACTCTAAAAAACATTCCAAATTTAACTTATTATGAGTAAAAGTCTTATTATAACATTAGTTTTTCTTCACAAAAGTGCCAACAAATTGCACAAATAACAGGCACAATTTTTAATATCAAAATAAATTTTTTTATTTTCAATTTTGAATTATTTAAATATAATTATACATCGGACTATTACGGAATTTTAACGAGGAATTCACACAGTCAATACTACTCTGCCATCCTCGAGATCAGAGGATGTTTCCAGAGACTTTATATATTGACACGATTTTTTTAATAATACAACGACACAATGAAATCTGGAATTGAACCGATGAAACCAATGAATTGAAAATATAATATTTAATGTTGATGTTAAAACTATTAACTATTATTATTGATATTGTTACTTTATTAATTTGTTGTTCTAATAATTTTTGAATTGTGATAGAAAACAAATTTATTACATTCCATAAAAAGTATTTGAGTGAATAAACTCAGTCATATTCCTCACATTTAAATTATTGTTTTTTTTTTAAATTATATTTATCCTTTGATGTTAGTACAAATTCTATTAACAACGAAAAGTTTTAATAAATTGATGTAAATAATTGTATCAAAGGTTGATGAAGTTTATGTCAAAAATACCAACGACTTATGATTATTTGTTATAATTAATATGGAATACGAGAAAATTTAATTATTCGTAATCCAAGTGATGTGTAACATTAAAATTTATCGATGTGCAATATAGTAATGTAATAATAATACAAAATCTTAGATCAACAGTTAACAAAACAATGTGCTCTTGAAGTAAATTGATTAGATTACAATGAATCACATAAAATTATTGATTATTATAAATTTAATTAATTTTATTGTTTTTTTTTCAATTATTGAACGTATCCATGAATATTGTAAATTTCTAGAACTTGTTATTTAAATTTGATTAACTGATCAGATTTAAATTGAAATTGTAAAATAAAAAAATTATTCAAGTGAAAAGGAGTTAATTAAGAAATTAATCTAATCAATTAGAACAAATTTAATGACGTTGTTTCCAGTATTATCTATTAATTAGATTGATAATAGAGTTCAATATTTTTAATATTCTATAAATAACTAATGTTAGATGGAGAGATAAATAAATAGTACGAAAAATATAGTAGTAATTATCTAGGAAACCAACACGTGTTTTTGACATAAAATAATGATTTTTTTTTCAATTTAAATCATCTTATCTTTAACTCTCAGCGTAACCAAAAGATGTCAGCATGGGTTCAATTCGGAGAAAAAAGGTGAAATGAATGGAGAACGGCGCTGGTATCTGGCACGCCTTTTCCACTCTCCTACTGAGGAGAGTATAGTAACCCAACCTGAACTCCACACATTTCTGGTCAGTTTGGAGCGTTTTCGAGTACGATATAGAAACAAGTCGGCCAGTCGCCACGGCCAACTTCACTCAATCGAGTTTTTGTTTCTCAGTAGCATCATCTCGTGAAAAAGTTCTCTGTAACATTGCAATGGTGGACGAGTGGTGAGTCCACTGAATTTTCTTTTTCATTTTCTTTCTTTCTCTTTCTCTTCACCTATTTCTCTTTCTCTCTTTACTTTTTCCACTGCACATTAAAACTACAAATCGTTGGTACAGTGTCGTATGTTTATTACTACCCACTTTGCCAAATCATATCATCATGTGAATCATTGCTATCTCTTGTGAATAAGCATGTTGTAAATAGAAAGCCAAGTGTAGAATTGACTCTCGAGAGTGTTCAGCACGCGTGTGAATCTACGGATGCCTCGCCTAACGATTCTACTTGAAATGTAAGTAAAAAAAATAATTGCAACAAAAAATGAAAAGTGCTATTTAAAGTTGTTGGAAGAAAGCAAAATAAAATCATAATAACTCTATGGCAGGAGTTTTAAATGCATGGGTATTTAAATATTTAAATGTCTATCAATGACAAAAGCCATCGGTTTGATAAATAAATAAGTGACTTACTGTGCGTTTTTCATAAGTATTAAATTTAATTTAAAGCTTTGAAATATTTCAAAGAATGCACCTAAACTGGGTGGGGTAACTATTGAATATTATTTGACACAGTTTGTGTGGTGTTTATTAATTTATCTTGGTCGAATTCTTAATTTGACAGTCATAATGCCGACGACGACGACGACGACGACGACGACGACATGATTGTAATGACAATGACCGAAGGAAATATGTAATGTGTAATGTTAAGACGAAGAAGGACGTTAAGGTTCATTGAAAGTCCAGTGTCGTTGTAACCAGACAATCGGAGTTTACTTCGATCGAATCACCAACTATGTATGTACTTTACTTTCTTCATCTTTATTACAACGTCGTCTTCCACTTCGTGTTCATACGACTTCAATATACTAAACCAGGCCGGTCAACAAACCTGTGATTGCAGCAAACTCGCAAATTGCTGTAGCAAAACTAAAAATAGATAATTTTTTTTTATTCTTATTTTTACATTTACATAGATTGCTTTTATTATTTTTCTCTTTTTCATCGTGGATGATTGCATGCTGACGCGCAATTACTGCTTGCGTGTATTACTTCGTCATGATCTAACTACCATAATAAAACATAGTCTCCTTGTAGTTTTCCCAGAAAAAATGAATTTATTTTGTCATTCAATTAATTAAATACCAACTTGTATAATATTTTACATTTCCCATTGTTTTTTTTGTTCCTAATTGTTGACGTTAAATGCACGTAAATAAAATTCAACTCTCAACAAACACACTCTATAAGAAAAACACTTTATTCAATAGATGATAATAGACAAAGGTACGCGAATGAAGTAAAAATCTTAATGAGTTTCAATGAATAACAATGCAGACTTACAAATGATAATAGATGCGATAGAAGTGGGATAATTTTAAAAAGTATCACAATCGTAAAGTACAGGAAAAGACAAATTATTTGAATGATTTGACTTGAGAAAAGATACAAATGACCATGAAAATTTACTATTTAGTAATAAATTTATTATTCATTCATAAAATTCATTTAACTGAGATGTTAATTATGATAATTGGCTTAGACTGATATAGTAATAATATGAGTGAATATTACTCAACTCTTCAGTTTTCTTGATTAAATATTAGAATTTAAACTCCAAAGTGCATATAAACATGAGTTTTGTTTTTATTTGATACTCAACAACAACTGAATACAGAAGTGCGTGGAAGAAATAGATAAGAAAAGATAGTCATAGAGAAAGGTAAACTAAGCAGGAGAAAAATCGAACTAGACTTGAGTTATGCCATGTATCTACAAAAGCCTTGGTAGTATTGAATAGAATATACTAACAAGTTATTCAGTAGTGAAAAAAAAGGTTAAAAAATTAATTATGCGTGTTGAATTCTTATATTTGGTGTGTACAATAAATTAACATACATTATTAAATTCAATAGGAAAATCATCAGTGGTGTATAAGTATAGAAAACTATTGAGAATAACTAAACAGGTTGATAAAAAATTATGTTATTTATTATTCCAGTAGAATGTTTATTGGATATATTTATTTTATTTATCGAGCATATAATAGACATGATTCATGGTTGATCAAAACAGGTGTAGTAGAAGTTAAATGGAATAGTATGAAGAATATTAAAAGTTTGATAATAATAATTACCTTAAGAAAAGGATAAATACGTGTAGTAGCAAAAGAAAAAATATATAATGAGCTTTATCATGCATTGACAATGTAATAAGATAAAAAAATCATTTAGAACTGGTAATTAAAAGTAGAAGTAGTCTAGAAATATTTTATGTTTTTCAATAATTATAAAAGCTATTAAATATTTTTTATTAATCAAAAATAACTAAATTGAAAATAATACAAGAACAAAAATATTGATAGTTAAAAAAAAAAATTCAACTCTCTAATAAAGACTAAGAAACCACTACCATGACTAGACAACTTGAAAATTTATACCTAAGAAAAAAACAATCCTTGAACAAAGCTATGATTTGCTGTCAATTTAATGAGATTTCACTCAATCTAAAACTGTTTAATATAATGTAATTTAATCTGACATAATTCTCTTCCTCGTGAAAAAAATCCACAGGCATTGTCTCAAGCATAAGTAGATGAAAGTCGTAGACTTTTAAATAGAAATAGGAAAAGAAAAAAAAAACTAATTGTTGATGTTATTCATATAGGCGTAGATTATTATAAATTATATGATTTAAAATCTCTCTATATCTTTGCTTTCATGCTGACGTGATAGTCTTCTACATTTAGCATCCAACGCAAACTTCACCACGAGATCCCGATGAATCACACGTTTCAAGCAATGGAATCATATATACAACCTACTCGAAGAAATTGCAAAAGTGTATCTATACATTGGCTAGCTGATATCCAAGTATCAGATCAGTCGTAGGTTTTTCATATCATTTGGAACGTGACCAGCTGGCCTGATCGGCGCCGGCCCCTTCGATAATCCATATTCGTTCGTCACTTTATGAGTCACGATATATTCACACTTATTATTATGATCGGAGAGAGGAAATGGAATCGATAAGAGAGAAAAAAAAATATATATATATTCAAGGTCATGTAATTGCTTTATCATCATAAGAATTTGCGTAACTGCATCTTGATTCTGATCGCAACACTTGGAATAGATTGATGAGGATAAGAGGGCATAGAAGCCTTTCAAGAGGTTGTACTGTCCCCCCTGTAGTCTATACTCGAGTGACGTCTTAATTCTTGCACCGAGAAGTGCATCGTGGGGTCAACGTAGCAGTTAGTTCAAGCTAGTCGATAGTTCCGCGTTGCCAAGCCAATTAATGTCATCTAGATTTCATCTCTTATCTGCTGGTGGTGGTAACAGTACTATCATCATCAGCCGAGTTTTATCGATTTATTTATTTAATATTTAGTTAATTGTCTTTGACACCTACGAAAGGCAGAGTTAAATTGATGTCTACGTTCTAATTCGGTGGAGAGATTGCTGCATCTCGGTCGCCCACTTGGACTTTAGTATTTATAGCACAGCCACACGTTTCTGTCAATGTATTCCTATGTTTATTCTCATGCAAAGAAGCGTCTGTGGCTGCTGTCCAACATTTTATTCTAACATCTTCAATATTATCATGATGATTTTTTGTTAAAAATATGAATTAAATATAATTATAACAATCATTGTTGATTAATGTTGTTTAATTATAAGATGTTAAAGTTGTAGAAAAATAAAAATGAGTTTTTCATTTCTTAAACGCTTGCATGCGTTCGAGAGTGCCAGCTCTCAGGTGAGACTGATCTACTAAATAATCAGGGCGCGGGTTTTAGCGTGAAGCAATTCTGACGATGATGGCTTTTGTCTGTTTTATTTGAGTTAAGATAGAAAATAACTGAAAGGATTATTATTTTTCAGGAAAAAATTATGCTAAAAAGTGGACTGTCAAATTAACTGTCGAGAGATTATAAGACAGTGAAAGAGAAAGAAAGATCAACATGATGCAGGACCACGGTCATCATTCGAGTAGGAAGGCAGTTGCTACTTCGCCGGAAGTTGCGATGGCCAGTGAGGTCTTTGATCTCTTCTGTAATGCTACGACGTTGAAAACCATTCTTGGACACTTTCGGCATCTTTGTGATCTTCTTAATATGCGGCCCAACACCTTTCCTCAATTCTATCCCAAGTTCAAGTCCAAACTGAGGTCTTGGAAGGCTCAAGCACTTTGGAAAAAATTTGATCAACGAGCCAATCACAAGTGTTACAATAGAGGGAAAGCTAGTTCTAACACTAGAGTGAGTATAATTTATCTATAAATTTACTATTATTTAATTCATTAGAAAAAATCGTATAAATTTAATGATTTCAAACATCATTAACTATTTTGAAATTGACCTTGATAAAAAATTGACGGTAGTTGAGATTGGATCAATTATTATGAACTCAAAGATATTCATTAAAATTATTATTTAATCCAATAGACGAAAAAATGATGACAGAACTATATAAATGTTAGTAAACAATTTTGTAATCATTTGAAGGTAATTTTTTTATCATAAAGTAATATCAAAAACATCTTTATTTTATCTTAGAAAATTTATTTATATTTATTCATTTTCATTTGACTGATGTAATATTAAAGAATAATTAATAATGATTCTAAAATGAGATTTGCTGATAAACAAATCAATCAACTTTATAGAAAACATCAATCTGACCTTCACCGTTATATGCTAAAGAGGCCAATAATCTATTTCTTGAAGCAATGAATCAACTCATTAACGAACAATCTCTTATCTTTTTTTTTAGGTTTTAATAATTGGTGGTGGGCCATGTGGTTTGAGATCAGCAATTGAAGCTCAACTCCTTGGAGCAAAAGTGGTAGTTGTTGAAAAAAGAGATCGCATGTCAAGGAATAACGTTCTTCACCTCTGGCCATTCGTAATTCATGACTTACGAGGTCTTGGAGCTAAGAAATTCTTCGGGAAATTTTGTGCTGGATCAATAGATCATATAAGCATTCGACAGTTACAATGTATACTCTTGAAAGTGGCTCTCATCTTAGGCGTGGAATTTCACGAAGGAGTGAGTTTCGATTCGTTAATTCCTCCTCCTGATAATCAAGAAGAAGGTAAAATAGGATGGAGAGCAAAAACAACACCACCAGATCATCCAGTCTCTCAATACGAATTCGATGTTTTAATTGGTGCTGATGGAAAACGAAATACTTTAGAAGGTTTTAAAAGAAAGGAATTTCGTGGTAAATTGGCTATTGCCATTACTGCTAATTTTATTAATAAAAGAACTGAAGCAGAAGCTCGTGTTGAAGAAATAAGTGGTGTAGCTTTTATTTTTAATCAAAAATTTTTCAAGGAATTGTACCAAGAAACTGGAATTGATCTTGAAAATATAGTTTATTACAAAGATGATACGCATTATTTTGTAATGACCGCAAAAAAGCACAGTTTAATTGATAAAGGTGTTATACTTCAAGATCATGCTGATACCGCTAAACTATTAGCAAAAGAGAATGTCGATAGAGATGCATTGATGTTGTACGCACGAGAGGCAGCAGAATTTTCAACTCAATATCAAATGATGGATATGGAGTTTGCAGTGAATCATTATGGACAACCAGACGTAGCAATGTTTGATTTTACGTCAATGTATGCTGCAGAGAATGCCAGTCGAGTATTAGAAAGACTTGGACATCGACTTTTGATGATTTTAGTTGGTGATAGTCTTCTAGAACCCTTTTGGCCAACTGGTTCGGGATGTGCGCGTGGTTTTTTGAGTTCTATGGACGCTGGTTGGGCTATTAAAGGTTGGGGAGGACCATTGTCACCATTGGAAGTGTTGGCAGAACGTGAATCTATTTATAGACTGTTGGGACAAACGACACCAGAGAATTTAAACCGAGATTATGCTGCTTATACATTGGATCCTCACACGCGGTATCCAAATCTAAATGTCAGATCTGTTTCGACAAGTCAAGTTCTTGGTTTATTGGATACTGATGATCCTGACAATATTAAACAACCGTCCGTTCAATCGACTGATATTCCGAAGAAAAGAAGAAGACGAGACACACAAATTCATCCTGATACTCTTCTACACTGGCTACAGAGACAAGTGGCTTTATATGATAAAGTTCAGATCACTGACCTGACTACTTCGTTTAAAGATGGCCTAGCGACCTGTGCTATTATTCATCGATATAGACCAGACCTAGTAGACTTTCATTCTTTGAAAACTGATGAGGTAGAAAAAAACAATCAACTGGCTTTTGATGTCTTGGAGAAGGAGTTGGGTATCTCGCCGGTAAGAACAATAATTAGCAATTGATTTCATCTTTTCTTTTTTTTTGATTGCATTTTTTCATTTATACTGCGAGTGTTTTTTTTAGCCATCATAGCGTTTCACTCATTTTTCTTCCTCAATTATCGTACATCACATAATCATATTCGTTAGAACTTATTTAAATATAAGTCAATTTATTAGTGAAAAAATTTGTCATTTCCAGTAAAAAAATTAGAGCTAATAAAACATTGTCTCTAAATTAATTATTGGAAATGTTCTTTATAAAATAAAAACATTCTCTATTTTTATGACGATTCGATACTAAAAATAACAGTTATTGAAAATAAAAATAGGGATGGTATGAAAAGGTTTCTATTCAATTAATTATTTGTCTCTGAAATATTATTTCCTATACCATCGATGTTTAATTGATCCACTAACTGTTCTTGTTGGATAATTGATTAGATAATGACAGGTGAGGAAATGGCCCGGTGCGACGTCCCAGATAAATTAGCCATGTTTTCTTACCTTACACAATTATATGAAGCTTTCCGCGGTGAAATACCTCACATAAAACATCCAAAGCTTGTAAGTATTAAACACTTGAACACTTTGACTTAAATAACATCATCTGGTTTTCCCTATTAACATTGACCCGTTAACTCAATATCAGGAGCCAGAGGATGATCGATCTGTGTATGATAAACAATTGTCACAATTGACACCGGGACACAAAGTACAAATTGGCCGTTTAACAAAACATGAAACACCAACTCGACCACGACACTCGCGTTCTTTACGACATAACATCGAAAATGTCCAAACGATGTTGGATAAAAAGATTGAGGGAAGCTTAGGAAGAAAATCACGTAAACGACGAAGCAATGAAAAAATGGGAGCAACTGTGGTAAGTATTTTTTGCTGTTTTTATTTTGTTATTATTACTTATTAATTTTGATCAAACAAGTTTTTTTGTTGAATTATTATTTATAAATCATCATTGCGTATAGCCTCTTCGAGAAGAAGAAGTAATACCTTCAATTGTTCAAGGAGTTATTATAAGCTTTGCCATCGTATCCATTGGTCTAATTTTTGCTGAATTATTGGGCATTGATGTTATTTTTTAGACATGTCCTCCATATAATTCAATTTAATTGTATCTCCCACGCCATTAGCCAGGCTTCTTATCCTTTTAATACATAAAAATTAGCTTAGTTTATCTAACTGATAGCCTAGAAAACAGTTATAATATGCAACTATTCGAACAATATTTTCAATGTGGTCTTATAGTTCTGCATTCAAAACGTATTTTTTTAGTGTTTTAAAACAATTTATTTTTCTAGATTAGCTATGTTTATAGTTTGGATAATTAGAGTAAAATAGCTCTCTTATTAAATTGATTTGTTATGAACTTTAAAGAATGGAGTTCGAAATAAATTATTCTATGTGTAATGTAAAAATTTGTACTACAAAGGAGGAGAGACAAAAGAGACTAGCAGACATAGTGAACAATCGGATTGAACGAATGAAGAGAAGACAGTTTTTACGACAAATGGCAACCCAGCAGTTCTATAAAAGCTTGCAAATGTTGCAAGCTAACGCGAAACGCGAAAAAGATGAGCCTTTTGAAGATTATTCCATATTCTTATATCGACAAACAGCCCCAGACTTCAAGGATCGAGTTAAAGAATTAGAGCAGAAAATTCTTTACCCAGTAAGATTTGAAAGAAGTTTGGTGTGGGAATGTTTAAAGTTTTATCCAAGTTTTATTAATGTGTTTTTTTTTACTACTCTATAAACGTTGTTTTACATGGAAACCCTGATCTAATAACAAGTTGTCGTGTGTGTATATTGAATAAACATTATAACAAACTTTTAACATATATGAAACATATTTGTAACAATATAATGGTTGATAAATAATCACTAATTGCTTGTAGCAATTGGAGACAATTAAGCTCAGAGTCAATATCTTATCGTCTTTTTTTATCATTTACAGGACAGAGACCCCAAAATGCCTCTTCATCATAAAGGAAACATGGACGAAGATTTTTCTGGACGAATTAAGGATATTGAAGATAAACTACGAGGTACTGCGCCGACTGAAAAAAAGCCTCGAGATCTTTTACGAGCAATTGGTAAGATTTAAGAGTAGCTATTTAATTACATTGAATGGAAAAAATTTTTTTTCAATCAATGGATATTGATGGTTAAACAATAAAGAACGGAATAAAAATCTAAGAGAATTTTTTTATGTTGAATCAAAGGTAAAATAGAAAAAACCGATTGGAATGTCAAGGAAATCGAGAAAAAAATTGAAGAGAATAAAATGGGTAAAGGCGTAAGGCAGGATAAGGTTGAAAGAGTGCCAAAGTGGAGTCGTGAGCAGTTTCTTGCTCGGCAAATTAAGATGGAAAAAAAGGGGAAAGATCCTAACGAGCCCGAACGAAAGTACGCTGAAATTGATAGTACTCTGAAAAATATCGACCGAAAAATTAAAGAAGGAAATGTCTTGGGACATAATAAAGTTTCTGCAATGGCAGAACAGTTTGCTAATAAAAACCAAGACAATGAACCTAAAGTTCAAAGATCTGTAAGTACTATATATAAATATTGATTTCTCATATCAGCTGATTGTTCAGTCTATTAACAATATTTTATTATTGGAAATTTTAGAATTCTAAAGCAGCGATAGTTTTACCAACTCAAGGGGGTTCTGAAATGTGCCATTTTTGTGATAAACGAGTTTATCTCATGGAGAGATTGAGTGCTGAAGGGAAATCTTTTCATCGTGGCTGTTTCCGTTGTGAATATTGTTCAACTTCTCTTCGTATTGGAAACCACACATTCGATAGGGAAAAAAATGGTGGTCGTTTTTATTGTACACAACACTTTGGTTTACCCGGTACAATGAAAACGAGAATAGAAAAGAAAAAACTTCCTTTGCTCAATAAAGAAAATATACCAGAGCCTTCAGAGAAGAAAAAGCCCGTCCAAGAGAAGGTAAAATATAAGAATCTTATGATAGAAATAATATTAAATAACAAATAAAAATGATAAAACCATAAAATATGCATCATAAATTATTTTGATTGTTTAGACACAAGCAATGAAACCAGCGTTAGATGGTGTTGTGGGTTTGGATCTTTTAGATCGCGGTCAAACACCAGAGAGAATAGAATTTGAAAACTTGGCTGGAGTATCAGATGCTGAGGAGGCTCATAGTCAAATGGATGAAGATGAATGGACGGATAGAAACTTTGGTGCTTCAGCTGCTGAGATGGGTTCCAGTGATGATATTTCCGATATGAGGTTAGAATCAGATTATTTTTTATTCACCCTCTATCACAACAATATTTACTTAATAAGACAGGATCTAAATATTTATGAATCAAATTAAGAAACATCAAAGAAATAAAAATGAAAATTAGAAAAAATAATGCATGAATAATTTTTTTTATTTCAGTGATTCAGATGAGGACAATGAGATCTACGAGGAAGCAATAGATCAACCACTGACAACGGAAGGTACGATAGAGTTGGCGAAGAATTGGACCCTGAGGTACTCTCATCCTCAAGCATCAGCTGGACATTCAGATACTGGTAGCAACGAGTATGAAGACTCGAGCGACGAATACACAAGCGAGGGTAGGTACCGCAATAGTAAAACGTCTGCGAAGCAGTAGTGCTAGAGCAAATTACGTAAATATATTCAGACAAATCCGTAATCCTGATGTAGACGACTTCAGACCTTGTTAAAATTTGCGTCTAGACGAAGAGAGTGGCACCGCAACCGAAGACGAAGAGGACGTGCGTGCTCGGGAGCTGAGAAAGCAGGAGGTGTGGCTCAAAGTACCACCGAGGGAGTCTGACACGGAGACTGGCTCGGAAACTGAGGTGAAAAAATCATCAATGGACTCTTCTTTGCCTCCATTACTCGAAAATCCATCCGCGTCCAGTGACAAACTTTCCGTAGAAGCATTGATGGGTAAAGAGGTAGATGTAGATATTAATGAGGGCTGTGGAGCAAAAATAGACCAGGTATTAGAGGATAATTTATCAAAAGGCGATGAAATTGATGAGATTAATTCAGATGTATTGAAAGAAAACGCTGAATTAATCGTTGAGATTTCACGTGCTGATAAGGATATAAATTCTGATAATGGTGGTAGCAACGGTGGTAGTAGTAGTAAAGATTGTAGTGTTGGTAGAGGTAGTAGTACTTCAAGGCTAGAGGTGAAAACCCGTCATGGTGAATCGCTCGGCTATTTAAATTTATTTGATGATGATAAATGCAAACGGAAATCCAGCCTTCCCGACCTTACTGTTCAACGTGAGAACAATGAAAATGATGAGAACGATTTTAAAACTCCAGCAAATATCGATGGGAATGTCAGAGAAACTAAAGACAATTTACCTGATTTGATCGCCTCTTCGCCACTTACCCACAGGAAATGTCCACCTACTGATCAATCACTTAATGATAGTTTTGTTGATGCTAGCGATGATATTAATATGAAAAATACTCCTGACAGACTTACAGACAAAATGATTACAGACGATAAAATAATAACAAAAACAGAAAATGACAAAATTGAGAATAAAATACCTAATAGTCAAGTTGAAAATAAAAAATTAGATTCTTTCGATATTTTAAAACAGGAATTACGAATGAGACGTAATAAAAAATTAACTAATACAGCACAATTGAGACCTTTGTCGCGGGAAACTGCACGTTCTAAGATGAATGAGTACTTTGAATCAGTAAATAAAAAACGATCTAAGAGTGTAGAAATTCAAGATCACTTACCAAGTAAAGAGGCTAATGAATTAGAAATGAGAACACATGTTTCCAGTAAAATAAATTCCCAAGACTTACAGAAATATTTTAAAAATAGCTCTTTCGATAGTTCGAATTTAGAAAATTCTAATTTAAATTTCAATTTAACTGAAAATCCTGTGAATAATATTAATATTGATGTTGAACGTGATGATAACAGTAAAAAAATAGTAGGTGATATAAAAAAAGAGAAAGGAAGTTTAATTTCATTGCGTCCGAAGCAAATAGAAGCTAATACAGTAAAAGTAGATAATTTAAATGAATTTAGTCGAGTCAATAATCCAAAATGTTCAAGTGAGCCTATAAAAAGAATATCAGTTACTGAAAAAGAAATTAATGTACCAAAGAAAACAATATTGGTGAGTGAAGGGTGTGAAGTACCAAAGAGACCGGAACGTAAACGTGTTTCCCAAGAATTAAATAGTTCATTAATAAATTATAATGATACTCCAAAGAGTCCAGAAGCTGAGGAAGTTGCCTCGAAGGTAGAAAGACCTAAAAATAAAGAGTTGTTAAAACCAATGAGTCGTAAAGCTGATGTTTACGATTCAAATAAATCTATAAGTTCTTCGAAATTCGGTAAAATGGCTAGAAAATCTCGTAATGATGAAGCTAATAAAAAAGAAAAATGCATTATATCTTAATGAATCTCAATTTGATAGCAAGCTTGTATAAAAAAAAAATTTATAGCGTTCTCCTCATGTAAAACTCGTGTGTATGTTGAAATGAATTTTTTTCTTTAACGATAAAATTTGTGAGATATTGATTAAATAAATGATAAAGTAATAATTATGATAATGAAATAATTGAGTAATTACTTAATAAGTGTAAATATTGTGGCTGATGGTAAAATTCATTAAAATGATAATTGTTTAAGCCTAAGACGTTTTGACCAGATAAAAAAGGTAACGATGAAATTTATTCGTATAAGAATGGTGTGTTTTTGTGCTAATTAACAGAATTAACAATGTGAAGAAATTCTTTATAGAGGAAAAAAAAAACAAAATTAATTATTATGTGTGTCTCCTAAAGTGCTTAAAAAATTCTCACACTAGAAATTTTTTATTCTATTCGTTACTTACCACAGCCAAAAAAAATTCTAATCTTATTACTGCACCGTTTGAAATGTTTTTCTTCGTTGTTTGTAATAATTAATTAATATCTCACTATTTATCGTCATTAATGTACTCGAATGTCTAGTTGATATGTTGCAAGTATTTTTCTTTAGTTTAAATATTATAAAACGTAACACGATACGGTTTTTATTTTTAATTTAATTAAATTAAAGGTAAATGTTTATGTTTATTTCTACATTTAATAATTTCTACATTTTTCATAATTTGTAAGCATTAGCGTATTTGCCTTTCTAAATTCTAATTACTGAGTCTGTTAATTAATTTGTTTTCAACCATTGAAACTAATTAGATTTTTTTATTATGCAAACTGATGAAAGTAATTAATAAATTTTTCCTTCTCAGGTGGCATCGGATGAAGAATCAAGCGAAGAACGCCAAGAGAATTCGGCTACAGAAATTTCTACAGATTCCGAGTTTGAACATGACGGCACGACTCCCACGCAAAATGAACCAGAGATTACAATAAATGATAACTTTGTGAGGAAGACTCGAGGTCAGTACATCGAACCAAAGAAGGTGCAGGTAAAAAGTCGGATTATAACACCTGTAAACGGGAAAGTAAAGCCAGGAGATAAGCGAGAGAATGAGACTACAAGCAAAATCAACAACCCGAAAGTAAATGACACTTCAATCCGTCCGATAAAAGCTGTCAATGCAATGCCTTTAGTTAATCCTCGAAAAGGAGATTACTTGTTAAATCGTACACACTCAACAGAAGGTATTGCTTCAAAACTTTCTTTGGAATTAAAGAAGAGATACTTACTAGGTGGATCAGTGTTAGGTGGAAGTGTCATAAAGTCAGGATCAACCTCAAATGTTGATACAAAATTGAGAAATTTTACTGATACTATTTCGCAACATCAGAAACTTCTTAATCCGGCTCCTGAACCTAGTCCAACCATGCAAGCATTCTTACAGGGTACTAATAAGTTAAGATCAACATCAAACATTCCACTATCGCCAATATTATCCCGGGAAATTTTGCCAGTATCTCCGTTGAGATTTAATAAATCTTCAGAAATAGAGAAACCAAAAGAACCTGTCATTGATTACGTAAAAGTACACCTGCCAGATTTAGTAAAGGAAACAAATATTATGAAATCGAAAACAGATTCAAATATACTTCGGTTAGGAATTTTAAGAACACCAGAAATGAAAAATGAAAATGAGAAAAAAATCGAATCCAATATTGAAGAAGAAGTAGTTAACAAAAGTGAACAGAGTAAAGAAGAATTAGAATCAAAAAGATTAATAGGAATTAAAGAAAACGAAGTGAATAAAGGCAGCACAGAAACACAGCTCAATTCTAAACATGAAACATCGGTTTCCCAACAAAATTGGAATAAAAATGAAATAAAAGAGAAAAAATCTAGTAAAGAATTTGAAATGGATAGCGATTCATTATCATCAGACTCCGATACTGAAGTGTCAGAAAATGATGAAGATGAAAACGAAGTAGAGAAAATAAAAGAAAAAGAAATTGAGCAACAAAATATATCAGAAAATTCTTCAAGATTGCGTGTTCATAATACAGATGAAGCTTTGGTACTTGACGAGAGAAATAATTTTAAAGAAGAAGATTTAGGAATGACCTTCGAACCTGACTCAATCGAGTGTATATTAAACATGAAAGAAGATGAGAAGAATGTAAAAAACGTTCAGCCATTGAGGCCAGTGGACTTATGGGTACGTCAATCGAATGATGACACTAAGAATAAAGAGATAGAGGCAGTAAAAAATGATTTAATGCGTTTAGATTTAAAAGAGAATGTTGCAAGTGTTAGCAATTGTAGTAGTCCATCTTCAGTAGCTTCAACAATATCAAACAAACAGAATGATTCAGTTGAAAATGATATTACAACAGCGGCATTAACAGAGACAGAGTTTTCCGAATGGGCTAGAGATGGTGATGGGTTTGGTTCAGCTGATCTAAAAGATGCTGAGTTTGATATGAGTTCTAGAACAACGTCGTCTAAGAAACTTCGAGGTAATGCTAAGATTGCTAAAGAAGAAGATCTAACAGATATCGAATCAACATCTGAACAAGTGTTTGGTAATAATAACAACATAATACTAGAGAATGATACATCAAAATTATTAGTAAACGGAGAAGATATTGATTACATGGATACGGACAATGAATCATTGTTAGATAGTCTTCGCGATGCAACAAATGTTCCATTAGTAAAGAATCGAGGTTTTGTAGAATTTGTTAATATTCCTGGGATGTCTACTTTAAATTCTAAAGAGTCAAAATCTTCTTTCAATGACGCTCCAATTGCCAGAATTGAAATAGAACAAGAGTTATGTTTAGACGAAGAAAAATATGAGACGTACGATGATGAGAATATTATTCAGATAAATTTAGTAACAATGGACGATGTTAAAGAAAGATTGAGTAATTGTAGTATTAAAGCTGAACATCAAGAAAGTGAGACAAATAAAGCATCTATAGAAGCCGTAAATAGAGATGTCATTCAATCAATGGATGAGGATAGTTTGTTGGTTGTTGAAACAGCTGAAGATACAACTACAAGTGAGCTTACGACAATTTTAGCAAGTCCTGTTTGTCCATTACCTCAGACTGAACCAGAAAAGGTAGAAGAATGCTCATCAAAAACAGAAGTAAACGATGTAAATAATCCGGATTATCTTGAATATGTTAAGCGCCTTCAATCGAGAATAGCAGAGTTTAGCAATGCAAAAGATTCTATTGACGTAAGAAAGTCTAAAAGGAAGAATTCAAAGAATACTCTCCAAGAAAAATCTGCAGAAATGATTTCAGAAGAAATTAAAAGTCAAGAAGCTAATATTAGTTTTAATTCACCTGCCACATCAAGAAAACTTGAAGAAATCACACGAGAACGTTCGAAACAAAAAAATTTGATTCAGGATTTATTGATGGATAAAATAGAAGCTCAAAAACAAAAATCAGCTGAGAAAAAGGCTAAAAGAGCGGCCCGAAATACATCCTTTAATTCTAGTATCCAATCGTTTTCGCCTAAACCTCCTCCTAATCTACCTCCGGAAGCTATCCATGACATGCCTTTGATTCCATCGAAAAATCCAATTCGAACGACTTTTGCAGAAGCTAAAAAGTCTCTAGATCCTCCAGTAGCTACAGAAAAACGACCTGAAAACAAATTAAGTCCCGAAAAGTCAAACAATGACTTGCAAAAAGTATTACTGCCAAGTATCGATTCTGGTTTAAGTGACTTCATTGAAAGTGAAGAGAAATTCAAGACTCCTGTTGCTCCTCCAAGATCAAAACATGAAGAAGCAAGAAAAACAGCGGAGAAAGCAAAACAAGAAGCAAGAGAGCGAGCGAGATTAATGAGCGATGAAGACCTAGGGTTAAGTCCTGAAGATAAAATACGTCAGTTGAGAATGAAAGTAGCTAGAAGACAACTTTCAATGGAAGATCGCCAAAACCATGATAATGATATAACACCTGATGTTAAAACGCGACATTATAGTTTTACTGCACAAAAGTCTGGATATTCATTGCAGCCTAGTAAAAGCACTGATAATATGAAGGCCTTTACAAAAAAAACACCAGTTGAACTTTTGCCAGCATCAAGTGCAAAATCTATGAGTGAATTAGCTTGTAACAAGGATTCAGAAGGCAAGAGTTCATTAGATATAGTTGTAAAGCGCGACAAAAAGAAACCTAAGGATCCAGAACGAAGGAGAAGTATTATTCAAGCAGTCTCAGATTTTTTCAAGAAAAAAGAGTCCACACCTTCTCCAAGTCATAAAGATAAAGGGTCAGTTTTCAGACTCACCACTAGATCTAAAGACAAAGGAAAGGTGAGAAAAATGATTTGTTGTTAAAACTTAATTCATAAACTAATTTGCTTAATTTATTATAAAAATTTTTCACAATGATTTCAGTTGTATAAGTGGTATTCAGAAGGCTGCAATGTAAGCAATATCAACCATTAAAACAATTATAGTTTTTTGTGTTGAGATATTTGTAGTCTTCATTATTATTTTAGCGTGTGTTATTGTGTATTGTAGTATTTTTTGTCAATTATTATTTTATTTTATTCACAAGGTATGAATAATCGACTTATGGGGCTAGTGAAGATAGCAAATTAGATGAGTTTCGAATCAAATAACACTTCAACTATTCAAATATACATTTATTATATATCAAAAAATTGTGTTCAAAATTTTGTGCTCTAATGTGCCGTCTTCAATAGCGCCTGAAGCCTTGTGGTTCTTTTTAATGGTTAAAAATTTTTCATAATATTCTGTGAGCATGATAATAATTTTTGGGGGCTAATGTTATTAATTTTCATTGCAGCATTTTTTAGTTTTTGTAGTGTAGGTCCTATTGCCATTTTTACATTCAACTTGTTTATTATCCATTTATAAATTAGAACAGTATCCAGTTGTATAGTGTTTTGTTGTCATAAACATATTTTTTTACGTATCGTAGAGTAGTAATAGATCAAGTATTTGTTTGGATGTTGACGTCAATTCATTAAAAACAAAATAATAACTGAAGTAAAATTTTAGCTTGACAAAATTGATACAAAATTTGAAGAGAGACCAAAAAGTGTATGTGAGCCTATGCTGATTGAGAACTTTAGGATCAATTCATCTCCACCTGTTCCACCGCCTCCATTAAATTATCCAGATACTTCAGTTCATGTTTCTGGTAATATACACAGATTTTCAATAGATAAAAATACCAAATATAATAAATTAATAATAATTTTTTGGTTCTATTAATAGATGATAGTCTGTCCGATGATGACTCTAAAATGACATCTTTTTTACCATCACAAATTCAAAAACATATTAATATTGATGGTCATTGTACTAACAGCAGTTCAAGAAAGATGAAAAATACAAAGAAAATGGTGCGACAAGCGCAATTGAAACGATTGAGGATTGCACAAGAAATTCAGAGAAAACTCGAAGAAACAGAGGTGAAGCAGCGTGACTTGGAAAGCAGAGGCGTAAGTGTAGAGAAAGCTCTTAGAGGTGAAGGAGAATGTTCTGGGCGAGAGGAAACAGATTTGCTAGGGGAATGGTTTGATTTAATGCGAGAACGTACAGAATTACGAAGATATGAGAAGGAATTGTTGGTTCGTGCTCAGGAAGTTCAGTTAGAAGATCGTCATGATCGATTACAACAAGAATTGCGAGAAAGATTAGCTGATGATGGTTTGTTTATTATCCTGTTTATTTTCCTTTGTTGTCTTAAGTGCTATCGAAGAACCTTGATGATTAAAAATCATAGTGATTTTTATATAAAACAATTCAATAAATAATTTCAGATCAGAAGAAAACATCAGCTGATGTAAAAAAAGAAGGAGAGATTCTAACAGAGATGCTGGAAATTGTGGCTAAACGAGACTCACTGATAGCATTATTGGAAGAGGAACGACAAAGGTGGCGTAAATTCTCGTGTCCAAAATTCATTGCACATTATTGCACCAGAAAATTTGCAAGTCCTAAACAAATCATTAACACCCTTGCACCTGAATCAATTTTTAAACTTCAGTTTTTTCCAATTTTTCTTATAATTACAATTATTATTATTATCTTTATAAACTATGGAGATTTCATTTGGAATATGTTTCTTCCCTAATCATATTTGAATATTTTACTACTCTTATTTTTGCTTGGTGGTTGTGGATTGCTTGCATGGAATGTATTTTTTTAAAATTATTATAGTGGACAAACTCAAGTATATGATTGACTGAGATTGCATGAAACAAATCATTGTAAGGGCATTATTATTTTTACATTTATATGAATTGTTTTCCATTGTTATTGTTAATTTTTTTATTATGTCGATGTGATTTATCGTGCAATATTTTTGAAGAATGTATTTTACTCTTTATTTGTATAAAGGTGATAATTAAACGTAGTAAAAAGTCATTTATTAAATATTTGAGTACTTATATTAGAATTTTGAGTTTTTTTTCATTGTATATTCGTCTTTGATTGTAAAATTTGGACAGAGAGCTCAACTAAGCAACATGTGATGTACTTGAAATTAATAGAGGGAATGGTAAGATTAATTTTAAATACACTGGAATCTTTATTAATTTGCATTTTTTAAATTATATATTATTAAAATATCATAAATATTATAATACTTCTACGTCGTGTAATTTGATGAAGATTCTATTGTGTTTTTTATTTTATTGTTTGCTTTGAAAAATATGCACATTACTAAGAACAACTAAATAAAAAGTTTATTTTGTTTAATAAGTAGTTTAAGCATGCAGAAAATAAATAAAATAATTGCAAGTAATTCTTAAGATAACAGTTTTCTACATTTAATAAACTTTCTTTTACAGGTATAAAAACGAAGATAAAGACATTGAGGCTCAAATGTTGGCTAAAGGCTTAAGATTGACATCAATTGACAAAGATGATTCCAAATATTTGGTGTAAAATAGTCGATAAATAAATAAGAATATCGACAATTAATTTTTATTGCATAAAAAAATAATCATGGAAAAAAATCTAAATTGCATAAGTTTATCTCTACTGCTTTACGATTTAAATTAATGAAAAATACACCATTTTTCAAACAAAAAAAATGACAAAAAATGGTCACAGTAATAAAGTTAATAAATTAAATTATTAAGTCTACAATATAAACATTATTGATGAAGTGAAAATATTTTTTAATACTTATAAATCTAATGAAGAAACGACAAGAAGCTGGGTGATATGTAAATTTTATAAACTTGTGAATCAAGAATATATTTTTCACTTGCAGAAGAGACTGGAACAGTTATTTTAAACTTCAGAGAAGAACGTATTAACGATAAAGAAAGTAGTGTCTTATCTATTGGAATTTTAGATGCTGTACAGTTCAATTTTTAATCAGCTGTAGAAACTTAAAAGCAATATACATATTAGATATAATTAGTTTTTACTTTGTTGTGATTATGATTAAGTATTAAAACCGAGAAATTCATGATTTAAGTAAAACAGAGTAAGATCAAGGCTTAAGCATCAACTGCCATCACAATTGGAAACTAACGTGCCTAAACCCCGGAATTGAAAGCTCATGAGTCCATTCAAGTGCAGTTTGAAGAACAAAATTCACTTTAATTTATATCTTTTTTTAACCTAAAGTATTTCGATTTCAATATAATTAAGTATTTTTATTACGGAAAACTTTCAATTGGTATATTGATTAGCCTAGTCTGTGACTAATGAATAAGTTTTAATTATGCTTTGCAACGAATGAAACCACAAGAATAAGCGATTAGATATAATAAATGCTCACTTGTAAGCCAAAGCTATGAATAAAGTTAAAATCAATGGGAAAATGGGTTGGGCCATCAAAAAAAGAAGGATTTGTCGTAATTAATTGAAAAGTAATGATAGAAATAGTCTGTATAATTATGTATATATTTATGATACTTATTAATCGTAAGTGTAATTAACTCAACAAGTATTTCAATGTAATTATTGACATTTGTGCTCACTATTTTCTTTAGAACATTAACCTATATTTAATATGCTTTGGTATTACGTTCGGTTAATGATTGAAGCAGTATTTATGTAAGAAGCATGTTACAAAAATGTAAGTATCCATAAAGTTATGGAAAATATAAAATTTTTTCACTTACTAATGAAACGTTGTTATTTCCATTACGATCCCTTTCTTATATCTTCATTATTTTCTAATTACTTAATCTCTTTAGAGATTGTCAACATCAGCAATTGAGTAAATGACACTTTAAGCACTTTATGCTATGACACTCAATGCACATTAGAGAAAAAGTATTCAGAAGTTGTTAAATGATCAAAAATAAAGTGAATGACTACATTAAATTAATACTAGCAAGGAAAATAACTAAAAAAACAAACTTGTTATGATCAATTATACGAATTATTATATGTCATATAAGAGACACGATAAAAAGCCGGGTTATAAAAAGTGGCGTCATTTGGATTCTAAGAAATTTAACGTTACTGTAATAATAATTGAATTTTTTCGATTGATGATTTTAATCATTCGAAGCTAAAAAATATAATTAATACATCTTTCAACGTTTTAGTAGATCTAAATCAATAATTATCGATGCAAAAATAGTAATTATCCGTAGATTTAGAGTCATTCTTAATGAGTCTCAACTAAAAACTGACGCTAGTGGGAGAAGAATTGTAAAGAACGGGAAATCGTTTAGCCAATGAAAATGTTCGTTATTGACAAATAACCAATAATCGTTTTTTAATTGAAAAACTCTTATTGGTTGCTCCAAAAAAGCGCTAAGTTCTAGAACCAATAGAATTCATTTTTTCTAAACGCGCGAATTTCAACAATTAATTTTAGAAGGAGGGAGTTGCTCTGAACGATGGAGGCGCCGTGTCGTGGTGAATATTTTCATAAACGAAGAAAAAGTCTGACGCATTTACGAGACTGTGGTCGTGTTTTGAGTGAGAGATTTCACTGTCCGCCAACGATTCTGGATAAATAATGTGGTTACGTTGGCGATAAGACATGGAATTTTAAATGGGTGTTGTCGTTTAGTTTATCGTGTCTATTGAGACAGAGATTTAACTCTGTAATATGGAAGCTGATTATCAACCATCGCTAAGTCCAGCTAGAGCTTTGACAGGTAAGATGAATACAAACAGATTTTTTTTTTCCATAAGCTGGCTATGAATATTAACGTATTTATATTGATGATGTGACATACACTATTTATCCACCCATATCACGTTTCTTTGGATTGCAATTATAAACATTATTATATTAAAATGAACGTCATTGTCGCAGGAAATGATACTGAGGATCCATACCCAAGTTTATCCGATTATCATGATTATGAACCGAATTTAGAGTTCGATGACACAGAGCTTCAAGCAACAGCTGATACTGGTAAGGATAAATATTTTTTATTATTTATTTTCTCTGAAAGAATTTAAATAATTAATCGTTTATCATTTAATTATGCTGATTACCTCTTTTTAGCATGTCAACTACTTGAAGAGAAACTTGATCTTAGTACAGCTGGTTCAGGAATTGTTGTTGATTATTTAGAAAGTCCTGTAAGTGATGGAACTATTGAAGAAAACTTCGAAGAAGCTCTTGTTGATGCTCCAGTTATTGAAAATGGTAATTGACATTTAAATTCAAGTAACCCTACTATAAAAATTTTAAATGTCAAACTCTCAAGGCACTTGAAATATGAAACTATGAGTTAACTTTATTTTTATAGCCGAAGATCTTGCGGCTTTGGATGGTGAACTTGCGGATGAGGAAGACTATAATGATATCGCGAGACTTGGAATAGTTGAGGTTGTTGGCGATGATAGTGCTGGACGTAAAGTTATCGTCGTTTCAGCCTGTAAACTTCCTGCCGTTGGGAAGGAAGTTTTTAATCATGCCAAATTACTTAGGTTTGTTGACATGGAATTTAAACAATAATTTTCAGCCGTCATTACGACTATCATTATTTTTTATACATTTTTTTTATAATTACAGATATCTTACACACACGTTAGATACCTTCGTAGAACAGGATTACAGTTTAGTATACTTTCATTATGGGCTTACATCAAAAAACAAGCCTCCTTTGTCATGGTTATGGCAAGCGTATAAAGCATTTGATAGGAAATACAAGAAAAACCTGAAAGCATTATATTTAGTACATCCAACAAATTTTATTAGAATCGTTTGGCAAATTTTTAAACCTGCAATAAGGTATTTTTAAAATTAATTAAATAAGTATTATAATTTTATAAAATATTTATCAATTTTCATTTATTAATAGTGCCAAGTTTGGCCGAAAAATGATGTACGTTAATTATCTAGACGAATTAGCTCAGCACATTAACCTTGACCAGTTAATTATTCCTCAACAAGTGATAGAGTAAGTTGCAATTAATTATTCATAGCCTAAAAATTGTGTCAACTGTTAATTCATTATTGATAAACGATTACGTTTATTCTTTAAAATAATTATTGATTACTTTTTTAGTCACGATGAACAACTAATGCTCAAGACTAGAAAAAACCTTCCTACGAGTCCCCCACCAAGTTCAGTGGCAACACCAATAGCCACAACGCAATTCGGAGCAAACCTTCAATTTATCAAAGAAAACAATGGAGGTGATCCTATTCCACCTATTGTGAAACAGTGTATCGAATTTCTCGATACTCCAGACGGTAAGTATTCATCGTAATACTATCATAAATTGTATCAGTAATCTCTGTTAATAATGATAACAATAATATTAGAAGTCGTAAATATAAATTTGTCACTTTAAAAGTTATTTTTATCAAGATAAATATGTAATCATTTTTTACCAGCTTTGGAAACCGAAGGAATATTTAGAAGGTCGGCTAATGTTGCAATGGTAAAGGAACTCCAAAATAGATGTAATCATGGTTTAGACGTCGATTTCCAAGGAGACCCCCACATAGCTGCTGTTCTCTTAAAAACTTTTTTACGTGAATTAGAAGAGCCTCTCATGACTTATGAGCTTTACGATGAGATTACTCAATTCCAAAGTATGATTATTACATAAATCATTTTATATTGATTACAAAACAATAAAATAGAAAATTTTTAATAATGAATCTATTATTTTACAGCTTTGTCAAAAGATGAACGACCACGTAAAGTGAAAATATTGGTTTTAGAAAAATTACCAGAAGATAATTATCAACTTTTAAAATATATTGTACAGTTTTTATCCAGGGTAATTATTGTTTAATGCGTGTAATTAAAATTAATATTCATAAAATTGGAGAATGAGGTTAATTGGAATAATTTTTTATAGGTAATGGATAGATGTGATCTGAACAAAATGACATCGAGTAATTTAGCTGTGGTTTTTGGGCCAAATTTAGTTAGAGCACCACCATCGGTAGGAATGTCTCTTTCAGCAATCGGGCCAATTAATCAATTTATCGATTTTTTATTTGCTTATCAAGACAAAATATTTATTATCTAAAGAATTTGATTAATCAAATATATTCTCTCATGGCCTAACTGAAACAGCCGAGTGAGAATTATGTTATTCAATATAATTCAACAGACTGATAGTTTGTATCGATTCTATCCGTCTAAAGTCGGTATTTATGGTTAGACAAACATAAACTCCTTGTAGAGTGATTGAAACTGAAGAAAAAATCTTGAAAAAGATGACAGCCATTACAATTCATCATTGTAGTGATTGTTATCCATTTACAAATACTATCTTCGTTTTTAATTAATGTTATAACATCTTTTTAACTATTAAAAACATGTCAGAGTAACACAAAAACCTAGTCACAAGAGCGTAGCACAAGATTCATCATGAAAGTATCTTTGAAATAATTGCAAAATGAAATGAGAGACAGCAATGTTGTATATCAATTTTTAAATTGTCGATATTTATACAGAATTTTCTCATTGTATACCAAAGAAGAAGAACTGTCATATTATTAATTATAATTCGTAGAAATACTGACAAGATAATAGTTGAATTAATTTGAAAAGTAGACATGATTTTTCGAATAACTTTATTGACGGAAAATGCCTTAGATAATTTCACGACTAACTAAATCATGAATATTTATCTTTACGACTCGATAAATATTCATTTTTTAATAATTCCAGAATCTCTTATGTGGATTTATAACTCCAAAAAAATCACTAAAATATAATAGTAAGGAATTGTAGCTAACATTCCATTATTTATCAATGGCTAAAAGTCATTTGCTGCAATTTATACCGGCCATTAAAATAACAGAAAATAACTAACAAGATAACGCGTGAGTAACTTTAGGATATGCATTTTAGCGAGTGAATGGGTACTAGAATTGCAGTAAGTTTCTCACAAGCTGACTATTGGGCATATCTATGATGTTATAAGATGCGTGTAAATAATTTAAATAAGTGTAAAAATTATATTTAGACTGTAGAAAAAAAAAATTGAATTTTTAATAACTAAAAGAGAAATTTTATTGAGTATAAATTTTCTTTATATGTCAAATATGTGTTCAATCAGATGTAACTATATACAAACGTGTAGCAACACGGTAAATTGATTATTTCTCTAAAAAATATATTATATGATTCATTCAAACGAATACGTTTCGTTTTTCAGTTTGTCTAAGTAATGAATAATGCATTATAAGATGTGTTTTATGAATGCTGAATAGTTGATTATGTATAACATAATCCAAGTAATACATTTAAACATACATTTATGACCGAATTAATATAAAATGCATCTTAAATAGAATAATAAAATTTAGACCAATTTATGACTAATAAGCCCTTATTTATTGCACGATATTATTAATATATACATTTTTATTTTATTTATTATTTAAAATTATTCATGTATACACGCTCACTTATAATATTTTTATTATCATTATTTGTATCACCTCTTTTCATTTTTAACTTCATTTATAATCGTGTGAATATTTCACTCAGAGAAGAGTATATGTTTTTAAATAAAAATGATTTGCAACTAAATTTATATCTAAGTAAGATACAAAATTTTATCGAATTTTTATCTTTTCATTTTCAAGGTATAAATATATTTGTTTTCATTCAAGTAAAGGCCTATTTATTTTTACTGTTCAAAGCATTGATAATATATATTTGAATACATAACTATATTTGGCAGTTATGTAGAAAGTTTTCAATTCACATTTATAAACTATAAATAATTTAATTATCGTTATAAATGCACTCCATATAACTTTCATTATTAATTATATAATGAGTTTATTACGTCTTATTTGTTTATATTTCCGATAATAAAATATTTCTATCCAATAGTTGATCTCAAGATCTTTAGATATGAGTAAAAACAAATCGTTTTTTTCACCATTTTTTGTGTTGATTAATTCAAAACCTTACTAATATATAATATTCTTTGCTTTTCGTAAAAAAAACTTATTTAGGAAGAATGCGAGCTTCCACAACAAGATGATTTTGTCGTTTGGATCTCGGCTTCATCATCAACAACAATCACATTCCTTCTTGTACTACTTGTCCTATTAAGGCTAGACTTTTTCTGTTCTACTTCATCAGCATGGGCTATCATTCTCTTCGTTAAATCTAAAAACAGTTCTTCGATATTTCTATTTTGTTTCGCTGATGTATGAAAGTGAACTGCTCCGACTTGTTTCGCATACCTAAACACATTATTAATCTTATATAATAAACGTCTAGAAATATTGTTTTATATGGTTTTTTTTAAATTTAGTAATATATCTATCATAAATAATTCATTTCAAATTAAAAATTACTTACTCTTCAGCTTCTTCTACAGTCACATTTCTATCTTTTTCAAGATCAATTTTGTTACCAGCAATTACTAAACATACGTCATTTCCAAGCATTTTCCTTAATTCTTTTATCCAATTTTTAACCTATAATGAGTAACCAATTAGTGAACACTTGAAATTTTATCAACGAAACCTTACTGATAATAATAGTACTTTTTGAAATGCATCATTATTGGTGATATCATAAACTAATATCGCTCCATTAGACATTCGATAATAAATTGGTCCTAAAGCATGAAATTGTTCTTGGCCTGCAGTATCCCAAATTGCTAGTTTTACTCTTTTTCCGTTGATATTAATTTTTTTTTCAAAGAAAGAAGCCTAAAAATCAGAGCAATAATATTAAAGACTTATGTAAATAAAAGATTAATGAAAAATCATCTTGTTATTACCTGCACTGTAGACAAGTGTTTATCATTGAATTTGTCTTCAACATACCTCAACGCTAATGAGGTTTTACCAACACACCCCTCTCCAAGTAATACAACTTTAAAATTATAACTATTATTCGAATTTATAATCGAGCTTGCCATGATTATAAAAACCGGTTCAACAAATTAACCAAAACCTTATTCTATAAATTTGAACTCTTTTTCATCTACAATACCACTTATCATTGGAATAAATTAAGTACTATTTACATGTCAGACAATAAACGAAATTTTTATCATCAATAGTGTAAATAAATGAATAGTTATATGGTAATGTCAAAATTGGGGTAAGTTAGCAAATCAGCTGTTTTTGGCTAGACTATCATCACTGAATAGACAAAACTTGACAGGAAGTAATTGAAAACTAATACATGACCGAAAGATGTCGCAGACTGTGACGTAGTCATGGTAAATAAACAAATACCTACGTATATGTATATGGATTTATAATTAATTGAAAAAATTCTTCATGAAGAACAGTTACAATGAACGATTTGCCAATAATTTGGAGTAATCTATAAATAAATATTGATTTTTCATTATCGATTGGCTATTGCATATTTGTCATAAAATCAATCAATCATACGTCCATGGTTTTAATTAGTTTCACGTTAAACTGTCACTTGGGCCGACATCAAAAGCATACGTGTGAACGTACTCATGTTGGAGTGAGATGGAAAAAACCGGAAATCAGATTTGACAATTATTTTGGTAAATAATAAACTTGAAACAATAAATACTTAATTTTGATTATTAATTTAATAAAAAAATATATAATTGAATTAATTTTGATAATCATTAAAAAAAATTATTGTTTATTTATTGAGAAAATTCATTGGCGGGTTCCAAAAATGGGATATGTTTTGACTACAAAGTATCTGAAACTGACTCTGCGCGCCGAAACTGCGCACAAGCTTCTCAAATCTGGCCGTCACCTGTATTGAAAAGGTAAGAAGTACTCTGAGTGAAACAGCAAAGTAAAGTGAGTTATAACGGGGGAAAATTAACAAAAAATGTATTAAAATAGTCAACGAAAGATTTTTTAATACCACCGAGAATTGTCATAAATAATTACAAGAGTATATTCTAACAATATTACGTGAAATGTCAGCGTCGTCCGGTGCATAAATCGAGTGATGTTCCAGGTTGTGTGCTATATCATCTTGAACGACAAAATTCAACATTAATTAATCAGTTGAATATACAGTAAGTTAAAGTACTTTTTGAATTTGAGTGTAATTAATGAAAACTAACATAATGTGTGTGATGCTGTGAGTCAAAATGATTTGTGTCAATTCACTTTGAGAGTCAAACGCGCGCCGCTGTGAGTACTTAAGTACTTTGGATCGGTGTATGAATTGACAGCTGGCTAACAGGGAATTTTTTCAAATAATTTTTATTTTTTGAAGTTATTTAATGAAAATACTATGACTTTTTACTCAATATTCATGTTCATTGTCGAAAAATAAGATATTTTTTGTGCCATTTGGCAAGCCAAGTTGTTTGTTTGCGTGTTGTATCATCTGTCATGGCGTGCCTGTGGCGGTTGGACGTTGGTGGCATCTTATAAGTCATTTAGTGTTATTTTTTACCGAGTTTCAGTATAAAAATGCAAAAGAAAGATTTTTCATAGATCATTGATCCTTCTAAGGGGTTCATTACTTCATATCCTTGTGGTGTAAATTCATTTTATAGACATTTCGAGAATGACATATGATTTATAGGGCACAGAAGGGGAGCTCGGGGTCGAGGAAGGGAAGAAAGCCGCAATGGCGGCGGCCTGTATCGTGCCACGCGCCATGTCCGACCTGTCTTTACACACGTCGCTTTACCAGGACCTTTTTATATTTCCATTCATATTTTTTTTAAAATTACCACCGTTTGTTCTACTACGCTACTTTTATTTCGTAATAATTCCATCGCTTGAGTACCCTTAAAGCTTTCGAAACTATTTTCTATGGCTTTTACTTTTGATGCTTCGTTCGAAAAATTACGTCTTCCCCCACTTCCTCAAATATTTATTCGACCATAATGTCGATGATTCCTCCCCCCTTTTTTTTATACCTAGTCTTTTCTGTAGACAATATTTTCGTGTCAATGTCTCCCGACTTGGTTCTTTTGATCCAGATAACTTGTAAAAAAAACTCTCATTTTTGGAGTGCGTCGACTCATCTCTGTATATTTTTATTCATATCGGTAACTGTCCTCCGACACATTTGATGTGTATGCGTATTCATTTATAAATATATATATGTAATACTGAAGTGCATATTTATTAGCATATACTTGTATTCTAAAGTTATTTTTGTCCATCGGAAAAAGAGAAAAAGAGAAGTGGGATTAATGTGTACGCAACGCAACACGTTTATTGGTCAACATGTATGGTTGCACACAAATATAGAAAGCGCGAAGAACAACATTCTCCAGACTTTTAAAATATAAATGCGTCCCGAATGTTGTGTGACAAGCTTATAGAGAGCAACTTTTAATAATATATTTACAAAAAAAAAGTAACATCTTGATAGCTTTAGTCTTTTCATGAATTTTAAACAACGACAACCTTCCTCACTGTTTACTTGATTGAGTAAAAAATTATATCTGCAAATTTGAGATATATACATTTGTATTGAACGACTTGAAAAAAACAAGATAACATTTATCATTATCCATCCATCTGCACTTCTTTTTTTCTTTGTATAAAAAACTCTTGAAATAATAAAATATCCTTCAGTATTTGACATTAATTTTTTTCAAGTTTGAAGAAGTTAAAAATGTCATGTGGTTGGTTATGCTGACAAAGTTTAACCACTTCCGTGTATAAGCTTTTTTTTTCAACTGTTGCAAGTTGTAAAGGTGGAGTAAAAGTGAAAAGGAAAGTTTCATTACTAGGTAACTGTGTCAGGGGCGAACAGTAAACTGCTACATCAAAGCATGTGTTCTCGTACTTCTCCTGTCTACTCAGCTTACAGACTTTTTCTATTCTATTTTCTATAAGACTTGACAAGCTTAGGATTTAACAGCCATAAGATAAAACGAATATAAGAACATGATGTACAAAAGTGAGCCTACATCCCTGTTATTTTTTATAAAAAGATTATATTACTTGGTTATTGACTCAACTATATCGTAATATTGCCAAGTATTAAGTGCACCAACTGTTGATGGTTAATGGTGTCAAGATCGAACACAAGAATTTGTTACTGTAATTCCAAATATGTAGATATAAATTGTTACATTAATTGATAAAAAAAATGCTGACAATATTATTAACTACTAACATTGTTTTGTAATAATTCGAATTATCAATTAGATAAAATATCTTACTAATTAAATATAAATTTACTTGAAAAATAATTCATTGAATTTTTCTATTTTTTTCAGAATAATAAGACAAAATGTTTAGCTTCCATAAACCGAAAGTTTATAGGTCAACAACGGGATGCTGTATTTGCAAAGCCAAATCGAGCAGGTGGGTGCAAATATTTAAAAAGCAATATAATATCCATTTTAATAACGAATTTTTAAAAACTCAAAATATTTGGTTATAGCTCCCGTTTCACGGATAGTAAAAAGTATGAGGATGATTTTATGAATTGTTTTCAATTGAAAGAACGCCGCTCTGGTGAAATTTGCAACGCATGCGTTCTTTTGGTTAAACGTTGGAAGAAGCTGCCGGCCGGCAGCGATCGCAATTGGCAGCACGTGAGTGAACTAGAAAAGTATTCTTGGTATTTGTAATACGATCGATGACCTAATATGAAAAAAATATATTTTTGCAGGTTGTTGATGCACGTGCTGGTCCTGGTATTAAATCGTTGACAAAATTCAAATCAAAGAATAAAAAAAAAACGAAAGAAGCCGCCGAAAAAATTATTAAGAAGAAACACGTTTATATCAAAAGTGAACAGGAACGAGAACCAAGTCCTGCAATTAGTGATGAACTGAATGGTTGGTTTAGTTAAATTATTAATCTTAGCTCATTAAAAAATCATATATTTAAAGAGTAATAATATCTTCATATTATTGTTTCAAAAGAATATGTAAATGGAGCAGGAAGTAAAGGATCAAGTAGAGCAGCAACTCCAGAAGAATGTGACGATGTAATGACTGAAAAACGATTGACTGAAGTATGCACTGATGACAAAGATGAGTTGTCTGTTAATGACTTTATAGATATGACCTATTTTAAAAGGTATAAATAATTTTATGATCATCTTCATATTTACATTATTGTTGGATTAATTTGTTAAATGTAAATCTATTTTTGAATTGTAGAGAAAAAATTTGTTGTGGAGTGATATTCCGAGGTCTTTATGGTGAAGTCATAGTTTGCCCAGAACTGATTAAACGTTGCACCAATTGTATTTCTCGGCAACAAGAGAAACTCAGACAAGCAGAATCGAATGCTGCCAGCAATAGTCCATTCCACAGTTCAGCGTCTGCCAGTCCAGCTTACAGTGCATCATCTTCATCTTCGTCAAGTCCTGTACATAATGTTGATTCATCAGCGGACACAACAAAATCAACGAGTAAACTCTTTAGTGATTCTTCATCAGATTCTGGATATGATGATTCTTCTAACCAAGGAGTTGGTGAGAATAAAATAGCTAAGGTTAGCAGTATAAATAATGCTGCGAAAATTTCTACAAGTAGTAATATTGCAACGAGTCAATCGAAACCGACATTGATATCGGAAACTGTCAGATTAACTGGGGTAGTACCTATTGCGGCAAATCCCGTAGAACAATTTACTTGTAAACCTTTATCTTTGGTTTCATCTTCAAGTCTCGGTAGTACAAATGCCCATCCAATTGCCGTTCCAAATAATCCACTGATCGATTTTGCGATGCATGCCGCTGCAAGACAATCTGTTATTAATTAATAACAATTTTTTACTATAGGCTTGTTGAATTTATTTTTTTTTTCGTCGAAGTAGTTAGGTAAACATAAGGCTCCAATTGATTGAACAACTCATTGAATTTATGATGTTGCATTTAATTATTGGAGTATAATAATTGATATTAATTAGTAATGACGATGGTGTCGAACTGATAATCTTTATTATGTGTAGGTATTTACCCCCAGAACAACAAGATATGTGAAACGGGATTATCTCTGAAGTCTCAAGTCAGACGAGTGAGATTTCCTTAGGAAAAATTTTAAATATTGAAATTTATTTATTATCATGATTGAAAGTATTTACAAATTAGTCGATTCATGAGTGATTCTAGTAAAAAAAATTAAGATGAATTATTAATTAAATTATAAATGAATAAAAAATAAAAATTGTAAAAGTTTAAAGATGAAAAAATTTAGAGAAAATGAAATTTTAGAAAAGAGAAACTGTGATGAATAAACTATGTGGTAGAAATAATTTATTCTATTTAAATAATTAACATTTGTGATGGCAGCTATAAAGCTAGCTCCATTTTAAAAATTAAGACGATATCCCATTCACGATAAGTTTGTTCTGGGCAAATGTCTTTCGCATGAGATAATTTAAAGAAGAAAACTTTTTAACATTGGTATCAGCCATAAATAAATGTGTTCCAAAAAGCCAATTATTATCTCATATAAAAATTTAGAAGTAAATAAGAGGATCGACGCGAAAATTCTTTTTCGAAACTTATGTTTACTAAACTCAAATGCATTTCGGACGAGTCGCAACTTCCATGACATTTGAATTATTATTTTTTTCGAGAAAAAGAACAATAGCGTGCTCGGATTAATACGATATCAAGAAAATTAAAAAAAAAACAGTAAACGAATATAATACGATGACCCAATAATTATCAAGCAATAATATTAAGAGAATAATATTTAATATTAAATGAGGGCCATATGTATTAAATAAACGAAAAAGTCCTCTTTTAGAAAAACATTTGAGGCAGTATTAAAATAAATATTCGAACAGGACCAACAATTTATTTTATTATATCTATAAATGAAGTCAACGGCATAGTGCAAAATGGACGACGACTTACTGTTTTTATAAACAATTAAAAATTTAGATTTGTAATCTATCAATTTAAAATTAAGATTTTGAAAATGATTATTAACTCAACAACAATTAAATAAGTTACCTCTTATTCCAATCGTTTTTACATTAAATAAAAATTCAATCAAAACGAGATACAAAGATTAGTTTTAATTGTCAAGTGCAATAAATGCTTTGAGTCTCATTGATTGAGTGGAAGAAAAATTTTTTTTTAATGTTGACAAATTTTTGCATATTCTTATGAAAATGTTAAGATCAATTTTAATATATTTCTCAGCATTTCGAGTACTTGTAAATGCATTTTATATCGCAATTACCATAAGATACGCTCATTGACAATCACAAAGTTTTTAATAAATAAACTATCACGAACAGAATCTTTTCAAAGATAACGACGTTCTTTCCTTTGTCTTTGAATAGATTTATTTACACATTTTTAAGTGAAATATAGGTAAATGATCTCTACAGTAAAATGTTAGTCCATGATTGCAGTTTTTACAGTAAAAATCAAATCGTGTGGTATATTGCGTAATTGGGTTCTAAGCATCGTAGTTTAGAAATGCAATGAGACTGCACAGTTTTCTACGCCGAGTACGTATTTTCAAATAGTAAGAATATATGCATTAATTTTTCTTGATCTCTTGTAATATCAAACCTTTTATTTTTTATTTTCTGCAATCGTCCCTTCTGCTCGTGATTGAATTATTAATAATATATGAACATATTTATAATAAACATACATATTTTTTTTTAAATAAATTATCCTTGTCGATTCATACAAATGACTGTATACAGCCGATACTGCCATATACATTTTATAAATTGCAAAAAAAAAAAAATAAAACGTTATGAAAAAAATATATAAACAAAACAAGAATGTGAACAAATTAAAAAAAAAATTTGATAATAGGCAAATGGGTGTTAAATGAATTAAGAATCGACAATGATTTTTTTATTTTTGACTACCGTAGATATTATTAATTTATTATTAAACTCTGCGTTCGATAAATGATTTTGATGAATTAATGAATTAAGGATGTAATATATCGAACGTGTGAATATGCAATTATGAAATAATCATTACAAAATATTACTCCCCAATTATTTATACTTTATATAATGATACATATATGATAAAGATATAATTATACTCGGTTTTATGATGTTTTTATCGTGTTTACTAGCCCATAATCATGATTAAGTCAATTGTGAATAAGTTCAAATAATTGAAAATCTGACAGTTTCTGATAATTTATAAAAAATTATAATTACCTAAAGAATAATATCATTAATAATTAAATATATTAGTAATTAAGCAAAATGAACTTTGCTACAAGAACTTTATACTCAAATTGATTATTAAATGATTTTTAATGCAAGTTTAATACGTGAATTATTGTACATATGTATTTATTAGAATCTTGTCGTTTAATTACAAAAAAGAACCAACAGCCAAGAATACAGTAACAAAGCAAAGAAACACGATAAATCATGTTTGTTTTTTAGACTGTAAGATCTTTTATATCACAAAACTTAATGCTATTATCATAAATTATTATTATTAATTTACATCAAATGATTAATTATCTTAAATATAATATAATATTTAAATAAGATTGTGAGACTGATCGATATATTGAACAGATAACAATTTATTTACATAAAAATATTGTAGTGTAGATCAGGTTTATTGCAATATAATCAATGACATATGTATATATACACATCGATTAGGTTATTTATATTACCGTTAATTAATTGTGTATATGTATCATATGTATATTCTTTTTTGACAACAATTATTACTTTATAAATACCTGATCGTGACTGCCATAATTGTCATCTTGTTACCTCGATTATACATTATACTATTGTACAGGTATATAAAAATAAGATTTATATGAGGTAAATTATATAATTTGATTGTCCCACCACCATAAGGGAATGTTTCCCTTCAATATTTACGGCAAACCTTGGTTTATTTTTAAGAATCCATCAGTCACACAACACAAAATAGATTCATAAGGGATGTATGCGATTTTACGGCGCGAATCAATTTATGAGACGTCTGAAAAGAATTTGTAATGTGTAGCATTTTAATTATTTAAGATAAAACGAAAAAAAACAAAAAAAAATTTTTAATAAAACTGTCGCTCATTAACGTCCTCCAAATGTTTTTATATACAAAGAAAACTATAAGTAATAGTAATAAGTAAAAATAATAGTTATAATAATGATAAAGAATAAATGAAAACGCACTATGATGAATGATGAAATGTACAAATGCTTCACATTACTGTTCGATGATTTAATTATTTTGTACACTCGTGCTGTAGGTCTTAAATTTTTTATCTTCTACTAATAAAACTATAAAATAACTAAAGAAATTTTTATGTGTATATACCACGGGTATTTACATATATCTTAAACAATTTACTGTGTGGAGAAAAAAAACAAATCGAGAAGGTAAATTTTGCATAATGAATTTCTTTCCTTTGCTAGAGGCAAGGAGATAAAATATAAATACATTTATACTACCTATCTGCAGTAATTGTACATACTGTAATAAGTATTATGTATTATTCCATTTGTTAAGCATTGATTAAAATTTCCTTCAAAAATAATTATTGTTTTTGTGCTTATTCCAGTTTTCATTAATTTCATCATTTATAATTCAAATTAAAAATTCAGATAGAGACTGTTAAGATCTTGAAACAATTTTTCTCTTATTTTATTTTTAAAAAATTATGCATACAAAATAAAAAAGTCTGATTATAGAACTTTATTATTTTTGTAAGATAATAAATATAAGGAACATTTTAAAAAATTTATTATTATGTTATATGCAATTTTCTCTTTGTAATAAAACGTATTGACAAATATTTGTTTTTATTAACAATAGCAGAAATTAAAAACACTGACCTCGAATTAATGTTTTCAATAACGTTTAGCACATGCGCAAGCAACTAACCTGCAATTCATTATATTGTGAAAGTTTTATCAATGTTGTCACGTTTCCCTGTAATTATATTGACTACTTGTTATTATTATTGAACAATGAGTGCTAAAAAATTTCTAAAAATTTCAAATCTTAAACTAGTTACTTTCGATATCACTGGAACTTTGCTAGAACCAAAATTAGAACTCTATCCAGAGATAGCTTATCAACATGGTATACGATTATTGAATCCAGAAAAGTTGGCGCCAAGTTGGAAACAGCACTTTTTATTTTGGAGCAATGAACATCCAAATTATGGAAAATATTCTGGTCTTGGCTGGAAAAATTGGTGGAAACATGTAGTTGTTAACGTATTCAAAGATCAGAACCCTGAAGTTCCAGATGAAAAATTACATCAAGTATTGATCTATCAATATTATCAAATTCATTCCTAATAACACAGCAATTATTTAATTAAATCTTCTATTATAAATTATAGATAGCTACAACATTAATTGAACAGTATAGTACAAAACAAGGTTGGCATGTTTTACCTGGAGCTGTAAATATTCTACAGTATTTAAATAATCAAAAAATAATATTAGGAGTTATTTCAAATTTTGATAAACGTTTAGAACCAATTTTAATAAGCACAGGCATTCGAAAATATTTTTCTTTTATTATTACATCTTATGATTATGGAAGAGAGAAACCAGATGTTATACTTTTTGAGAAAGCTTTAGAATTAGTACAGCAAACACGTGGAGAAAAAATTACGTCACTGCAAGCATTACATATTGGTGATAATTTGAAACTTGATTATGATGGAGCTAAGAATGCAGGATGGAATGCTTTTTTAATGGACCCAAATTCTGGTGATAAATTAAAATCGATTCCAGAATTTGAAAGATTTAAGAATCTTCATGAATTGCAGAAATACTTCGAAGTTTCGATAGTAAATAAATAATAATTAATTAGTAATACTTAGAAACTTCTTTGTTAAAAAAAAAATAGTAATGAAAATTATTCTAATAGGTATTGTTAATTGTTTTATATTTAAAAATGAAATTAATAATTTGTGATGAATAATTTTACTTATGGCTGTGCATAAGTAATTTTATGAAATTTTTTTGTTTAATAATCAAAAATTGTCTCAAATATAAAAATATTTAATTTACATGTTATAATATATATTTTAAAATGCAACATAGTCATTTTTATGTATGACACAGTCATGAATTAGTAGAAGATATCTATGCAGTCTCGCTATATGAGTGGGTGGGATATCAGTGAACATTTCCGGGTAAAGAGATATCTATTCATCCGTTGACTTTATAGAATAAAATGAATGAAAATTTTTCTTAATGTATACGTGCTTTTAAATTATTTAAGCTATTCTCTCTTAAATTTTAAAATCATCAAGAGTTTTAAAACGTTGCAAAATAATGAGATCTAAAGAATATAGTGGGGAGAGAAATGATGAACTTAAGCAAAGGGCTAAAAGAGGTCGGTTTCAAGATTGGAGTTTCAAATAAAGCCTTCTCTAGCATAAGCTAAGCATCACTGCAACGGAGTAAAACGGGCGTGCGAGGAAGAGCGAGATAAGCAAAAGTGAGATGAAAGAGCTCACAGACCTCTCGCTTTGAGAGTTCATTCTTTAGGTCCGTGCTTATAATCCCTCAACTCCACCTCCAGTTTCTGTCTGCTAGAGGTAAGATCCATTCGTACAAATTCATAGAATATCTAACTACTCAACCGCGTGTGTTTTACTTTGACATTTTTTAATTAAACTGTGTCTCAAGGACTAAGCTGTAAACTATATCACGTGTATCTTAAGCATCTTGGCATCTTGAGAACTGAAAAGTATTGTATGATAAAACTGAATACTTTGTGTTTCTTCAAGGTTTGTTATGAATGTAAGTTGTAAAAGCTCCAAAGGTGGAAAGTTAGTGTAAAAGTGATGTTTCACAAAAAATATAAAGAACCTTTTAGAGTTGAAAATAATTTCTATAAGAAAAAAACGTCTTTGACATTACCCCCTGTCGCGAGAGTCCAAACTACCGTTGGAATTTTGCCTATGGTAGGCAACTTACAATGCATAGCTTTGCATTTCTTATCCAATACAATTTTGAATTATATTTAAGTGATAATTATTTAACTGTGATCTGAAACAGAAAACATTTTGTTATAAGTCATCAGATTTATTTAATTGACAATAAATTTTGATTATTTAAATTTTATTTTGCACTATGCTAAAGTATTACTTTGTTAACAATGACTCTAGTACTTTTTTCAACGAATATTTTGATATATTTTTCAAGTAGCATTCATACTTTACCCATCTTCCAATAAAAAAGTACAGGTTATAAATGAAGATTAATTAAATTATCAGATACTTCTCGTGTTATTTAATATAAAAACTATTTATTTTACAGATACCACGTCGAAAATAACTGGTAATGCTCTAAAATTATCCGAATGGATCATTAAAGATAAGTTACTTGCACTTCTACGAAACTTAAAGGGAAGAAAAACGAAAGTGTAGGCCGGCAAGTTCATTGTTCGTTAGTCAAACTCTAGGCTTGCTACTGTGCGGATGTCTATCGACGCTTGTCGATCTCTGGATCGACTGTAAAATATTTTATTCATATAATTTTCATAATATATTCAATTGATTCATCGTCATCATACTTAAAACTATAATGAAGTGTTCATTATTGCAAATAAGTTTTGTGTTCATCATCACCTCAATCGGAATTCTTGGAGATCCAGATCCATCGGAAGAATTTTTTCATCGAGTTCCATTTAATCGTGATGAAGTAAAGTGTTATGATGAGACTGGAAGAGCTCAGGTGTGTTAATTTATCAATTTTCAATTTATAATGATTTTTTTACAATTTATTCTAAATGTTTTTATTCATTCTTTATCTTTAATTTTACTGTAATGATATAGCTGGGACCATTTTAATAATCGTCGTATAATTTGGATGTTTGCTATCTTTATTCTTCTTCTATATGGTTTCTTTACCTCTTTTCATCTCCGATGAACGCAGGGTTATCAGCTCTTCTTCGAATTGCTTAAACGTTATGATGATAAGCGGAAGTGAATGAAATACATTTTTCAATCAAATATCATTACTTTTTATTTAACATAATAATGTTGAAAATACTTACTAAATTTTATAAAAATAATGACATGAGAGTTGTTAACTTCCTTTCAAAAGAATTGATATCTGAATCTCTAGTCAATGAGAACAAATGCTTGATAATTCAATTCATGTTAACATTTTTTTCTCTTTAAAAAAATTATTTGATGATTAGATATAAATTTTTAGAACTGATGTAAGCATTCACTATCGAATTCATTGGATATGAACATGTGTTAGATCTAAAAAACTTAATACATGAAGCACTCACTTAAATTACATATTAATTTTTCAGAGATGTATTCCACCATTCGAAAATGCTGCTTTTAATGTCTTAATAGAAGCAACAAACACATGTGGTGAAAGCGATCGTCCTACAGAATTCTGTAAACAAACAGGAGTAAAAAAGAAATCTTGTGAAATTTGTCGACGGGGTGATCATCCTGCACTTTATCTCACTGATCATGATAATAATGAAAATGTTACGTGGTGGCAATCTCAGACGATGTACGATGGGATTGAATATCCTAATCAAGTCAACTTAACTCTAAGACTAAGTACGTGAATTATTTCAGAAAGAATTTAATTATTTCATTGAAAATGATTTAAAGAAAAAGTAAATAGAAACAGAAAAATTTGTTATGATATTTTAATGCTTATTTAAAATTTATAGCTAGTTAAATTTAACCTCTACTCTCTGATAGATGGTTTCAGATAAGAAATTATAATACCTAAATTGTAAGACACAATCCTAGAGGTCTTTTATTTCTTTCATCTGTTGGCCACGTGTTTTCTTTTTCTAAGAGGCTGCAGTTCCAATGTTTTAGCCCTAAACTAAACCATAGGCGTAGGATTAATTTTTTTAACTAATGTTCTACGTATTTTCCAGAAAAAACCTTCGATATTACATATGTTAGGGTGCTATTCGAATCACCAAGACCAGAAAGTTGGGGAATATACAGGAAAAAACATGAAAAATCCAATTGGGAGCCTTACCAATTTTATTCAGCAACTTGTCGCGATACTTATGGACTTCCAGATTTAAAAGAAACGATTCGTGGTGAAGATACAAGGGTTCTTTGTACATCAGAATATTCAGATATTTCTCCATTAACTAAAGGCATCGTTGCATTTTCTACTCTGGAAGGAAGACCATCCGCTTATCAATTCGATACCAATCCTTCTCTTCAGGTAAACAATAAATGCATTTTTAAGTCAATAAATATTTACTTACATAATTTCGTCAAATTTTATAGGAATGGGTACAAGCATCAGAGTTGAAAATTACGTTAGATCGTTTAAATACTTTTGGAGATGAAGTCTTCGGTGATGATCAAGTACTCAAGTCATACTATTATGCTATCGCTGATATCGCAGTTGGTGCACGGTGTACTTGCAATGGACATGCTGGAGAATGTGTTAATTCCACTGCTCCAGATGGTTCAATTCAAAGAATTTGCCGGTAAAGTCACTTTTCACTATTTAAATTATTAACTCTAAAACTAATATGTAAAAATCCACTAAATGAAATGTAAATTTTAGATGTGAACATAACACTGCGGGTCCAGACTGTAATATCTGTCTTCCCTTTTACAACGATGCTCCATGGGGTCGTGCAACAACGACTGATGCTCATGAATGTAAAGGTGAGTTCATTTTACACACAAGAATTTCAAGCAAGTATCAGTACGGATTGAACATCGTCAGAACAGTTTTTATGACGCACCTTACATGGCTCCTTATAAAGTACATGGTATACCAGCTTTACCTTATTTGTCAGCGATGATGATCGTAAGAGAATTACTGAGAATACTCCACTCACAGTGTTCGTACGATCTTGTATACCTAGTTCCATCTTTCGATATTTGATTTTGAAGTATGAATAAATGAAATTTACAAAATGCGGTCCTTGTTAATTGAAATAATTTTTTTAAATGCTTTGTTAATTGATTTGACTTGGGCTTATTGGAGTCGAATGTCAGCACGGTATTTTAAGCCTACTCGTGAGTTTTTATTAGAATAAATAGAAAAGATTCACCTTTTGATAGTTAAATAATTATTATATTGATTTTCAGCATGTAATTGTAATGGATATTCGGATGAATGTTATTTCGATAAGGATCTTTACGCTTTGACTGGACATGGTGGTCATTGTATCAAATGTAAAGCAAATCGTGATGGTCCAAACTGTGAAAAATGTCGAGATAATTATTATCAACGTTCTGAAGATGGTTATTGCATTGCTTGCAACTGCAATGAAATAGGTAATGTATTAATATAAATAATTAAAAAAAAACTATTTATTTATTCATTCTTCAAAAAATATTTATTAACACATTGTTATGTTTAAAGGTTCAAGAAGTCTTCAATGTAATGGTGAAGGAAAATGTCAGTGTAAACCAGGTATCACTGGAGATAAATGTGACAGATGTATGCCCAATTTCTATAACTTTGATTCCACCGGATGTACTTCTTGTGACTGTAATGTAAAAGGATCTTTGGGTAATGAGCCAAGTTGTGATCCTATTACTGGATCCTGTGCTTGTAAAGAAAATGTTGAAGGAAAACGCTGTAGAGAGTGAGTAACGGAAAAAAAATTAATTCCTCATACTATTTTCATTCATCAGTTTTTTAATAAATAATATCAATTACTCTTTAGATGTCGGCCTGGATTTTTCAATCTCGCATTAGAAAATGAATTTGGTTGTACTCCTTGCTTCTGTTATGGCCACGCATCAATTTGTCGACCAGCTAGTGGCTATTCAAAAGTCTTAATCGAAAGCATGTTTGTTCGAGGCAACGAAAGATGGTCAGCAAATGTTGCAGGAAATACTCTTCCACTTCATTATGATGCTGTTACTCAAACAGTTTCTGTATCCGCACCTGATAGAGATAACGTCTATTTTGTGGCTCCAGATAGATTTCTAGGAGATCAGAGGGCGTCTTATAATCAATATTTATACTTTACTTTGAGAATTGGTGAAAAAGAACCTGCTCCAACTGCTCGTGATGTGATCTTGGAAGGTAGCAATGGAGAACAAATAACTCAACCAATTTTTGGACAAAATAATCGTCTTCCTACAGTTGCTCCTCAAATATACAAATTTAAGCTTCACGAACATCCTAATTATGGATGGCAACCACGTCTTTCTGCAAGAGCGTTTATGTCAATTTTGTCAAATTTAACTTCTATAAAAATTCGGGGAACATATACTCATCAAGGCCGAGGCTTTTTAGATGATGTTGTTTTGGAAACAGCACAAAGAGGTGCAGCAGGAGATGTTGCAGATTGGGTAGAACATTGTCAGTGTCCTAATGGATATATCGGTCAATTTTGTGAATCTTGTGCTCCAGGATTCCATCATGACCCCCCTGGTGGTGGACCTTTCGCTCACTGTGTACCATGTAATTGTAATGGTCATGCAGATATTTGTGATGCTGAAACTGGTCAATGTATTTGTCACCACAATACCGCCGGGAGCAATTGTGAATTATGCGCACGAGGATATTACGGATATCCATTAAAAGGAACCACAGAAGATTGCAAACCATGTCCTTGCCCTGACAATGGACCTTGTATTCTCTTAGGAAATAATCCAGATCCAATTTGTTCTGAGTGCCCAAACGGTAGAACTGGTCCACGTTGTGAAACATGTTCTGATGGATATTTCGGAAACCCAGATCAAGGAATAGCTTGTCGTCCTTGCGAATGTAATAACAACATTGATTTAAATGCCGTTAGAAATTGTAACCATGAAACAGGAGAATGTCTTAAGTGTGTTAATAACACAGCTGGATTCCACTGTGAAGACTGCTTGCCGGGTTATTGGGGAGATGCTTTGTCAGACAGGAAAGAAGATGGCTGTAAACTATGTCAATGTTACGCACCAGGAACTTTGGAAACTGATGATGGAAGCATTGAACCTTGCAATCAATTAACTGGATTTTGTGCTTGTAAACCTCACGTCACTGGAAAAAATTGCGATAAATGTGAAGATGGATATTACCATATTCTCAGTGGAGAAGGATGTAAAGCTTGCAATTGTGATCCCGAAGGGTCATATAACAGAACTTGCGATGTAAATACCGGACAATGTCAATGCAGACCAGGAGTAACTGGACAACGGTGTGATGCTTGTCAACCATATCAATACGGTTTTGGTCGAGAAGGTTGCAAACATTGTGACTGTGATCAAATTGGGTCTTTAGATTTACAATGTGATGCCAATGGACAGTGTCCATGTTTAACAAATGTTGAAGGACGAAGATGTGACCGTTGTAAAGAAAATAAATACAACAGGCAATATGGTTGTATTGATTGTCCGGCTTGTTACAATTTAGTTCAAGATGCAGTCAATTTACACCGAAGACGATTAGCAGATCTTGAAAATACATTAAATAAGATCAACAGTAGTCCAACAGTTATCAAGGATTCAGATTTTGAAAAAGAACTAAAGAATGTTGAAAATAGAGTACGCGACTTATTGCAAGCAGCTAAAGAAGGATCAGGAAGTGATAGTAAAACTTTAGCAGAACAACTTGATGATTTGAGAGATCAATTAAATCAAATAGAAAAAGTTTCTCAAGGTGTAGATGTTACTGCACAGGATGCAAGACGAACGACCAACGAAGGATTGACAAGTATTGAAGAAGCTGAAAGTGTCTTGGACAAAATTCATGAACAGTTAACCGAAGCAGAAGACTATCTTGCAACTGAAGGTGCAACAGCTTTAGAAGATGCAAGAAAACGTGCTGAACAAGTTGGTCAACAGAATCAACAGATGACTGAGATTGCGCAAGAAGCTCGACTTTTAGCAGATTTAAATGTTAATGAGGCAAAGAAAATACATATTCTAGCTGAGCAAGCTAAAAATACTTCTCTGGATGCTTATAATTTAGCTAAAAAAGCAATAACAAGATATTCAAATATCAGTGAAGAAATAAGAGAATTAGAAAATAAATTAGAAATATTAGAAGATCGATTTAATGAAGTAAAAAATTTGACTGCTACTGCGATAGCTAAGTCGGTTGCAGTTGAAGAGGAAGCTCTTCATTTGTTGATCCTTGATCTTACTCTACCTTCTGTTGATATTCAAAAGCTTCAAGACCAAGTAGATGTTGTAAATAATGATGGATTGGTAATCAAAGAGCGCGCACAACTTTTATTGAGCGAAAATGAGGATTTGTTAAACGATTTAAACGAGAAAATAATAAAAAGTGAAATCTTGTTAGAAAAAGCACAAGATCAGCAAGCAGCCACAGCTGACTTATTATCAGAAGTTGATAAAGCTAATGAGAAAGCACAAGATGCAGTAAAAAGAGGTAATCAAACATTAACAGAAGCTCAAGAAACATTGAAGAAACTTGGAGAATTTGATGCTGAGGTACAGAAAGAACGAATTAAAGCTCAAGAAGCTTTAAAAAATATTGAGTCCATCAGAGAAATGCTTGATGAAGCCATCGAAAAAGCTGACGAAACGCAAATTATTTTAAATGGAGCTGAAAATAATGCTGCAGGGGCTTGGAATATAACTGCAGAAGCTCAAAGAAATGCTGATGAAGCAGGTGACAATGCAAGAATAATTCGATCTGAAGCTAATAGAATTCAATCTGATGCCGTGAGGTTAAGCAATGAAGCAGATAAACTCCGTGCAAGAGTTGAAATTACAGATTCTATCGTTAAAAAATATGAAATACGTGTTGGAGATGATGTTAACGTCACAAATGATGTTAATCATCAAGTTGGACAAGCGAGAAATAAGGTAGCACTTGCAAGTCAGCAAGTAGATAAGGCTCTCATGGAAGTATCTGAAATCATAAGTGAACTTCAAGCACTACCAGAAATCGATGATGCAGATTTAGATAGACTTGAAAAGCGATTGATTGCAGCAGAAAAAGAAATTAAAGCAACTAATTTAGATGAAAGAATAAAATTATTAACAGATGCAAAAAATTCACAAACGCAGTGGGTTAAAAATTATGAAGATGAAGTAAGTCGTTTGCGAATAGAAGTAGAAAATATTGATGAAATACGCAAGGCTTTACCGACTAATTGTTATAAGCGTCTTCGTCTTGAACCTTAAGTGCCTTAATGTGCCATCAAAACTTAATTTAATTTAATATTGAGAATGTCTTTGAGCTTTCTTTCATAAAAATAAAATGGAAGATAATCGATTAGCATCGAGCTTAACACAATTTTTGTACCATGAGATACTCATAAAAAATGATAAGGATTGTGAATTAACGAGTTAAAGCTCTAAAAAAATTTATAATAAAGAGGCAAAACTTTTTGAATCTATTCTTCATCTATTGGTAGAGTTCAGATTTTTTTTAATAAACACGATGCCAAAGACTTTAAATAATGATGGGAGGCTCGATTGTTACTTATAATGCATTTTATAGGCTTGTATCGTACAAAAAAATAAATAGTTAACCTATAGATATATATATATTATATGTATTTTTTTTTATTAAATATAATTACGTTTCATGTAGATTTAATTATTATAAATTTCTCTACTAAATCAATGATGTTGATCAATTATTTACTTAAATATTTTTGCAATAGTTGTAACGTTAGATGTTTTTTTACAAAACAAACAATTATAAATTTTTTATACTACTTAATTTAGTGGAAATGTAGAAATATGTACAATGAGCAATAAAAAAAATACAATATTTCAAAAATATACATATTTGAAAATGTTCTTTCAAGCAATGTAATAATTTAATTCGAAAATTGATTAACTAATTAAAATAAATTAAAAATGACTTAGATTATTATGAACGAGGATATCCATCCTGACTACAAAAATTTGAAAATTTATTTGAAAGAGAATCATAGAATAAATTACGTAAAAAAAATTACGATCTAAGGGACTAGTTTATACATTAATGCCCCAGAGAACCGATTGTTCAATTACTTTTTACATAGACTTTGTTAGCTGGTCTTGGTAGTGTAATAATTTCACTTGATGATAAACAAAATAATAAGTAATACCAAAATAGCAGTCAAGATTCCAATTGCTACCCACTGTCTGCGATCTAAAACAAACGGAAAGTAATATCGCATGCGTTACACTGCCATAACTCTTATAACTTTTATTTTTAAGAGTTTTATTATAATTTTTTTTATTTATCTACAATTTATTATAACAAGTAAATGATTTAACCAGTCTGTTATGTATATTTTTGTTTGTAAGGTGATACTAAACACAGATGTAACATCTAACTCTAAAATTAATTCTCGTCATATATGTGAGGTACATAATTGACCATATAATTGGCCTCGATTACTATAATATATTATTTCCATATTTTTTAAATTTAAAACCTAAATATTTTTTTCATTATCTTTAAATCCTTTCTTAAAAATCACTATAAATTATAATAAATTCACCAATTTAATCATTATTTAAATAAAGTAATTGTTAATTTTGAGTTCTTTTTAACAATTATTCAAACGTATACGATCCTTTTCTTCATAACTTTTAACAGATATTTGCACTCATTAATTATACATAAGATCACACAATTGACATTTAATTTTGATACGATTCACTCTTCATAAAACTTTCAACACTCAATCCCAACTATAGAATTTTTAAAATTTTTCTAATTCTTTACTGATGGAGGACATTACTACTGTATTTAGCTTGTTTTGGAAACAATCATCTCTTAACAATCAGTGACAACCGTTAACAACAATATTGTTATCTGTTAATATATACCTTCCTACTTACTTCGACTAGTTGTTTTTATTTTACTTTATAATTATTACCGCAAAGTATTTTACAAAATTCCGTGAAATATTTCTATAAATTTAAATCAGTATCTGTTATCTGTTTTTATGCAGGAAATATGTCAAAGGTATTAATAAAAATCGATCCTTTAATTGAAATGAAGATGAATAATTTTCTAATGTAATTAAGAAATATATTATTTTAAATATCCACTTGATCATTTTTTTTTTTTTTGCATTTTAATGCTTCCATACGATCAAAATAGTTCGTAAATATATAATTGTAAAATTTGGCAACTAATATTTTTGAAGATTTGGCAATATTGAGGTGATTGAAACTGACTAGAATTATTTTTATTTAATTCTGGTTTTCTGTACTTTGGTGTAATTTTACTTTGTTATTTTAATATTAAAGTTCACTTAAATGCAGTTTAGAAAAATAAATTGTGTTTGTTTACTCAGCAGAACATAGAAAACAATTAGTTATTGTAGTGGAAAAAGTAGATAAGGAAGAAGTTTTTGTGGGATAAACTGAAACATTAGGTACTGAAGTTGTAGGAGCAGGAATGTAATTGCTATAGTTACCATTGCTCATATGAAGAACTTTGGCCATTTTTTTCATCGTTGCATCCAACTTTGAATCTGTCACTTCCATCTCATTACCAAAATCATCTAGCATTCTGAAAAATTAAGTATTCATTCATTATAATATTCATTTTGAAAAAACTCTTCAACAAATAAATAACTAAAAAATTTATTTCTATAGTCTCTAGATAAAACTATTACTTATTATAAGTTGACATCGTTTTAGAGCAAAAAGTTATACTGCAAATGAATCTATAATTATTTTATTTTATTTTTACTATTACTAAAGCTCAACTTTGAACTGTATTATAAATGTAGCAATCATGATTAAATTATTAAATGATTAATTGATGCAAAATTAGCAAAGTTATATTTGAGTAAATAAATTAAAATTAATTAAAAGAAATATAAAGTGATAAAAACTTGAACATGTAACCTCATTTACTCAATTCCGACAAAACATCAATGAATATTTATTTTTGTTTTAAATTAATGCTGTTGCATTATAGTCGATAAATATCAGATCTAATAAGATAAATTTATTGCCTTCAGGTAATATTAATAACAGTAAAAAGAATTTTAAAATGAAACATTACAGTTAATTAAAACTAGATCATATCATAAACATGATGGTATTATAGGTGTATCTCATAACAAAAAATCATAAAATTTATCTCGTTAATTAGTTACTTTTAAAAATAGAAATTGTATGAACTTAAAAGCTTACACAGCTTGCTCGTCTAATTCGGAATTAATTTGCCTGGAAACAGTCTTTAGTGTTCCAATGCTTTCTCCAATCATATCCAGTTGATCATCTTGTTGCCTTATCATCTGATTTTGCTGTTGAAGTGTATCTTCCAAAAATTGTCGACTTGGACTATCCACTTCATTTTCTAATTTAATATATTTTGTCGTTCCATGATTTATTAGAGCCCGAGTTGGACTATTATCTAGCAATGGCTGTAAACAAAAGAAAAGGATAAATTAAAAATAAGTTATTGTATTAAGCTCCCGGTTTTAGAATAAGCTAAAGTATAGGAATTAGAAAATATCAAACCATTGTGGTAATATTAACAAAGAACTATTATTCACGCAGAGATTAAATATTCTTAAGTCAAATCAAATCACTGTAGAAGGTTAATGTATTCTGACTGGTGACAGAAAACACATGATCTAAATGTTTTATGAAACAAACTGTATTATTTCTAGAGGGCGCATATCTGTCTGTGTATGAAGCAAGTTTTAAATCGCTTTAGGTTTATATTGCTAAATATGCTGCTATAGCAAAAAAAGTAAATTGCATTTTTGCCTTACCTGCCTAGCTGTTCTATCACGATCCCTTCCTCGACTAAGATTCATTTTATCTTTCATGACCTAAAAAATACAACGATAATTCATTTAAAAAATAGTAATTAGTAAATTATTAATCTATATTTCTGTTTTTATATTATTTTTTCAGTCATTAGTCGACATTACCTTGACCTCCTCCCGCGTGTGATCGATGAAAGCTTTTCGAAAACTAAGTTCTTTGTTATCAATTTTAAACTTTGTTGGATTCTTCTCTACAATACGTGAGATCAAATATTAAGGAAGATTTCTAAATTAATGAATCATAATTAGTTCTATTAAAACAAAATTTCTTTTGAAATTGAGTTAGTTAAAAAGGATATAAATTGTGTCTTCTAAATCTTCGAGATCCCATTCGATAGATCGTAAAGCGTTCCTAAGCTCTGTTGTGGTCCACTCTAATTCTTCCTTTGAGACCGGAAGTCCTGGTCCTACTCCATTTGGTGTTGCGGCCGTGACATTCGATTGGGAGTCAGTCCAACGACCATACAAATTACGTGTCTTATTTAAAGCTTTACACACCTCGCTGAAAAAATATTTAAAGATTATAAATCATTCAAAAAATTCACTCAATCCAATTTCACTTCTTCGACATAATTTGTAAGAGTCTTTGTGCAAAAGTAGAATAAACGTTGTGGAATAAAATAAAACGAATAAATTTTTAAACAAAAATTTTATAAACTTTCTTAATCAAACAATTTGTTTAATTTTGCACAAAGATATATTGTGCACAATTGTACCTTCATGCAGCTTTAAAAACAGAAAGTGTTTTCGAAAACGTTTTCATGAAAAATGAAAGTAAGTAAATAGTCAAGTAAATGAATGAAGAAGGATAAATACTTACTCTTTAACGACAAAAAATGGGTCCTCAAGCGTCATTCCTCACCGGAATTTAAAAGGGCGGCCTATCTCGCCGTCGCACGTCTCCCATAGAGATCCTTACCCGTGATTGATCAATCATGGGTAGATTTTTGAGAAAATTAAATAAAAAACTTGCTAACTCACAATTTGAAAAGAATTAATTCTTTATAAAATATTGGAAGTTTTTTAATTTTAAATAATGAAAAAAATCAACAATTAACTAGATCACTCTTTATACTTTTATGATTCCAAAACATCATCTAAAGTTTTTTTATTATGACGTCTGTACAACGTCCGCCACTGCAGACGACTATTTGTTCGATTTTAACGTTTGCGCAAAGCACTTCTCTCCAGAAAGCACAAGCGCCTATTGATCTTGCCGTTGGAGATGAGCGAATATGAGCTATAGAAAGAGAAAAGACATTTTGCTATGTATGTATATTGTATATGCAATAAACTTCATCAGGTGTCATATGATAGAACCATTAATGTACTTAATTGATGTCATCGTGACATTTTCTTGTAAAAAAAAAATTTTGCTTTTAAATTTTTTTTCCTTTTTTTTCTACTATGTTTCTTTACTATTAAAATATGTTTAATTAAATTTTTTATTTTTTGCAGTCAGGATAAGAATAACTCTGCCATCTTTGATAAAGCTTCATAACTATCTTCTTTTTTATTGACTAAAGAGGGATACAGTTTGTAATTTTGTACTGTGTATTTGTTTAATTATTGTATCTAGAATCAAAAAAATAAGCATTCATTAGAAATTGAATAGATAAAGTTGATTATCATTTAGTTGTAAGGTGGCTAAAAATCTGTTTAACACCTTTAATCATTTTTAAATAATGAATTCAAAAAATATTTATATAATTATTAAAAATTAAAAAAAAAAGCAAGCAATATTATTTAAGCAAATAAGAAAAATAGAAAGTTCGTTAATCATTTTAAAATTATTAGTAAAGCATACTGAACATTAGCAATGATTGTTTTCGAACTTTATAAGTAGAAAAATAAATATCTACTGTTTATGAAGAAAAAAAAATATAAGATGATAACTCCAATACTGACCATGAAGCTATAAATATATCATTTCTTGTAGATTATTTGAGCATAATAGTTTGAGATTTTGATAATATAATTTTTTATCAGCTATATAAATATGTAAATGTGTGATTACAACCATTTATTGTTGAATATTAATACATTAAGTTAGAACAGCTGCGTGAAACTATGATTAACGAAAAGTATATAATGCGTCAATTGCCCAATTTAATTTACAAGTAAAAATTTCAACTCTTAGAAATATTGTATCGTATATTTTTTTCTTCAATATGGAAAAGTTGTTATTAATGTTTTTATTTTATTTTATAACAATAAATGTTGGAGGTAAAGAATCAAAGCTTATACAATAAAATTGATATTTTCAGCAACAATTGAATTATGACGAAAAAAATGTAATTGTTTCAGAATGTCAAACAGAAAATAATTATTTAAATCGTCTAGCATTCTTAGACGGCGATAGATTTACGTGCATAGGTGTTTTACTCAGTCCACGACATGCACTTTTCAATGGAAATTGTGTACAAAGAAGAAACTTTACTGATCATGGAAAACTTGGAGTATTTGCCAGAGATGTGTATTCAGATACCATTGAAAAAACTGCAACAAATTACAGAAATGTTGTTGCCGCTGCATATGAATCTGATTGTAAAATTAAATTAGGCAGCTCCAGAATACAAAATTGTTTCGTCGTATTAACCGTAAGTAATTCTGTAAGAAAAAATTATGATTTTAAACTTAATAATCATTTAGTTGATTGTTCTTATTGATCAAAAGATATTAATATGATTTATCTTTCAAGCTTGAAAGTGATTTTGAAGTTGGAAACGATATTCAAGTGACTAAACTTCCAACTAGTCCGATTACCGAGAATACACTAGGATTCATTTTTGGATGGCATAATAAATGTACTACAAGATCGGATCAAAGAATTGTAGTAGCTAATATATCAGTTGTAGCGAGAAATATGTGTGCTGATCTTCAAGCAGATGAATTTTGTGCAATGGATACAATGACTGAGAGAGTAATTGTTTATTATTAAAAAAACGATATTACATTTTACTTGAATTGATTTTATTTATTATTTACACCATTTTTTTCTTTGGTAGATTCATTCTTCATCTCCAGTTATTAGTGGTGATACGATCATTGGATTCACTACTGTTGGATGTCATTATTCAACTAACACCAATCCAGTTACAGATTTATATTTACATGCAGGTTTCTTGAAATCTCATGTGTCAGTATAATATTTTAAAATTTTTTTGTACAAAATACAATGTAGACTTCAATATTTGATATTTTTTTATAATATGATAATTATGATTTCATGATTATTACTATAAAGTCAATGATTATGTAATTTGTCAAATAAAAAGCCGGGTGAAAAGCTAATGAAAGATAAACATATCATTTATTCATCCTTAATTGAATGAGTTAAATTTTTTCACATTTTGTTTTTAAATCTATCTCAAAGTCTTTTTTTGTTGAATATGAAATAAAATTTTTGTTTATGAACTTTATTCAAAAAAACACCTTTTCTACTTCATCCGAATTTGCTGTCAATCTAGTATAGTGCTTGTCATTTAACCAGATGGCGCGTGTCAATACGCCACCTTCTGGTATAGAATGTAAACAAACCGTTGAAATTATCCAATCTTCGCCCATATTTTCTCAAACAACGCCAACATTAAATATATCAAGAACATAAGAAATAAAAACTTTATTTTTCGGGATAATTAATTTAATATTACGTCCGCACGTGAGCAGTGCAACATGAAGCCTACGATAATACTACTTTTCATTATTAGTTTTGGTGAGTTTTTTTTTACTAAAACTTATGGAAACATTATATTGAATTATAAAAAAAGATTGGAGTAAATCGAGATAAATCTCGTTTTTTTTGTCTTGATTTTTTTTATAGCAGTATAGAATTTCTTTTGTTATTCATCAAAATATAATAATCAATTTGATTCCTATTATTATTAATTGAAAAACAATAGAATTTTTATTTTTATTTTTAAAGACCTCCTTTTATTTTTTATAAAAAAAAAATCATTTGAAACATACTCGCGGTAATAGAAAAATTAAAAATTCAACTAAAATAATTTTCAATTCATATTAATGAATGAAAAATCATTATAATAATTGTAAAATAGTGTTCAAATGATGCAATAAAATATAATAATTTTGGCTTAAATTTTTTTCAGTGGTAATTCATTCTGCAAATGCAGGATTTCGACCTCGGAGCAGTTACTCATACAAAGAGAGTCCTTCAAAAACAGCATCAAAGTCAAGTTCCATGATGTTAAATGATGGCCGAAACGAGAGAGCATCAAATGCAGCTCAGACGGAGACTATAGGAAAAAAAGCTTCTAGAGGAGTTGGTATTTCAGCTTGGGGAATAATTGGGATAATATTAGCTGCAATATTAATAGCTACCACTGGATATTATGCATTTGTATTTTATCCATTTTTATGTAAAAAAGAACGAAATTATGATATGATTGAATTAACGAACGTATAATTGTAAAGAAGACTTTTTTACATTTTTTATAAGAAACTTTTTATTGATATTATTTTATGAAATTAGCCCGCATAGTGATCTTTCGTAACCGCGATTAAGCAATTTTACAGACTGACTGCTAATAGAAAGAAATTTTCTAAAAATGATAATCTTTGTATCAAAGAAACAATTTTGAATTTTATTAATTAGTTTTAGATGATATTAAATATCTATTGAGAATGTGATTTTTGCTACCACTGCCTAAAAATTAGATTGTATATTATAATTAAATAAATTTAATGTATTTTGTTACATTTATTCAATAAAAACAAATACAATAAACTTTTTACATTATGAAAAATTTGAGTTTTTTTTTAAGCCAAATTGGAAGACTGTATAACAAATACTTTACATGATTAGTACAAACATGGATGTTTAATGATAAATGAAACCATTCATTACAATTAATTAGTTTTTATTTTCGATTATTCATAATTTCATTTATAAATGCTCGTGGTTTTAATAGATTGTTTTCACTTAGTACGTTTTCATAACAAAGATGAAATAAAAATTTGTATTTATAAAAAAAAATAAAATTATGAAAATAATTGTTTAAGTTTAATATAAAATTATTCTACTGATAAAAAAATATCTTATTTAATCTTTTAGCCATTAAAGAATTATTTATCGATGTTTTTTAGCAAATAAAATATTTTTTTAATCAATTTACACATATAAAGTTAAAAAAAACAATTTGTTCAAGTATTTAAATAATCATTTTGTTGATTTTACTATTTTTTTTTATTATGAAAACAATTAAAAATTATTCTATTCAGGATTCTCTAATCTTTTAAAGATTTTTCATTCAGTGGCATACTTTCTACATGGAAATATTTTTTCTTATATTAAAATGTCTTAATATCTATTTACATTTACATCTGTTTCGATAAGTAGAAAAATTATAGATGATTCAGTAATATGTTGATAGTTAATGTGGAAGAATCAACAGAATGTGAATTTATTTAGAATGTTCATTGAGATTTAATTGAAGAAAGTGAACCATGATCTCGCGGTTCTGACTATGTTTTGTTATCACTTTTAATGAATAGTAATAAACACTAAATTGCTTAGAGCTCATCTTTTTCATTTAAGTCAATATCACTGAGATCAATGTCTTCATCTTGAGGAAGTTCGGCATCTTCACCATCCCAAGGCGAGATATCTACTATTTTAGGAAGAGCCGCACCTCTCAATGGAGCGGTGCCTCCTCTACCATAACTAAGGTCTCTTAAGAATGAGTCAATACCATCTTTGGAAAAGCTACCTCTTAATAAGGAATACTTCATTTTTTTGACGTTCACTACAGCCAGAGCTGGATAACCAAAGCCTCCAATTTCTAAAGCTTGTTCTACAGCTGGTTGTGATCCTGCTTCAGCCCAAAGCCATCTGAAATTACAAAAATATACAATTTATTTAATATTCGATAAATAATAATGATAGATAAAAATTTGAAAAATAAAAATTTATATAAAGAAAGTCGTACCCCCACATCTTCTTCTTATATTTTTCAGCCATGTTCTTCAAGAGCTCCAAATATCCATTTCTACATTTAGATTGGCAATCAAGAATGTGAGGCAAAATAGAAATGACACATAATGGTCTATCATCGCAAGCTTCCTTCATGGATGCTTCACTTATAAGCTCTATTACTTCTGGAGCAGGAATATTTTCTGCAAGCTTTTCCAAAGCCCAATTAACAATATCAGTCGAAGTACGACCTCCATCATATTCAGCAACAGAGTCAGAGTCTTTTTTGCCTGGAGCGAAGAATTTAATTGTTGGATAGCCTCGAATTTCGTACTGAGATGCTTTAACAGTGTTGACTGTTGCATCAAGAGCTCCTAATTTGACTTTTCCTTTTAATTCAGTAGCTGCTTTAGCCCAATGAGGTGCAAGGTTTTTACAGTGGCCACACCAAGGTGCATAGAATTCTACTAACCACATATCTTCAGAGCCCATTACAAGCTTATCAAAGTTATCGTCAGTTAATGTGATTACATCATCAGAATCCGTCGACTAGAATAAAATACAAAAATATTTAAACAATCAGTTAACTATAATGTTATGAATATACAAATTTTTTTCTGGTACTATACCTTATGATCTGATTCACTTGATTTTCCACCCAAAGAAGCTCGCACTTTCTTGGTGGCTACTTTCAGAGCTTCTGTAACAATTCCATCAGCTGTTCTCTGCCCATTAAAATTTTCCGGCTTATATTTATTCTGTCCAAAGATTTTTATTGTTGGGAAGCCTTCAATTCCAAACCTAGATCCTAATGATTTATGTACGTCTGCATTCACTGCTCCAACTTTTATAACTCCCTGAATGGAGTAAAATAAGTTAAACATTAATATAACATGTAATCATTTAATGGTAACGGTAAAATATGAAATAATATGTTGTACCTTGAGTGCAGTAGCAGCTTTCTCATATTCAGGCTTCAAATTCTTACAATGTCCGCACCAGGGTGCATAAAATTCAACCACCCATATATGATCGCTATTTATCACAAGTTTATCAAAATTTTCAGGTGTCAAATCCACAACATTTGAAGTTGATGAGTACAGACAATTCGCACTCACAATAAGACATACTAAACCTATAAAAATCGTCAAAATTATATAAATTACTATATTAATTGACTAATAATATTGTTTATTTAAAAAAATCGATAAAACAATGTTATTCATTTATATTTCTAAAAGCCGGTCAGATTGAATTTTTTTTTATCTTTATGACAATAGCAATAAAAACTCATGTAAAACTTACCAAAAATATATCGTATCATGGTTTATTTATTGAAGCAAAAATAAACTATTCGGTATTTCTTAAATAAAAGTTTTTGATGGTATTTATTTATTAGTTTATACTTAACAAAATACTGAGAAAGCAACTGAAAGCAAACTTATTTTCTTCTAGCAATTTATTCTTGCGTTGACTATAAATGCTTTTTCGTGGATCGATTCGATTGGTCCACGACAAATCCTAACCCACGCACGTTTATTGCCTATAGTAGTTTGGTATATTATTTGCTCATGCGTTGTTCAACCAATCAAAATATTGGCGCAATATTCAATCAATTATAAATTATTTCACACTGTTCATTTTATAATTTTTATGTAAAAAAATTAATCAAATTACTTTATAACAATATAAAAATAATTTGGAAAAGTAATTACAGATATATACTTTAAAGAAAGATAAAAAATTAAACAGCAAAAATGTTATATTTTTTATTTTATATTTTTGAGAGTTCATTATAACCTAACTCTATGTTATTGGAGTTATGTGATAGACTTCAAAGTGTAATCAAGTATTAATTATTACAATTAAAATAATATATATACTACTTTTAAGTAATGTCTCAGAAATAATTAGCTTCTTTAGTTAAACTAAGTGTTTAGTAAACACTTACTTTTGATTATTAACATCAAAAATTTACAAAATATTTATAAACATCAGTAAATTGCCATCTTACAGGTTAGTAACGTTCTATTTATAAAGTAAATATTAGTAAATATTTAGAAAAAAGTTATTTGACTATTTCAGATAAAATGGTTTTTCAATTATTATCCAGATCAATCAATAAAGGATTATCTTTTTTTCAAAAATTATCACCTATCGAAAGTAATCATTTGTTATTCAACAGAAATTTTCATGCTTTTACTCAAGGGTTTTGTTTGAAGCCAACATTGCCGGTGCATATCGAAACATCAAAGAATAATAAACTTATTAGTATTGCAAATAATTTTTTACAACCATCTATAACACCTTTATGGGAACAAAAGTGTGGATTAAAGTACAGAAGACTTCTTAAACGCCGATGTCGAGCCTGCTATTTTTGGTGGGAAGATGGAAAAAAATTTATTCGCTGTCCTGTTCATCCACGACATAAACAAGCTCAAATTACGAAAAAAGAAAAAAACACTTGGATCCTTACCTCAATTTGTCAAAAAAAGAAAAGACCATGGGCTTAAATAGTTAATATTTTATTATAAAACATTAATTATAATTTTTATTATCAATAAATCAGTTGGAAGACATTACTTTATTTAGTTAATTAAACTTTTAATAAATTATCTCTATTGGTGAATATAGTTCAATATTGGTAGAGGTAAAGTATAAAAAGTCACCGATTCTTCGTTAATATCATCTAAATCATCGATCAATGATGTTTGTTGAAGTGTTTCAACTTTTTCATTTTTTAAAATAATTTTTTCATAATTTATCCATGTCTAAAATTTTATGAAAGTAAGATTAAATGGATATTTATATTTATCATATTACTAATGTAAAAAAACCTTCTCGCAGTGTTCTGCCCATTCATGCATAAATTCATTTCCGAAATCGATTGCTTCTTTTTTGGTTTGCTGAATCGAATGCCAACATAGTTGAGGTCGCCGGCATATCATGTGAAAATAAGCCTTCATGAGAAAGAATCTAGGGTATATTTAAAAGAAAATAGTATCTAATTATTAAACTATAACACAAAGAAATTGAATACATTATTTTACCGTGGAATTAATATCTTCAGTATTTTTATTATTTTTTTAACAATTTTGAATTGATCTTTAATTTCGATAAAAACTCGACGAGCTGCTATGTAGTTTTTAATATTAAGCTCATGAACTGCAGTTGATCATCAATAAAACATAATATTAATTTTGTATGTTTTGGAATTTATTTAAATAGTAAATTTACCACAACACAGAAGAAGACCTTCGAGTTTGTTCATTTCAGTAATTAAAGCCATTTCCGTGGAACAACGTTTCGGTGTAATAACATTTATTCTCTTTATTTTCCATATTGTTGATGTTTCCCATTTTTTCGTTCTTAAATACCTTTCATAATTATTTTATTATTATCATCAAATTAAATCTCATTTTCATAGTATTCAAATATTTTTACCATAACCACATTAGAGTAAAAAATCTGTTTTTAAGATCATAGTCTCTTGTTTTAACAATCATTTTTCCTTCTTCTTGATAATATTCTTCACACTGTTCTGCAGTAATTAGAATAATCCCTGTATCTATTTGGAAATTCAAACAGAGAATATAAAACCACATTCTATCTGATTTATTTGTACTACTTCTTGAAATAAATTCTGAAAAAATGGTGCAAACTACAATTTATCATTTACTACGGAGTTAAGTTTTGTAATTAATTTTATACCAATTTGTTTAAGTAAATCAACTATTTTTTTATATCGACATTGAGCAGTTAATAGCATAATTAATCGTGGTAAAATTTCCAATTGATATTGAATAGAGCTAACATTTTGTGCTAAAAGGAGACTCTGCGAACCCATCTTTGTAGCTACTATAATATCAACTTTTTTCCAATAAAAATAAAAAATGCTTGCATAAAGATGAAGTATTGCTCTTAATTCCAACTCACTTATATCGCCCTTTTTCTCATTACAAATTTTTATTATATCATTTATTAAAAACTCCAAAATCATTCTAAAATCATTTTCGTATTATTTTAGTGGACTTCATGTTATTTAATTAAAGATATTTACGGATTCTTTAATTTGTCAGAAAAAATTGTAATCATATTAGCATGTGCATAACAAAGTGCAATAAAATCATGCATCCCATTTAAAGCAGCATTTAAACTCCAAATTGCAACCAATTGAGCATGATTATGTGAACCTTTTGTCTAAATGATAATAAATATTTGTTTCTAATATTTTATTAATAATTAGCTTATTTATTTATGAATAATAAAAATACTTGATATATCTTAAAGAGCTGAGAAAGACTTCTAGAAAGTTGACAATAATATTCAGCAGCTTCATCATCATAAGTTTCTATTGCAGATTGTTTCGATCGTATCAATGATAACTTAAGCTGTTGATAGAATAATTTTGTCTTCAACCTAATAATAATTGTATTTTTCGGAATATAGTAGCCCATAATATTTAATGCTTCTTCTAAATTTTTTTCAGCTTCATCTATTAATTCCAATTGAAGATTACAGCGTGCTTGAAATGTTTTAAGTTTTGCTTTTAAACAAGGAACAGTTACTAATTCGTCATCTCTCGATACATAGGTCTTTACAAGAATATAAGAAACTTAAGTTTATAAAAAATATTCAGACACAATTTAATATAATTTATTACTCACATGGATCAAAATTTCTTCAGCACTGTTAAGAAGTTTCTTAGCTTGTGGAACATTCGAAGTGGCTAAAAGGATCTCAATGAATTCTAACATAGCTATTAGTGCTTTGTCCTTGCGATCTTTATTTTATTAATTTTAGTCAATGTAAATGAAATATAGTGAATACGGTTAAAAATAAATTATAAATAATTACCTATTCCTCGACAGTGGTTTAAAATTTGAGTGTAGGTAGCTATCAAAATTGAATTACATTCACAATGAATGAAATTAAAGTTAGAGAAAGTTTTTGGTATTAATTTTGGTTCAGAACGTCTAGCTACGTAATGGAACCATTTTCTCAATCTTCTTTCTTTTAATTCTGAAAAATGATCTTATTAATTATTCAAATATTTTCTATTATTATTTTTCCATACTTTTTTCTGAATCAGAGTTTGTATAAAATATAGCTGAAGTGGAAACTTTAGTTAGATCATTAAAATCTTCGAGTCTTTTGGAAATTTTTGGAATATTTTGATATAATCGCTTTATTAAATTTTTAAAAAAACTTTCTCCACAAGGTATACATTTTTTAGTACTATATTGTAGATATCTAAGGGCTTTTTTATGAAATTCTATTTTTTGGTTCTCAGTTAATAATCTGAAAGAAGTATGAGTGTGTTCCTTTTTTTGTAAGTACTTGTTAGACAAAAAATGTTAAATTTACCTGTAGGTTGCAGCACGAAACTTGGCAAACTTAAATTGTAAATGTTTACAAGAAGCATATTTTGGTAAATCAGAAAGTGACTCTGTGATGCAATTATTTATTTACATAGAAGTTTTGAATTTAAAATCATTAAAATATATGTACCTCTTATTTCAACATTCATGCACTTGCATTCAATTTCAATGTTTCTATTGATATCCTTCATACTCTTGAGTAACGATAATTGAGTATAACTATGATCAACATTTCCAGTTGCACATCCGAGAATTCTCATTTTGAAGATTTTTACTATAGCTGAAATAAAATAGTTATTAATCATTACTGTTTAATAGATTAAAAAGATGAAAAAATCATTTATGATTATTAATAATAAATAGAAATTAGTGATAGTCTACTTAAGGCAATATCTCGAATAGATGTTTTTTCCATCAGCTTTTCCAATAAATTTCTATCTATTGTTTCGCCTAAAACTGCTGCACATTTCAATAAAATTTGGTCCAATGGTTTTAGAGAATCGAAAGTTTTCAAAAATGTAACTAACAATGGATACAAGTTAATTAATTTTTTTTAGTTTTGTTATTTAATAAAATTACAATATATCTCTTATTACCATCAGTAGTAAGCTCTGCAGTAGCATCATTAATGTCAAAATCAGAAGAGATTTTACAGATCGTAATTTCTTCTTTTCCATGGAAGAAAGATATATCTCTCTAAATTTAATGAAAATTATGTATATATTTTTTTAAAAATAATATATTTTCTTATGCCAAACATACTTACTTCATAACTTGTTTCATACATTTCCCATTCATCCTTTCGCTTCAATTTTTTTTTAGAATTCATACATGTCGATCTTGAAGAATAAAAAGAGGCTAATAAAACTAGAACTAAATAAAGTTATTGTTTTTTAGATGGAATTAAAACTTACGATCGTATCATTGTTGGTAATGGAATAACAAAATCAGTTTCATTTAATTGTTCTTTAGATATTGTTGTAATCTCAATTCCACCAACTTGTAATAAACTAACAAGAAAACTTTCAATCCATCCTGGATTACCGTGACTTTTTTCTTGGATGACTCTGGCAAAAATTCATTTATTTATATAAACTTTACTTTTACATTTATGTAGACTGAATACTTTTCCAATTCCGGTTCAATAGCATCAACTTTCAAAAATTGACAAGCAAGACCCACATGACAACATTTGTCAAGACCTTTAAGTTTTATTATTTCAGCTTTTTCAGACCACACAGAATGAATTTCTTTTTCATCATCAATTAAACCAAGTATAAACAGTATTCGATGTTGATTAATAATTGTAGGCATCACATTCAGGGACTCTTCATCAGCGTTTTCAACATCATCAATAAAAATAATCCACGGTTCATTAAAACATTTAATGACCATTTGTGTAATTAAATTACACAAAATCTGATTTTTTAACTGTTTTGATAATGATGAAATATATGCACTATTTTCGAAATTGACATTAAAAACTGGATTAAGCAAACTAAGATTTTTTGAATGGTTTGTTGACTCGAGGCAATTAAGAAGGATTTTCTGACGGTCTTTAAGTGTATATGACGCTTTCAATCGCATTGGAATCCGAAATATTGAGTCAATCAGTTTATATGGTATCTGAAATAAAAATTGAATGTTAAAAACTGGATAAATATTTTAACAGTGTAATATTATTACCTGATAATCATTATAAGTGAGAGTTATATAATGATAAGCAATATCTTCAGGAATAATCTGTGTCATTTCATCTAAGAGTCTCGTTTTCCCAATTCTTGGCTCACCTCTAATTGAAACTTATTCGTTTACTGTTACTCAATTAATTTAAAATTAAATAAGTAAAAAATAATACCTTACTATTAAAATACTATTCATATCTTTTAAAGGAAATTCTAGTTTATTACGCCAATTCTCACGAGCTTGTTTAAATAACGTTCTGAAAAGTCTTATTTCTGATTGTCGATTAAATAACGGTAATTTTATTTTGTTGTCAGAATCATGAATTCTGTTGTGAGAATAACACAATAGTAAAAATATTGCAATTAAAAGTTAATAGGCTGCAATAAATCATTAATTAATACCTGACTTGTTCGACAAATTCATAAATTGGTCCGACATTGGAAATTCCTTTCAGATATTTGGGTTTTTGTAAAGTAAAATGGCTTGCTTCAAGTCTAGAGTGTAAAAAACTCTCCCTGTCACATACTATCTAAAAATTTTGAATTATGGTGGTAAAAAAAATGTTCATTATTCAATATTGTAATTGAAGGTTGAATTTCATCTACCTTATTATTATATGTAACCATAAGTCTTGCAGCTTTGTTGACCGGCATTCCTATAACTGTGTATTCTCTTCTCAAAATATGTCCTACGACTCCACAGTATGTCATTCCAGTAGAGATACCAACAGTTACAGAATTAATATTTTTAATTGTAGATAAAGCACTTTTTAATCTTGACGCACAACGGAGAGCTATTTGTGCTTCTAATTCTTGTTTACCTCCTTTAAGCCCGAAAATACACAAAAACATCAAGTCTTTATCGAATAAAGAAACTTTGTTTACACATCCTTGTAGCTCATCTACAATTCTAGGTCCAAAAAAATTTTGTCAGGTTAATTTTTTTTACAAATATTTAATTTCATGTAATTTAAGTAAATAATATTCTTACTTGCAAATTAATTGAAATGATTTATTTACTAATACAATTAACTTTTTCCTTCCAATAATGTCAGTTACTATATTAATAAAAACAATAACAACCTGACGAATCTCCGCTAAATGTTCCAAAGGTTCATCCAAGTCAACTGAATGAATGACTGGCCGTAACATGTAGCTTTTCAATTCATTTTTCAAACGATTTTTAGCCACTTTTATTACTTTGGGGCGTACTGGATTTATTGTAGAAATATTATTAGTATTTCTTCAAAAAAGGACATTTAATATAAACAAATTGAAAATTCAACTTATAACTCACAGCTGTAGTCTATAGACTGAAGTCTATTGTGTCTTATTTGATCCTTAAAGTTTGAAAAAGTTGTATCTATTTCAGCTGGATGAGTTGTCGCCGGCGGTGAGTTTATACTAGAGCTCTCAACTGAATGATCTATAGTTGATATTTTATCTCCATATGTTTCTTTAGAACTTTCCCACATCGTTGAGCCTCTCAAAATGAGAGTATGCCCACTATCAGGGAGTATTTTGAATACATAATCTTTAGGATTGGCCCACTGCCAACTACTTGGAGCTACTAGGATATCTCCACCTCTGGAGAAGAATATTTCAATTTATATTCAATATCTACAAGAGCTCTCCAAGTAATATTCGTTACCTACAAAGAGCTTCTGCTGATTTGGCATCCCACATTGGCTTTCCTGTGATTATATAATGAGACATCCACTGGGGATCACCAATTGACGTGAAATATGTTTTACCCGAAGCTATTGCAATTTTAACTGCAATATTAACAAATAAATCATGAATTGTTTTATTCAAATTTGTTTAAAAACGAATTAATCACCTCGAAGAGTTACTCCAATATCAGTTTCATATGTTCCAAAGTATTTTTGAATAATACAAGCCGTTTGTATGGCTTCAGTTGCAAGATCTCGCATTACCATTCCATTTTGTAGTTTCCACATTACCATAAATGCATCCCCTGAGAATTTGAGAACATCTCCATGATGTGATAAAATTTCTTGAATCATAGGTCCTATATAACTATTCAAAGTTTCTGTTATTTTCGATGGTCCACTTTTTCCAGATGTTGTATATTTTTCAGCTAACTCTGTAAAGCCTGAAAAAATTCTCTTTAATAACAACTGACTAATGTTATTGACATTTTATCCATAATTAAAAACCAGATATATCTCCAAGCATCAGTGTTGTATAATATTCTCTAGTATTATAATCATTGTAGTGATCTAGAATTTCATCTGGACACATTGAAGCAAATATTTCAGTATGTTTTTCAATTCTTTGAAGTTCGGATTTCTTTTTGTCACTATTTTTTGTTAACCTTCTTGATATCACTAAAAAAATTTGGTTAGTAAAAAATGAATTTAAATTAACTAATGATGTGTACAAATTTGTCTTATTTACTTATTAATCATTAAATTTATTGATATCTGGAAGGAATTGAAGGAAGAAATAATAAACATTTTAATGACAATAGACAATATGTGTTTATTCATTTAATATTTTCGCAATATAGTTACTTAATATGACTTGTTGCTCTAACAGATCGCTGTCTACAACGTGACGGCCGAATTATTTTTTTATTGTGCCTGGCCCTACTATTCGTTATTGTGCTTAGAATCTATAGTGATGGATTAACGTCTTGTTATTTTCTCTTTTCTTTTAAATATTCTTAATCTTTAGCCACATTATTTCTCTCATCTTGTAAATAATTCACATGTTTTGTTTTTATGTATTTTATGAGGATTTTAGTATATAGTTTAGTAGTTGAAAGCCAGCAGAAATATGCTGATTAGAGAATAAGTATAAATGTAAGTCTCATTTTGATGAATTTTTTTATTCTTTATTATTATGTTTTATTTATTTTTTTTTTTAAATATCAGGATATGATAGAGTTTTGAATTAATTCTAAATTGAAATAAATTCATCTTAAAGATCGAGACACATCAGACATGATTCTCAGTGTGCTTTTTATTTGTTTAATTTATTTTGCTTATTTATCCTTTACTTAATTTCTTGGAAAGCGAAATGCGATGTATTTTGGAGTATGAAAAGCATCGCCAGGGCAGAGAAGTAACCAAGATTATTATCGAAATGTGCACCCGGAGTTATACTATATATATATATATATACTATAATACTTGTTTATTTCAAAAATTTTTTTTGACGGTGAATGAGAGAATTCAACCTTTGTTCGTTTCACAAATAGTCCAATCAAATTACAATGACTGTCTAAATGATACAAATAGACGTAAAACAAACTATAGACGTCTGTTGTTCACACTTTAAATATGATTTTTAAATTTTTTCTATGGTTTTGTTGTTAATTAATTAATTTTTTTTTAATGACAAACGTGACACGTTATATGTAATGGCACACAGCATGGCAGTTGCAACAATGTACTTTGATAAACTTTTTTGTATTACACCATTAGTCTTAACAATTATTTTACTAATTTCTTAATAATCTCCTGATAATTTAACACACAGTCTAATATTTGTTTTTTTCATTCTTTCTTTCATTCTAATGATTATCGCAATCAACCTCTTAATCTTGTAATTATTGTATATTTAATTAATATTATCCAATTATCTCTCTAACTGGAGACACTTTGAAATACTTTTCATCATAAATTACATGGAGTGTCATTTTTATCGCTGAAATAGACGAATAATTCATTTATTTCCATTTATTGAATTTGATAATTATTATCATTATTAATAATAATTATTTTTTTGTTATTATTTTATTTAATTACTTTTTATCATCATCAACATATTAATAATATATACACTCAGGGCCAATGACATTCTTCACAATAATATTATCATTTTTTAATTATAACTTACGAATAAATATATTCACGCAATAATTCAAATACTTATTTATGACTTATTCAATAATTAATAATTAAAAATATTGCATAGCATTAACATGTAGAAATTGTTTTATTATTATTAATATTAGTTTTGTTTTAATCATCGTCACTTCTTCCTGCATTGTTGTTCCATAAGCTTTTTTTGAATTTTTTGTTTGAAAAATTAAAAAACCTGAAATTTTCCCATTCGAGAGTCATTATAAATTGTAATTTACTGCAAATAATTCGTGACTTCATATTCACAATTGAATTTTCGTATCAAAAATTCAATATTTTAGTCGACGAACAATTCACCCGTAAGGTTTTTTTTGTATTGTTTCAATATTTTACATAAAAAACATTCATAAATACTAAACAGTCGAGTCAAAAAATAATCATGACAGCCTCACTCTCTTTTCAGAATTTAATGATTTTTTTTTCGCTGACATATTTATAATTTTTCCAATAATATTAATTATTTATTAATCATCAATTATTCATAAAAATAAAACTAATAATTATTGTACAAGTGTTAGCAAAGACTTAATTGAAAAAATGTGATTATAAAGTTGAATAAAATAAAAATATTTTTGCTAATCTCTGTATATTGTGTGTTATTAAATTTTTTACCTACAATCTTCCATTTGTTGCTAATGCTAATAATATTAATTTATTTATTTTATGTCTTTATAGATTTTTTTTCTTTCGTTTGAATATTTCTAGGAATAATCAGAATCAATAGAGTCTATTTATAACATGGTGCACTGAAACTCTTCACAATAATTAATAATTAATAATTAATGGTAATCATTCAATATTATTTATATATGTATATATGTCAACAAGAAATTCAATTGGATACATTATCATTTCCTCTTTGGTTCGAGGATAATACAGCGTTTGGGAACAATCATTCATGATTAACAATACACTCAATTAACGATTAATATTTTTTCTGATTACTTATCATGTAACACAATGATATAGGCTTGATATGACAGTGGCACGTTAATTTAATTTAATTAATCGCACCGCAGACAACCCTGTTGTCGCTCTAAATTTCTCTACCCCTTCTTATGTTTTAGCTAAAATTTTTAAATGCATTTTTCATAATACTTTTTTTACAAGACATTTACCTACTTTTAAAATATCTTTACGTTATCATCTTTATTTATCTTCTTTGCAATATTTTCCTTATTTATTTCTTTTTTGGGCATTTTTAGTACTAACACATTCGTCTGTAAGCTATTATTGTATATTTTTTGTAACTATAAAGGATTTTAGGATCAAAGATTAACGTTGAGATCAGTAATATTTTTCAAATTGTATGAGATAATCAATGGATTCAGTAAATTGATTGATTGACGGAAATTTTAGATAATTGATGTAACTATTTTAATAAATAGGTAAGCCAAATTTTCATTTACACCGTTCGACAATACATTGTTTAATCATTTTTTTTTTTTTTTATATATGTGTCTAATAGTAAAAGAAAACAACACTTTCTTTTGTGATAGATTTCATGTTATGTTTTAGTTGTATTCTTCATTTTAATTAAATGATATTTGTTTCAAAGATTCAAGTTACAAAGTGGTATAGAAAGACGTAATAAAAAATTGTCAAGAAAAAATTTAATACAATTGGTGAGTAAAATAGAAAAAAACTTTTTCAAGTGTAATTTTGTGTTATACTGAAGGCAATATTTACAATGGTTATTAGTGCCGTGGGTAAATAGCTCCTTGTCTTTTATTTTTATAATTTTTTAAATTTTCTAAACGCACAATGATATTAAATATGACAAGTTCCAATAAATGTATATATAATATGTATAATATGGTATACAATATATAATATTTATATATTTATATTTATGTATATTTTTAATGTATTTATATACAAAACGAATTGTTAGTGCCTCTAGTAATGATTTCTGCACGAGTTGTACACTTTACATGAAGTCTAGTTAATAATTTATTATTAGTTGATAATTTCTTAAATATATCTCTTCATATCATCATCTCCTCATGGACCTTTTAACCATCAGCTAAATATCTAAATTCATGATAATCCAGCAATTCCAAAATTTTTTGGATGATTACTCATTTCTCTCGGTCTATTTTCATTCTTTGTAATTTTAAATGATAATTCCTTCTGGCTTTATTTATTCTTAACTCGATCCACAATTAATCCTTTCGTCAGCGATAATTATATGCTTTTGCTGCGGTCATTATTGTCAACATGAAAAACAATTCAGCACCTTTATCCGTTAATTTTGTCTAAATATTTATAGAATCAGAATATTATTGATATTGCACTTAATAATTTTTTATTTATTCAAATGTACGCATTTTATTTATATATAAGTATTGCTTATAATTCAATTTACCTTCCACATTATTTTACTTGCAATCATTTTTAACCTTTGGTTTAAATCATCATCATATTCTAGCATTATTTTAATTCTATTACATTGCACTTTTTATACAGAAACGACAATATTTGGACCCATGATAAGAAATCCAAACATAATAAATTAGCTTCTCTATTTTTTCTAGTTATTATAATTTTTTACGTATAATTTATTATACTTCATTTAATAATAAGAAATCTGTTCAGCTATTCCATAAAATAATAGATATTATATACTCATGATTCAGTTAACTCTAATTATATGAAGAAGAAGAGGTAACAAACAAGTTGATTGATTCTTTATGCTGGTCGCAGCTGATTACAAAATAACTATCAATACTTAATATTAATTAACTGGACGAATATCACACTTTTATCGTAATTTTCATAACAATTGACAGTAAAATATCAAATTAAAATTATTACTATTGATGTTGATATTGCTAGCCTCTATAAATAATATAATTGTTGAAGAATAATTGACATAACGGAATTAACTATTTGATTCATCAATAATTAATGAGAGAGCAAATTTCTTTTTTTCTCGATGTATTCTTTTATTTTGATCTTCAATTAATATTCATTATCTCCTTTTATTAAACTTACTTTAACAACACTAGAGCTTTATTTTTAAGTATTCATAAATTTTCTATCACCTTTGTTGAATTGACATTCTAAAATAAAAAAAACCATCTATTAGTAATCTATTAGTAAAATATTTTACGTATAAAAAAATGATAAAATAACCATACTTATAATCACTCGTATAGCCATTAGTTTCATGACAAACTCTAGTTTCATCAGATTCAAATGAATCATCTTCATTTTCTGCTAATGAAGGCTCCATTATTTTTGCTACTGACGTTGAATCTTCAGAGCTGGTAGATTCTTCTTCTGAGAGTTCCATGCATTTTCTATCCTGTATCGGAAAAAAATATTATTTAATGTTTTATTTAAAATTCAGTTAATTAAATAATGTTTTATAATTTTATATATTATACTTTTGTTGATGGATCATTTCAAAAGTCTTTTGAACAATTTTTAATTTTAATATATAAATTTTTTATACCTCTTCTTTCAATTTCTCGAGCAATTGCTCTTTCTCAGCTTTAAGCCTCTTCATTTGATCGACTTGTATTGTTGATTTTATAGAAGAAAGCTCCAATAAAGCTAGATGAGCATCTTTCTCTGATATTGCAGCTTTAAGAGCTTCACATCTGTTTAAAGAACATCAATAAATATTTGAAAAAAGATGATCGTGTCTTACATATGAAAGGTAATATAAGAATCTTTTTCTTTATTTTATAACAATAAAAAAGATGATTAAAATAACAATAAAATCTATGATATTGTTTGAAAAAATATTACTTTTCTGTTACAATAGTGTTGTATATATTTACTTTAACTGGTGAAGGTCTTTGATCTGTATTGTTCTTTTATTGTTCAACCGCTTCAATTTTTCCTCACACCTCGACAGTCTAGATAATAAAGGTCGACATGTGTGACATTTAAGTGCATTGTTAGATTGCATTGATGCGATTCTTCTCTCCAGTTTGATTACCTGTTAAAAAAATAAAAATAATAGATTATTTGAAACATAGTGTACAAGACTAGCTGGTGTTAATTAGAGTGTTTTCAATATTACCTTGTCAATAGCAGTTTTTTTCGCCTTTTCAGCTGTTTTAAGCTTCTTGCTTTCTTCATTAGTAATAGCAATACTGCCCTTTAAAGCTTCTTTTAATTCTTCATTTTTCTTCTTCTCACTCTGAAGATCCTTTTTAAGCTGTTTCTCATGTTCTTCTTTGTCTTTAATAACATTCAACAATTCTTCTATTTCTTCTAAATCCAGCCTATCGCCAAATGCACGTTCCAGAGAGTCAATTTCATCTTCCAGCTGTTGAATTCTCTCATCTCTCACTTTAATCTCTTCTTTCAATACACCAATATCTTCAGCTTCATATTCACTTATTTCTTTTTCCATTTTTTTCATTTCTCTCATCATTTTCTCTATTTCATCTTTCAATTCCACTGTTTCCTCTTCATATCTTTGAATCCTGTTGTCTTTTTCAGACATTGCGTGCTCCATTTCTTTCATTTTCATTTCTTTTTCCGCAATTAAAGCCTCCATTGATTCGATTTTACTTTGTTCTCCATTTTCATCATGTTTTTCTTCGTTATTGTAATCGACTAATGATTTTTTTGAATGTTCATTAACTCTTAGAGATTCTTTTTTCATTATTTCTTTTAGTAATTGATCAATTCTCTCTTCTCGGTCTTGAAGCTTTTGTTTGAGGGCATCAACATCATGACTCTTAACATATTCTTCAAGATGTGTCACCATTTCTTCCAATTCAATGATTCTAGTCTTTTCAATTCTAACATCACCATTTCTTTCAATCCAGTTCTCCAGTTCACGAATCCGACGATTTCCTGTAGTAACTTGTCTCTTGAGATCCCGTAATTCTTTTATATCTGGATTTTGTTTAAGAAAATCTTCAAACTCCTCCACAGTTTTTTCCAATTTTTCAATTTTATTTGTCTTCCTCTGAATAATATTTTGCAGCTCTAGTATTCCTTCTGTATCTGAATGATTCCTCAAAAAATTTTCCATGGATTGTATTTCTATTTCTAATTCATATATTTTTGAATCTTTCATACTTAATTCCTCTCGCAAAGTTTCGATGTCTTCTCGATGTACTCCATTAGATATTTTTCCATCACATGAGTTATGCTCATTCTGGATGTTTTGATTTTATAAAAGCACATATGAAAGAATGTAAAAAAAAGCACAAAATAAAATATAACAAAATTATAAGTATGATTAATTTAATGATCTCGCTGGTTAATTTAATAGTCATTTAATTATTAAATATTATTATTGTTTTTTATAATTAGGATGTTAGAGATTTTCAATTATTAATATTAAGTAATTATAGTTAAATTATTCATAACAGTTAAGTGTATCTTCTCTCTCATAATTATTTTCAACCAACAATTTTTAAATTAAAATATGTTGTCTTTAAATAATAGTTTATTTTTAAATTTGACAACTGATACTTCATTAGTAACTTGATAATTGTACTAAAAAGAATGGAGGAGGCGACTCCAACAAAAAAACGACCTTAGAAGAAGCTTTTTAGGAATCCGGCAGGTCCCGCCTTTTATGTGTTATCAAACAAATATTAATAGTTGGTAAAAAAAATGAAAATAAAAATGAGAAAGAAACAAAATAAACAGTTTTATCAAGACAATGAAAGATCATAAATTCATAAGTTAAATAAAAAAAATTGAAGGATTAAATGTGTTACGTTGTTATGGCCAGAATATCCAGGAAGCGTGAAATAAGAATAATTGAGTTAGTTAAATTTATTATGGTACGTTATTATAAAAAAGATAATAAAAATGATTACAGACCTCTTGTTGCTGTGCAGCTGTGGCTTTCAACTTGGCTTGTGCGGCTTTGAGGGCACTAAAATTAATAGAATTATTAAATTACATTATTCATATGATGTAACGGATAATTATGTCATAGATTATGAATAATAAATTAAGGATGGTTTAAATTAAACATGACTGTTATTGCGTTAGTTGTTCCTTGGTTTCATTTTTTTCTGGTCATATTTAATATTTATCATTCTGTTATGAATGTTGTGAGTAATATCAAATTGTCAGTAATAGTGGCAGTAACATAAAAATAATGTATTGTGTGAGTTTACAAAACTTACTCTTGAAGTTCTCGTATTTTTTTCTCTTTAGAATTTTGCTCTTCTTGTGTCATTTGCACGAGTTGGAGTAATCTTTCTGTTTCTGAAGAACTTCTTCCAGCTTCTTCTTTGGCTCTTTCCAATTCTTTTTCCGCAGCGTCCAGTGCTTTTTGCATTTCTGCCAGTCTTTTGTCCGGTGACCCACCGCTCTAAAAAAAGTTTATTTCCGGTTTTACGATTTAACTTTGACAATAAATTTTTGAATGAATAAAATCAACAAACAAAGTAAATAAACGATTCTACAGATTCTAGAGAATGGAAATTAACTATCAAAATAAATTATCAATTAGCTGAAGAAGTACTTTTTGAAGTTGTTGTTCCAATTGGTCCATCTTTGCTTTTCGCTTCTTTAATTCTTGGTCGAGATTTTGTAGATTCCTCTCCTTCTCTTCAGCTGCTCTCATTCTACTTTCAGCTGCTTTCGCACGTTCTTCTATTTGCTTCCTCTGCTCCTCCAACTGACGCCGATTATCGTCCAATTGTTTCCTTTCTGCATTAGTATCGACGCCAGGTCTGGCTCCGCCAGCTTGGAGTTTCTTGTTCGCTTCGTGAAGATCCACCTGCGATCATATAACAGCATTAGAATTCAATTTTACTTAAACCTCCACAAAACAAACTTTCCACAAACTACATATGTAAAGTCGCAAAAAGCCTCGCATGGCACTTTGTTATAAAACAATAAACAAAGATAAGTATTGAATATCATGAATATAAAAGTAGATATAATCAATAAAATTACTGAATTGCAAATAACTTGCAAAATACTTTGTGACAATGAATTTGATTAAACTTAAGTAGAATAGAATACGCAACTTAACACAAATTTTACAATAATTAAATTAAAAGTAAAATTATAAATAATTCTAATTGATAGTAATACTTTGCATTGCATAAATTTATCATAAATTCAATGCTTTGAAAGTTGTAAAATAAAATACACACACATACATAAATAAAATATTTGTACCCAATAGAAATCACATTAATAGATGTTACATAATTTTTATGATTAAAATAAATTAAAAAAAAAATAAATCATCATAATAACAATTAAAAAAATACTGATATTAATATAATAATAATAATAATATAATTACAATAAAAGAAATCAAAATAACAATGATTATAAATTTAAAGAATGAATAATTTGAAGAAAAAAATTGCTATGTGTCCCAAGTTATTGAAATAAATATTTATTTTCAAGTAATGTAAGTAGAAAGCATTCATTGAATTCCAGCAATTCTTTTCTTCTTTAAGTGAAATAATGAACAAATCTATTCAAGCTACATTCCGAGAAAAAGTAATAAAAACAAGAATGTAATTAATAAGATATTATTGAAAGATTCTTGCATTATATCATTTGTTTTTATTACTTTTTTAGTGCATATTAACATAAAAATAATAATTTTAATGATAAGAATAGTAAATAAAAAAAATAATTGACATAAATAACAACATGAAAAAGGATAAAAGTTTGAAATGTGAATGAAAGAATTGCAAAAATTAATTTCATGTCGATCAGCTGACGATGAAGTTGATGACGATGAAGAAGCGACGACGTGAGCGTGGACGAGGTGATATATTTAGATGCATGTATATATTTATAGTAGTTACATACATTTATGAAAATATTAATTAATTAATTAGAACTAATAAATAGTCAATTAATTAATTAATTAATCAAATATTGGTGTGTGAGAGAGACAGAGAACATAAGACGAAAAATGTGCAGGCGCGTGTGCAATTGAGATGATATATCAAATATAACAACATCATTTGCATATATAAAACTGTTTTGCAGATTTTTAGGCCCCCCATCCCAAGAGGGATTTAGTGCCGTTTATAAATGCAGGCGATGAGTAGACAAATTGAATCATGAAGATCATTAATATCAGGCTTATTCGGCAGGCTAGGCAGCTCCTAACCTGATTTTTCTCGAGCTCTTGAACCAGCATCTCAAGTTGAGCCTGCAAACGTTCACGCTCAACGGTCGTCTGCTTGATTTCCTCTTGTGCTCGTTCCAAATCCTTGCGTAATTTAGCATCGGTGACTCCAGCGCCATTCTGATGTTGCTGTTGTTGTTGAATGTGGATCTGCATCTGCTGAATCTGTTGTTGTTGCGCATGAAGTTGACGCTCGGATGTCTGAACTCTCTTTTGAAGTTCATTAGCGTTTTTCTCAGCTGTATCAGCTCGTTGTTTTTCTGTTTCGACAAGTTTTCTCCATTGTTCCATTTGTGCTTCGTTCGTTGCAGTTCCAGCAGTTGCAAGTTGTTTCTGAAGCTCCTGAACTCGTTTTTCAGCTTGTTCTGCTCGTAGACGTTCTTTATTTTGTGCTTGAGTGAGTGTTTGAACTTGCTGAGTAAGTCGGTGGACTTCTCGCATCTGTGCCTCAAGTGTTTCTTTCGTTCCACGATCTGGAGCCTGTTGTTGTTGAGCTTGTTGAAGACGTCGAACTTCTTCTCGTTGCTTCTCAAGCTCTGCTTCACTTGTATTTAATTCTTGTTGGAAGTTCATCAACATATCTTGAGATTTCTCTAATTGAATTACAAGTTGATCTCTTTCAACTTGAAGCTGCTTATTCTCAGCCTCTAATTTTTCTCTTAATTTTTCAATCTTTTCTGAATGTTTCTCTCGATTCTCTAGTATTGCTGCCATCTTGTCACGTTCACGAAGCGTTAATTGAAGGTCATGTTGAAGTTTAGCCAACTCTTCATTACCAATGACTTGCTGCTGTTGTTGAAGTCGTCTAAATTCTTGTCTCAAGGTATCTCGTTCCTCTCTTACAGCAGCCAACTCATTCATAACTCTTTCGTACTCCTTTTTGGCGGTCTCGGCAGCTTCTTGATGTTTTGCTAATATCATTTGTGATTTTTCTAATTCTTTAGCTAACCTACCAGCTTCAAGTTCGACTTGATCTCTTGCTGTAATTGCTTTGTCCAAACTTGCACGAAGTCTTTCCACTTCAATGCTAGCACTCTCGGACCTTGTTTTACCTTCAGTCTGCATTAATCTTTCTAATCTTACTATTTCAACCCTGAGTTTCTCATTATCAGCCTCGAGTGCATCGGCTTTGGCTTTAAGTTTGTCATGCCGGTCTCGAATTTTTTCAGCTTCAATTCGTGCTCTTTCAATTTCAGACCTAGATTTGTCTTGATTTGCATTAGCCTTGCCAGCTTCTTCACGCGCCCGTTCCAATTGCAGTTGAGTCTCATGAAGTTTTGCCTCGAGCTCGGAGCAAGAGGTTTGTGTCCGTTTTAATTCAGATTCACGCATCTCCAGCCTCTCCCTCACTTTTTCCAGTTCTTGTTGGAGCCTACTACCCTCACTTTGCCATTTTTCCTGCTCGAACTGGTATTTACCTCGCACACCCTCCGCACGTTCCAAATCGGCTCGCAGCCTTGAGGCATCCTGCTCTGCTTTCCTCGCTCTCTCCAGCTCCGCAAGTGCCTTGTCCAGTCGATCCCGTAGTCTCTCTACGTCTAATTTAGCCCTCTCGTGTTCTTCTTTTTGTCGTTCCTGGTTTTCTTGATACTTTCCAAATCTTGCAGCGTATCTTTCACATTCTTCTCGTGCACTTTCTGCTTCACTACGCAGTCGTTCAGCTTCGGCTTGTGCTTTCCTCACTTCTACTTGTTGTCTATCATGTTTTTCATACATTTTCTCAATTTCCATTTGCATTCGTTGTAATTCTTCTTGTGACTTTTCCGTTGCTGCTTGTGCTTTGCTCAACTGCGAGTGCGCACGCTCTAATTCAAAACTAATCCTTTCATTGTCAGCTACCAACTTTTCTCTCTCATTCTGTAGACGACGTAACTCAATCTGTGATTTCTCGTACCTTTCTCTCAACATTTCAAGGTCTACTGTAAGACGGTCTAAATCTTCCTTTGATTTTTCTTCACTTTCCTTTGTTCTACCTAACTGAAGTGCTGCACGATCATACATTTCTTGAACTCGTGCTAATTCTTCTTGCGCTTTACGCGCTTCTTCACGGCTCTTGGATGCTAAATGTGCATTCTTTTCTGATTCAAGTTCTAATCGGTCTTTTTCTGCCTCCATCACTTCTATTTTATTTTGAAGACGATAAACTTCACTTTGAGCTCTGAAAATTATCAATTTTTTTTAGTTTATTCCAAATAAATAATTAAAGAGGTATTCGGTTTAGTAAGATGTTAAATATTAAATATATCTAAAATATTAAACTAAATAATTTATGAATAGAAAATCAATCTATTGATTATGAGTATGAAAAAATGTTGAATTTTAAAATAGAGAATACCAGAATACCTCTTTAAACAAATTTACTTCATATAAATCACCTGTCAAACTTGGCCATAAGTTTTTCAAATTCTTTACTAGTATTTTCACGGTCTTCTAATGCCTTTGAGAGAGAAAATTGGGACTTGTCAAGTTTTTCTTTTAATATTTCAATCTCTGTGAGTGCATCATCACGTTCAAGCTGCATTCCAGATAAAAATTATTCCAGTTATATTTTCAGAAAAGACATAATAATAGTAACAATAATTATAAATGGATTAGTAACATCAATGAATGTTGACTAATACTTACAGTTAGTTTTTGGTGAGAATTGTGCGCCTTTTCCCATCTTTCTTTGACTAAATCTAACTCAGAAAGAGTATTATCTTTTTCTCTTTGCAGCTTTGATACCTCTTCTTGTAAATTATCACGTTCCTTTTGAAGTCTTTGTACAATTATCTAGAAAATAGATGTAATAAAAAAAATTAAGTATTGTTCTATTAAAAGAAGTAGTGCTTTTTAAGAAAGTAATTTTTATTTTTATCAAACCTGAGCCTTTTCATATTTGTCTTGAAGACGATCTACTTCTAGTTGAATTGACTCTCTTTCTTTCTGCATTCTTGCGGACTGTCCTAGTGCCTTATCTAATTGACTTTGAAGATTATCAAAGTCATAATTTTGTTTTTCCTTCTCCATTTGCATCTGTATATTAATAACAATAATTATTTATATTTTATTTAAATAAATTCAGTTTATTAAATAAGTGAGTTAACACAAAAATAAATCCTCACTCGACGGACTTCAGCCTGAGATTTCTCCAATTTCTCCTGAAGCTTATCAGACTCACTCTGAGCCTTATCAAGCATATTTTGGAGTCTGTCTTGCTGTAATTGAGCTTTTCCAAGTGTTGCCTGAGTTCTTTCAAGTTCTTCTTGTACTTTTTCAAGATCACTAACGGCTTTATCTCTTTCAGAAAGTAATCTGGCAACCGTAGCTTGAGCTCGATCATACTCATCACGCAGACTCTCTTGTTCGCCCTGAGCGTTCTCCAATCTAGCTTTTAGTCTATAGACATCGCCTTGGCTCTTTTCCACCTATCACAAATCAATAATCAAACTCAAAATCACTAGCGTCTATAAGTCTGCTACTTCCTTTCATTTGGAATAATTTATGAAAACTACTAAATAATTACAAGGGAGCTTTCCAGAGGAAAAGTTTTTTAAAATAAAATTCTAAATATTTAATGAATAGATTTTTGTTTTTTCAACTATTTTGTTAAATTCCTTTCATTCTTTAATTTTAAAATAAGTTAAATTTTTACTTTTTTTCAAAAAACTGTACAAAAATTATTACTTTCCTCATTAATTTTAAATTTTACAAAAAAAAAACTTTTTTTTAATATCATCATATTTTTTGCTCATGTATGTATAAATATCTGAAGATAACTCTAAAAGCTAAAATGTGTCACGTAATAAAAAGCGCCGTGACAAGCAAAAATGTACAATTGAGATGGAAAACTTTATTTAGGGAAATTATCTAGTATTTCTAAATTGTGTAAATACTAAAAATAGAGTATTATCTCTTGATAAATATTTAATAAAAAGAAAATTGTATTAACTTTATTTATAGTTTTTTTATAATTAAATTTCCAATTATATTAGTAAAATTATTCAGAATGGCTGTAGTTGGAACATCTGCTTTATTTACTTTTTATTTTTTTGTTGGTAATATAATCATAATTGCACAAAATTAATCTTAAAAAATAATATCAAAATATATTGTATTGAAATGAAAAATGGTATTATTTAACGAGAATTTTTATAAAATAAAAAAGAATTAATTCTACGTAAAAATACTGTTGAATGATTGAATACTGAAAGTAATAATGAAAATAAATAACCATACCTTCTCTTGAAGAGCAGCCGCTTCGGCCTTCAGTCGTTCATTATCTGATTGTGTGACTCTGAGTTCAGCTTGAGCTCTTCTAAGTTCAGTAGCAGCTTTTTCAGCTCGTTCTTGAATCCTATCCATTTCCTGAGATGAATTAATCGTACTTCTACCATAAGAAGGAGTATTTTGTGATTTTTCAAGATCATGACGTAATCTTTCATTTTCCAGTTCCAGTCTAGTAAGCCTTTGTTTCGCTGCTTCCCAGTCAGCACCACTACGACCGACTTCAGAAGCAGCCTTGTCTAATTCAGCCTTGCTCTTACCCAACTCTGACTGTGAGCTTTCAAGCTTCGCCTCTAAGCGATCTTTCTCAGCTTGTGCTCGTTCCAAACGTGCTCCGAGCTTCTCGACCTTTTAAAGAAAAAATAGAATCGTTATTATGTTATTTTTTTTTTTATTTAACACGTTCTTGGAAAGCTTTTTCCAAGGTGTAGAAAACGTGAGTGACGAGAATAGGGATGAAGTGATACCTCAGACTCAAGAGCATGCATCTTCATCTTGTACTCAGCGAGTTCACGCTCATGAAGCTCTCTCTCTTCTTGTTTTTCTTGTTCAGCACGATCTCTTTGCTCCCTTAGTTGGGCCATCTGTTTCTCCTTGTCCCCAATAGCTTCTTCGAGGCTGCTCAGTGCGCCCTCGCTACTGCAGTGGTGAGCCTGCATCGCGGTCAGACGTGCACGCGCCATGTCCACTTGATTATCTTTTTCTTTCAGCAAGTCCTCGAGATTTTCAATCTAGATCAATAAAAGTCACATTAGATTACCTCAGAAAGTCATCAAAGTGTTAAAGGTAATTTCAATAAGCTTCCAGTATGTTAGTAGGATCAATAATTGTTATGACTTGTTATTAAAAATTATGATGATTAAAATCTTGAATAAGATTCAAGTTGAAATTACTCATGAAAAAAATTAAGTTAGATTTTTTTTAATATGAATTGTAAAATTTGCATTAAAAAGTTTTATGATAATTAGTAATTTAAACATTCTTAGTAATTAATGTTTGTTAGAATTTTTAGTTCATGGTAAAATGAATGTAATTTAGTTGAATAAACTTACTTACTTTGATTAAATATTCAATTAACTTCATCCAATATTGAAACTTTTTATACCATAAGTATATTTATATCATCATCAAGTTCATGTTAATGTTTTTCATCTATAGCCATTTTTTTTTACAACTCGTCATAACGCTCTTGATGTTTACTCTCACAACATAACTTTATAATAAACATAAAAGTAGTTCTTACAAAAAAATCATAATATGGTACTAATATAACAAATAGATACAAAAAATAAATACATAGTAATTTAATTTATACTACGAAAATATTATAAACTTATATTCAATTCACTCATACATCCACACTTTTACAAAATAAAATATCTAATGATTTATTCTTAAGAAATATTCAGATATTCGTCGCAGCGAAGATCAAAAATATTTATTTGATGTCATGTTTGTCCAAATAAAGAAAAAATGGTTTTTGCATAAGAAAAAATATTTAAAGAGATCGAAAACTACTCACCTTTCGCTGGAGAACATTGATCTTCCGGTCTTTTATGTCCATGTGATCTTTTAGCTCCGTTAACTCAGTATTAAATCGATTTCTTTCTTGTTGCGCTTGGAGAACACTTTGAGTTTTCTTCTCAATCAAACGATTTTTCTCTTCCAGCCTTTGTCGCATTTCTTCGACCTAAAGAAATCAGATAATCTCTTAAAATCAACATAGAATCTTACAACAAGATTTAAGATAATATGAAAAAGAAGAAAACTGAAAGGATTAAAGTAGCATTTTCATGACCTACTTTTGTCTTATGACCTTATTCTATAACTTCTCTTCGATTTGCTTCGGTTGTACGAAAGCTGTATTTAAACTCAACAAAAAAATCAATTTTCCAGAATTAATATTAGAGAATGCCTATATTTAATCGTACCATTCAAAGCTTTCCTGAATATCAATTCAATTTATCAGAAACTTTTTAATTTTTCAGTTAAAAATACAATTTCTTGCTACTTTTAGAAGTTAAAAAATAGATCAACTGAGAGACGATACTTTATTTATAAATATATAAATTTACTTCATCAATTTTATTCACGGAATTTTAATAATGAAACATTGATCGAATAAAACTAATTTAAAGTCTGAAAAAGTTTACACTTAAATGTTAATTAATTTCTCTTAGTAGTTTGTTGTATAAATGAAAAAGCTTGAGTTATTTAAACAAAGCATTTAATAAACAAAGAAATTTTGTGCTTTCTTGAGACAATAAGACATTAAAAATATGCTCAGTGGGTTTTGTACCTATAACGGAAGAAAATATTTCTTTTTCATAATTATGACCTATTTCAATGAGTTGTTTTTATAAACACAACCCAGAACATAATATTGCTAAATTTAAATAAAACTTTGTTTCTAAATAATCATGCAATGTCTAACTATAATTTGACAATGTGTTATGATAATTCCATTGTATACTTTCACTTCTATCATACTGTAACACGTTAGTTCAACGACTAAGCTTGAATTAATATTAAGTTAATAGTGAGCTAATCTGAGTTAACATTGTGCTAATATTGACTTTTCGATTGTTCTATCAAGGTATTAAATGATTACTTACCCAATTTCTTAACACATAAATGACATCAATTAAGCAGTTAATTATTTTAGAAAATAAAATAAAACTAAAGGATAAAAAGGTAAAATGCTTACATCAGCTTGTAACATATTGTAATGTTCTTCCTTGGCGCAGAGTGATTCCTTGAGTACAGCGATGTGCCTCTGATAGTCCTGATGTTGTTCCTCGAGGGTTTTCATCTTCGCCGACATGGCAAGAATCTCCTGATCTCTGCGTTGGACCTCTGTCCTCAATTCGTCCAGCTGTGAAAATATTCGTCGTCCGACCAAAAACAATCAGTCTCACCATTCCTTTATTGTTCAGCCGTGCCAGATCATCGACATCGGACGGCTTTTATTTTTCATTTTTCTTTTAACGCTTTTTTTTATTGCATTCAAGTCTCGCTTTATTGTAATACTCAAGCATAAAAACAATGGTTTTCATATTGTATCTCTGGAGATATGTCATAGATATTTTTGTTTTATTGTTTTGAAATAAGAGTGTCTTTGTGCTTGAGTAAAACCAAGCATGCAGCGGTAGACCCATTAAAATAGTAGTGTAATCTATTGTGTAAATTTTGTGATCTTTAATAGTAATAAGAATATAAATCCTTGGATCAAGAGTAGATGTATCTCAGTGTGCAGAACATTCTAATAAACTCGCCTGTTAGTTGCTTGTAGTTATTCTTAATTTCGTAGTAGTAATAATAGTAATAAATGAATTTTATTTTATTTTTAATAGTATTAATAATTAATTACAACATACCTAGTTTTATTATTTCGTCTACTTCTGTTGCATTAGCGCATTAGTTCGACGTGAAATATCAAAGCTCTTTATATTTGATTCTACTTTATATCTTTTGCTATTACTCCAAAAGGTACTTTGACATCTCACGACGAAAAGCAAGTGTAACTAAAGTACTATTACTAACTAAACGAGAACGTTCACTTCATCTTGTTTCATTTCTTTCTTTATTTAACATTAACTGCAATCACTACTATTTTATATAAACTGACTACTCTTTTGATAAAAGATTTTATCAATATTATTTTTAAATAAAAACTATATATCTTAAAGATCATATTATTTATTCAACTATCTGAAGTGACGCACTCGTAATAAATTCCAATGATAAAAATTCCTGTGATGAATCGAACGAATCAATAACCCTGCAGATGAAATCGACGAAGGAGGATATTATGAATATTTTGTTTTTAAGGAATGCAATCGAAAGGAATAAATTTAACGGGGCTTAATTAAGATGAATTGAATTACTACGAAAATTCTATGTCTACATACGCGTCAGTAATATACAGGTAATGAAGAAGATAATGAATTTTATCTCGACAAAAGGTAAACATTTGAGAAATGAGAATGATGATTTAGATAATCTATCAAGCATCGTTAGTTGAAAGAGTAATTGCGAGATGCGAAATGCAATATGATTGTAGCATAAATAAGATGCTTGGTACTGATCAAATATATGTACACAAATAGTTAGTTATAGAAGATGTAGTTAACATGATGGAAAACAGATAGCGAATTTATTAATGAAGTTTGGATAATTCAGAGACATCTACGATCAGAAAAACATCAATACTTGTCATTGACATTACTCATTTTGTTAATAAAATATGTAGTTGAATAAATTGGTTAAATATTACGTTTAGTAATAATTACGATAATCCAGATACTATAGAAGTAGGATGCCTCGTTTAAGCAAACGCAGTGATAAACGAAGGAATGGGTGCTTGGAGAAGAGCTTGGAAGTGCTTCTTGTTCGACGGGTGAGTAATATCCTTACCTCCTCAGTAAGCTAAAATATTTTCGGGACCATTTTTAATATACTTCGCACGCTAACTGGCACGAAGATTTTCCATCAACTCTCATTTTTTATTACTACGCATTCTTTATTACTATAATAGTTTTTTGATTCTTTTTAAATCAACATCAAACATCAAATTGAATTAAATTCACAAAAATGAGAATCGATGGAAAAGACGGCCGCTGTTGATTAGTTGCCTTATCTATAACTTAACTTTAACATATAAAATTTTAATTAAATAATTGAAAAGATTTCATCAGTTTGGTTTATCCTACGTTGGTTTTTCAAATTTTTTTACAAATAAAAGTATTTATTTTGCTTCGTTGTAAAAATATTAAATTACAATAGAATTGAGATCAAATGAATTTGATATAATATGATAAATAATTTTATCTCGTAAATTAATTCAACAAATATGGGATATCGATTAGTTGAAATGTTTCAAGTATTATTGGTACTTACAAATGATAGAACCATTTAAATCACATGAATAAACAATTTAAAACATTTACGAGTTTTTGCACATTCAATTTTCTATCGTGGGAAAAACCAAACGAGATTGGACTGACAATAAGTTTGCAAAAAAGAAAAATTACAAATGATTTTATATCCATTAATATCTGTCGTTAGTTGATATTTTTTTTTTCTCTTCAAATGTTGCTATTGAATGTTCATTTGTAATTTTTATTACGAGTGCTAATTGACAGAATAGAAAAAAGGAAAAAAAGTGAGAGAAAATACAAGTAATTAACATAAATATAATGGAACACATCGAAAGTTGAAGGAAGTATAAAGATTAAAGTCAATAAACATTTCAATAAGGACAAAGCTGATAAAAAAAATATGATAAATTATTGAATAATAAAATTGAGAGACGAGAGAGATCGAAAGAGAAACGTTTATTTCAACTAAAGCTTGAGAGTTATTGCACATATTCATGCACTAATGCTCGTGTACAAACTTGGATTACATGCTCAAATTTTTTGATTATTTTTTAAACTCATCTTTATCTTTGATTTATGAATTTTTTTAAAAAAAAGTTTTTTTCATCACATTCGAATGCCAAGTGAGAAAATGTGCTAAATTTGATGGCGCGTGGAATATAAGAGGAGAATAGTGTATAAAATAAATAGGATAATTTTCTTTTCCCAGAAAAAAGTGAAAGGAAATGAAATTGTTGCCATAGGAATTTTCTCAAAGCTCTCTCGTGACAAAGCCTTTTAGCTTCCAAATCTGGTGATGGGGATGATTGCGTGCGAATTGGCCAGACGACAAATAGCAAGTTATCTAGTCAGTTTAAAGCTGGATAGACATGAGGAAACGGAAATGATAAAAATCTGAAATGTAATTTGGATTTTATGAAGAAGGATGATACTCTTTCGATGATTGGCTAGATGGATAAACTTAGAATAATCTAAATGATAATAACTATACTGATAAATAAAAAGAAAGAATCTAAATCAAAAGTATCAAAATAGAGTTTTCAAATAAAAATAACGTTGTGAGATAAAAGAAAAAGGGGGCATCAATGCAAGATATTTTTAAAAACTTACTATTGATTTATCTAATAATTTATTCAGTGGCTTTGGAAAATCAGATTAAATTTTTTCTACTGAAAAAAAATATTCCGAGGTAATGAATATGTCGTTCGTTGCGTGAAGGAATAAAACACGAATGCCAATGACATTTTTGCAGTGATGTAAAAAAGTAAGATACTTAAAAATGATAATTAAATAATATATTTTTTACATGATATTGCCGATCAATGGATTAGTGGTACTATACAAGCTATGATGCAATGAATGATTTGAAAATGATCAACTATAGAATTTTTTTAGGGCAGGTTCTTTTAATTAATTTCCTTTCGAATTAAATTATTCGCAAGAATTTATTAATCAACGATATTTTTTTCACACAATCAATTTTTATCTATTATAATTTTATCATCATCATCATCATCATCATCATCATCATTATTATCATTAATATTTTTATTAATTAGTATTTTTTATAATTTTAATGTGATTTATTTTTATTTGTTTCACAGTATTCTAACTAAATACACTTGTCAGTATTTTATTATTTTCGAAAATACTTTTTCCGAGATTTATTAATTAGTAATTAGATTAATAATTCATTCCTACAATGAAGTAAGCTACCATTTACATCACTGTCGATCTCCATCGTCCTCAAGTAATACATTTGTTTTTTCTTTCATAATTATTTATTTATTGATAATTTATTTGTTAAATTTAATTTTATTGAAGACGAGGAGAAATTTAGATTTCGACAACGACCGACGTAATTAACCATTTTTTTAAAATTATTTGTTACTATCATGTATATTTTATTTATTTATGCATATCGCATATTATTTTAATAATTGAGATTTTTATTTTATGATTTCAACTAGAAATGTATATATAGCAAAGCGTAATATCTCTATGAGAAGGCAAAGAGGCCGATAAAGGCAACGAAATTACACGGTTTGGCGATTTTACGTCCTATATTTTTTTAATAATAAAAATTTATTTATTTGTCTAAATATAATGATTTTTAGAAAATACTCACGAATTTTTTCCCCTCAATTTTCCATTTCAGTTATTCTGAATATTTTTTTAAAGCAAAAAGAAAATTTATATCTCTGGATAATTAACATTTTTAGACTTCTCAAAGGTCAACAGTTCCTAAGGCCTAATATCTTTTTTTTTTTTTTTGATAATTAATAGTTAATTTTTTATTTTTTTATAAATAATAATTTTTTTTAAGGTACGCACATTGAAGATTCGGCAATTCTACACAGCCAAAAGACTTTCTTTTAATTTATACGATCGCCATTTGAGCTTTATACGCTTTTGAGACTGTATTACCTTCTAATATATAATTTATAAGCCTAATGGAATTGTATATATATAATATTTTTTGTCTTTTATCTATATCTCAGGGGTATATACTTTGGGTCAAAAAATATACTACCTATTTACTTGAGTGTTGTGTTAGTCTGTAAATATATAATATTTATAGTATTATATAATTTCGCAATATATTTAATGTTTTGTATTGAAAATATAAAAAATAAATAACAAAAAGGGAAGGAGATATTGTTTTTTTTTAAAAGGTACTGTGATTACTTGATCAGGATTAAGAGTATTATATATGTATATGTATATATATATATATATGCAATAAATATCTTCGAACACGGGTGGTTTATAAGTCAATCAACCATAAAAATATATGGTTGTTTTTATTTATGTCTCTTTTAGGATCGCGTAAGAAACTTGACCCCCCTGAAGACACGAATGCCTTTTGGCAATTTTTTTATCTAATTTTTTTTTATTTTTTTGTCGTTTATATGTTCATTCTTTGAGTTTACTTTCGACTCTTCTCTTTAAGAATGTATATGTATAAATAAGTAAAAGATATATAATAAATATAAATTCTTTATAGCCTCACGCATTCTACTAGGGTACTGAAACGGAAGTACGATCACACATATTGCACAGTAAAAAATATTGTGTATAAATATTAGTTACGGTCTTGTTTTTATATTATATTTTAAGTTATAAATATTCAAAATATTGGATAATATTCAAAACATGGAAGATATTAAGCGAAATAATTTATACAAAAATAAAATGCTATTTTCAAATTCGTGTAAAAAAATTTTGAGGCTTTATAGATTCGTGTATTTATAATTATCATTATATTTAAAAAATAATGCTAATGGAAAGTTATTAATAATATATATATATATATGTAATGGCAGAACATTATATAATTATTGAATTTACAAAAGTTGTTTAAATTAAAATGAAAGAAAAACTGCAAAACTCATGTTGCAATGTTTGTTGATGTGAAGAATTAAGAGCAATATTTAATTATAGTATATTTAATTAAAATTGTGATAGAGAGATATGTATTTATGATAGAAAATGTTGACGTTTTATGCAGAAATGTCTATAATATATGACTTTTTTCGAGCAAAATATAGAAACTTCTATAAATTACCCCACTTCTCTATTATTTATCATAAATTGATCACTTAATGAATGAGAGTTAACAGCAATAATGACAAATTTACTTGCCAAAAGTGATGTTTGTGTATTTATATAGCAATATAACACCCATAAAACTGCCACGAAACTTTATGTCGACCGTTTTTAGACACAAAACGTAGTTAAATAAACACAAGTTTTTTTACTGTGTGGGATATATAGTTTTACATGACAGACGTAGTGGTAAAATATACACAAAGCTCACGAATAATAGAAAGAAAGAACAACAAATAGAGAATGGACTGTAAAATGGTCAATAATAATAGTAATATCCTGCTAATATCAATAATATCGAAGATAAAACTGTTCTCGAGAAATCCACCACCGATTCCCCTCACCTCCCCTTCATCTGAACAACAAACTGATGCCTCAGAAGATGATGTCGTCCATCTAGATGACGTCGTTCTTTTCGATCCGCACGTTGTTGATGAAGAAACTTACTTGGCGTTTGAAGTTGAGATCGTGCTTGTTGAAGGTGTGTGCATGAAGGGCCAGTGCGCCGGCGGCGGCCGGCTCGATTTGTTTGAGATGCTGCTGGATGGTTTGCTGATGCTGCTGTTGCTGGCTTGGATACTGATGGTGATGATGATGATAGTGATGCTGTTGATGCGACTGCGGCTGATGTCGATCAGTGTAGGGATTGGTGACACCAGTTGATAAGCCAGATGAAATACCAGTCAAGCATGAAGCAGCTGAAGGACCTGTCGAAGCGGTAAGCAACGGATTCGTTAGTGGAGTTTGGCTCTGTGGCACAAGAGAGGTCACAGAGGGTCCACAAGTAAGAACAGATGATTGAAGGCTCTCAAGTGCAGTTGGAAGCGACAGGGAATGTCTCCTTGCAATGGTTTCGGTACCTGCTCCAGTTGCCGTCAAAGCTCCAGGGGTGACGCTTCCACCTAAATGGGTTGTCGTTCCACTTGGTACAGCTGTTGC